CATAAAGAATTAAATCTAATTAATCAAACTCGTATCTCCATAGAATTAATTTAAATTTCACAATTTTCTGTAATCTTACAGCACTGTTATTTCCTATACATGTTGCTTTCCATCCTCCATAGTTTCCACTGGGGTCACTCTGGTACAGCTGGAACCCATAGTGTTTGTCCCATCCCATGTACAACAGGGAAACTCCAAAGGGTCGCTTACCTAGGAAAAATTATCACTGTTCATATTTGGGAAAGAAAATTAAAGACATCATATTGTATCAAAATCATTTCACACTGCAAAAATTAAAAAATGTACTAATTGTGTTGGTTTTAATGTCATGTTACATATGTTTGTCTTGTGACAGATACTTTATTGTGTAGGCTGATAATTCTATAGGTTTAATTTCACAGGAAAGTGGTTAATTCATTTTTCAATCCAAGGCGTCAGAAAAAAATGTTTGTTTACTAATATGCTAATAAAAATAAGATTGGAAGATAAATTCTTTTTTAAAACATATAATTATTAAGGCATAAAGATTTTTTAAACATACAATATGGGCATAACTTTGAAATATATTCTTAAAAAGACAGTTTGAAGCTCTCTTTTAGCCATAGATATGTACAGTATAATTTGTCCAAACCGGCTACCGCCGGTTCCATAAAATTTGGCCGGTTTAGACAGAATCCGGAGTGCAGGAAAAATGCAGGAAAATATTAATTTCGAAAATTTTCGTTGTTTATTTTACAAGTACATCATACACAAATTATAAATAAAATTAAATGATGAAATCAATCAATATTTTGGAGTCTAGAAATTCTATAATAGTCTCACATGACTTACTGTATTTTCTTATACGAAGTTTGAAAGTCGGGTGAAATGTTATAATCAAAATTACAGGCACGCATAATACAGGCCTACTATGTATCAAGCGGACCGGGTTTCGCTTGTCAAAGAGCTCATTCAATGTACCGGGGTATTAACAGTAATGCACAATTATTTACGAGGTGCGAAATATTAGATTGAACTTTTAATTTTTATGTAAAAAATACGTCTTCCCCAACAGTGTTATCATGTTATGGCGCCATTTTGAAATGAGTTCGATTTTCGATCCCGATTTATATTTTGATTTGTAAATCGCGTACATATATTTTTGTGTTTATGTTATAATATGGTAAAAGGAGTTAAAACAAAGTTAATTTTTTTAAATTGTAATTTAATCATATGATATATTTTTCAAGTGGACTGTGTCATCGCCGCATTTCATGGCACTATGCTAATGTAAACACAGATTATCACATCCACCTCGAAAGGTGTTAATTGCTTTGAAGTAACTCATGTGTGGCCGGAAAATTACCGTTAATTATAAGCACCAATGGCCGTTCGGAAGAATAGACAGTATCCGGACTACACAGAATTTTTTTTAAATGAATTTGTTAAAGAAGTGCTGGGACTAAAATTTAAACGGAATGGAGTCAAAATGTTAAATTTTACATATTTTTTTTACAATCTACTTTATAACTCTAAAAAAGACTATTAAAAAGTGACCAAAAGACCTATTATATTTGTTCTGGTTTAAAGGAAAGTCAAAATGTTAAATTCATATTATAGTTATTAGCTAAGCAGTTTTTGAAAGATCTTACCTCCAAACTGAGTGTAAGCTTGTTTTAAATCACATAATGAACTAACAAGTTGTTCACATGGAATAGGTTCCTGATACTGTAAGTGGTACCTAAAATATTCAAAGGATGATGAACAAGTTGAATCAATTAGCCATAATATTCATGTTATCAAAACATTTATGATCACAAAGGTTTACAATTATATCTGCTTAAAGACAATGTTGGAAAATGAGAAACAATTCACAAATATACAAGGGAAAAGGCAATTACTGTATAATCCCTATTAACTGCCTGCCACTAAAAGCACCCCCCTAGTCCTTTTTCATTTCTCGGGAAATAAGGGCCCACTGTACTGTGATTAAATTCACCTTGAATCGTACTGAAAGTCTGCCATAATTTGAAGAAAGTGAAAATGAAACTTGGTTATTAGGTACAAGTATCTCGTACGACTTACTTGTAGTATTCCTGAAAGTGAAGGGTTTTTAGAACAACCGAATCATAATGTTTTTCTGAAAGTGAAATTTACCTACTGGTACAAAATTTGTTCTCCTTGTGTAATTTTTGGTGGAGTAAGAAATCATAAAGCATAATTTGGGTGGATTACTTTAACCTTAGAAAGTTAGATAATCTTTTAGTGGTTCTCTGAATTTTTTTTTCTTTCAAAAGATTTCGTGTACATGTAGTTAAAATATGACATTAAATATTATAATGAGAATACCAAAATAACTGCCCCCTTTTAAAAATTTTCCAAGTTCCAGCGCAGCTAATAGGAATTATACGGTATCCGTTTGCTAAATATTGAAAAATATACCTTTGTGCAATAAGACGGAGTTCATTTGTTAACACATTTGCATCTGATGTGATCCCAGCAACGCTACATGCCATATCACTAGAAAGAAAATAGTACTTGTATAACAAGTTAGATGCAACAATGCCATATTCAAATATATATACTGTAAAAGTGGAAAATATATGGAGAAGTTTAATTTCAATATTTGCAATCTAAAATTTTCTGCAAACATTAAGCAATCATGAATATTGTCAACATCTTCCAGCAATACAGAAACTCCAAGTAAATTACAACTACAGGTTATAGTTAGTTATTGTTAGTTGTTCTCATTACCATATCTGTCTTTGTTTCTAAGTTACAAATATTTAACAATTCAGTGATCACAATATTAAAACCATTGTGAAATGAACCAATATCAAAAATCAAGAAACATTACAAACATGTGTTGAATTAATCACCTTTAAGGTACCATTTTTAATAAAAAGAAATTATCTGTCTACTTACTTGTAAAGCTTGTAAATTTTTTCTGAGTATGACACCTCATCCAGAAGTTTGTTTGTGTTGCGTCTTTCAGCAGCCAGTAATACACCGTCATTAGCTAGGATACCTAGACAGGTGCCAGCATGTCCGATAGCCTCCATGGCATACTCAACCTGGTACAGTCTCCCTGTAAATTCACAAAAAAGCTGATAACAAAAGAAAAGACAAATATTACAAAATCAATTAATTCAACTGCAGATTAAAACAATGTGCTATGAAAATGTCATAGATGTATAAATGAAACAATATTAAAAGGCATTTGAATTAAAGTGTATTTATTAAGTTATTAAAAAAGCTTTTGTTGCCATTATTTAACGCACAGGTCAGGAGCTTACTCATGCCCTGTAATAAAAATTCTTTTAAAAAACACATAAAATATGATAAAACAACATGCGTTATTTAGTATATTGTATGTTTCTTTTTTCTTAGAAATATTTTTATATGCCAGGAGCAAGCCCCTGTAATATAGGTGTAAAAATGATAGTAAGTAATTTTGTATAAATTCAATAACCATTACCTTCTGGAGAAAATATAGTTGTTCGTGAATCATATCTTCGAGACTAAAATTATAAACAATGATACGTGATGTTATCAATAATTTTGGTCAGATGTCTGTTGTATCTTTTCATAAACATGATAAAAAAGGGAGATGTCATCAGGCTTGTATCTTTTAACAAATAGAATCTAACTACCTGGGGGGGTATAAATATATAATCATAGCTTTGAAGTATTGAAAAGAAGATTTTATAAGGTTTCAATACAAAATTAACAACCAAAAAAACTATAAAAATCTGGCCCAGTAATTCTGGAGAAGAAGATTTTTAAAGATTTTTCTATATTCCAATATGGATATATTAACAGAGAACATACAAATGCAGAATATATTCAAAGTACCTTTCCCCACCCTTGCCCCCGGGGTCATGATTTGAGCAAACTTGAATCTACACTACCTGAGGATGCTTCCACATGAGTTTCATCTTTCCTGGCCAAGTGGTTCTGGAGAAGAAGATTTTTTAAGATTATTTTTATGTAGAACTTTGGTTGGCCATTTTGGCCCCACCCTTGCCCTGGGGGTCATGATTTGAACAAATTTGAATCTACACTACCTGAGGATGATTCCACATGAGTTTCATCTTTCCTGGCCCAGTGGTTCTGGAGAAGAAGATTTTTAAAGATTTTTCCTATATATTCCTATGTAAAATGATTTTTGGCCCCATATGGATGCTATGAACAAATAGTATGAATAACATTACATGAGTTTCATCTGTCCTGAAGTATTCTGGAGAAGAAGATTTTAAAATTTTTCCTATATATTTATGTAAAACTTAGAAAAAAATGATTTGATTTGTCTACACTTTGATATATGCTTCCACACGAATGGCCCAGCGATTCTGAAAGAAAAAAATGCCATTATTTTTAACAAATTCATGATTATCTCCCCTTGGAAAAGGGCGTGGCCCTTCATTTGAACAAAATTTGAATCCCCTTCACCCAAGGATACTTTGTGCCAAGTTTATTGAAATTTGTCGTTCTTGAAGACGAAAATGTGAAAAGTTTACGACGACGACGACGACAACAACGACGACAACAACGACAACGACAGACAACGGACAAATTTTGATCAGAAAAGCTCACTTGAGCCTTCGGCTCAGGTGAACTAAAAAGATTTTTATTTAACTATATAAACCGAAGATTTTTGTTTAAACAAAATTAACAACCAAAAAACTGTAAAAATCTCCGTAATCTAGGTTTCTCCAATATGGATATATTAACAGAGAACGTACATATGCAAAAAAACAAAGTACCTATCACAATGAGTTTGCATTCTTACCATGTTGAAAGTCGGCTGAAGAGTTCTGCCACTGGAGGTAAATTTTGTATTCAGGCTCTCCTAAAAACCGCAAAATGATTATATCAGACTGCTATGAACAAATAGTATGAATAACGTTACATCTTAAAGAATATTACTATATTTTAAAATACTTTTTTATATAGAAAAAAATAAATTGTCATACACTTTAATATATAGAATGAAGGAAGTGAAAAAAAAAATAATTTTGGGGTAATTAGAGGAACAAGCTTGAACCCGATGTATTTATTTGTCGTGAAGATGAGAGATGCGGTTTCTGCAGCTTCTGAACAAACGAATATGGTTAGAGTTTGAAAGGTTAGCTCTATCAAGATTTTTATTGAACAGTTTATTTTTGTTACTAGCAGTCTTAATTGATATTTGTGTGTCTTGAACTTTTTTCTTGCGCAGGTCCAGGAAAATCACTATATTTAGCTATATAGATGAACTATATTATATAGCTTTATTTACCGGGTACCTATATAATATAGCTTTATTTAGATATTTTAGAATAAGTGTTTGTTTTATGAATAGCAGACAAAAAAGTCGCATTTTCTCAAAATTATGGCATTTCACACAAAAATTAATTAAAAATATTTTTAACTTATTAAAACTTTAATCAAAAAAATAATTTTAATCAGAGTAGAAATGTTAGAAAGCAAAACACCTTCACAAGTATTTTCATTCCAAAAAATGCAAATCAAGCACACTCGTGTTATGTACACAGTTTTTGTAAACAGGGCTCGAGTGGGTTTATATTTAGCACCGGGTGCGTTCAGTGTGATTGCTTTGCCACAACTACACGGACTGACATTATATTGTGTGTTTGTTTTGCTTTCGAACGTGTCTACTCTGAATTTTCTGGATTATAGTATTAATATTTTTCATTATACAAAACGAGATTGCCACTTTTCCTAAGGATTAAGAATAAAATTAAATTTGTGAGAGTTCAAGGATATGTCAATCAAACCCACCGAAAAATTTGAAATTTCACTTTTACAAATAAGATTTTTAATTAATTTTTGTGTGAAATGCTATTAAAATATATAAGTCGTTATTATACTTCAAATCTGTGTCCAAGTACCTTTAAAGTAGCTGCTTAATCACTTGCACACATCTGTGTTAAACCTGGGTCAGTGTAATCCAGGCTTAAGTTTAGCTCATATTTGGTGATTCACTTGCACACTTGAAAAACTCAGATGAGATCAGCTCAAAGATTTTAACTGTGTTATACTTCTGAATTCATTCTTAATATTTTCCCATTCCTTTTTTTTCTTACAGATTATTCTCCCATCATTTAGTTTACTTTCAACGATTGATTTTCTTTCACTGATTAATTCAAGAAATACAGCCTTTTCAAATTCTGTAAAATTTGGTGCCTTCTTTGATGTCATATTCAAAATAAATCCTGGTTCAGCCTGCACTTATGTAAGAAATGCTTGAGTGATAGGTCAGCAACCCAACAACAGCTAGCTCACCTGAGTACAACTTAAGCTAGGGTTGAGCCAAGTTTACCTGATTTTTAGATCAGTCATTAAACCCAGGTTACCTAATCTACATGTGTGTAAGTGGCCAACAGTCCCAAAACTTTTGGATCTTTGCAATTGCACAAAAGGAGAAACATTTTTAGAGTTGGGTTTTTGGTGAATTGTTTTCAGTCCATTTTAAAGTTGAAAGCTATTACTGCCTCATTATATGTCTTTTTGTCTGCTTTTCATAGAACAGAAATTTACACTGAAATAGCTGAATAGAGCTATATTATATAGGTAAATAAAGCTATATAGGTAGATTTAGCTACCGTATAAGCAGAATTATTAGCGAGGATGTAATTTTGGCATTATTAGCGAGAATGCTGGGATTGCTAAAATTTAATATCGCTAAAAATTAATTGCATTTTCTTTGTTAAAGTCTCTTTAGTGAACATTTTAAAATCGCTAAATTTGCATCTTGCTAAAAATAAAATACCATTCTTTATGGAGAAATCACTAAATTTGCGTCTCGCTAAAATTTCCACTTATACAGTATATAGCTAAATATAGTGATTTTCCTAGACCTGTTGAGTATGTCCTTATGAAATAGCTTGTATTTATTCAATCCAACATATTCAATATCTAACTTTCAGGATGAGACAGCCCAGAAAATTTATTTTGGCACTTACCAGACCCCAGACGTTAAAAACCCTCTGTCATGGCAGTATGTTCTTAATTGTTCTACATTATCTTATCAAGTTTGAACAAATAAAAGAAAACGGAGCATTTCATGACATTGACATTCCAGTGGAGCCCGACTTTGTGCCTTTAGGAATAAGGGATCCAGAGGCTTTTCCAACAGATGGTGATGAAAGGATTCCTCGTATTATTCACCAAACTTGGAAAAATGAGGATATTCCTAGTAAATTTTCAAAGTGGGTTCAGACATGGGTAAAAAACCATCCAGACTGGACATATTATTTGTGGACAGACATAAGTGCAAGACAGCTCATTCAAGAAAGGCATCCACATTTGTTAAACACCTTTGATAGTTATACTGAAGGGATAAGAAGAGCTGATGCATTGCGATATGTAATAATGTATGAATTTGGAGGGATTTATGCCGATATGGATTTAGAGAGTTTAAAATCTGTTGAACCTTTTACAAAGAAATATGCATGCTTTGTATCACAAGAGCCATACGAACATCCTCTTCTAGATGGAAACTTTGAGAATTTGGTGATAAATGCAATAATTGGTTGTAGACCAAAACATCCTTTCATGAAGAAATTGATGGACAGGCTGCCATCTTTCCATCACATGTGGAATGTCCTGGATAGCACTGGACCTCATTTTGTAACACTGGTATACAGAGATTTCAAGGGAGAATACTCTTACCCAGACACACACGTGAATGGAACTTACTTAGCTCCAGCTGAGTATTTCTTTCCAACAATTGATCCTGCAAAGTTTTTCCATTTTTACAACCAATGCAAGAGATGGATGCACCTTGGTGAAAAACAAAAGAAAGCATGTAAAACACTTAAAATTTTAGGAGCAAAGAGAAAACCTCTGCCATTTTCTTTCACAGATCATCACTGGGAGCACACCTATATTGACCTCAGACTCTCTTTGAAAGGACCAGTAAACATCCATACTCTAATACCAAATGCTAAAATATACAAACCAAATGCTAGTGTGTAGCAGTCTTGGATTTATATATCAGAGCCACAGCCAGAAAAACTTTTGTTTATATGTACATCTTCTTATTTCATTTGCAGGTTTAGCTGTTAATTTCTTTCATCCTTGGATCTAAGTCATAAAAAATTCAAAGTAACAAATGAATCAAATCTTAATTATTTATTTCATCATATGGTTACACCAGAAAGTAAGTGCACACCAGGGAAATCTGAGTTATTAAACTATCAAATAGGGCAAAAGGATGATGTAAAAAATATGAATAATGAGTTTTTTGGACAAGCATTTATGAACATACTCAAAAAAAAAAAATTAAATCTATTGCACCTATCCCTTAAAAGGCCCCTCTTATAGTGGAATTTTTAGTAAACTTTTTTTTTTGTCATGGTGCAAATACTAGTAAAATCTTCACTGGGGTAAGTAGCAACTTTACTTTCTCTGAAGACTTAGAAACATCAGTTTTTTTCTCTCAAAATATTGCTGTTTTATTTAAAATGAAAGTAAATCCCAAGTTTTGTAAAGGTTGAGTTTTCAAATCTTATATTGAGAGTGCACTTTATTAATACTTCTTGGAAAAAAAAGCAAATATTTTCCTAGTAGGACTAATACTCAAAGCATTAAAATGTCATGGCTCAAAGAACATTAACTTTCAAAAGCCATATGAACTTGACCTTAAGCATACCACCACAGATAATTTTACATTTCTGCTGACACTTCTGAATTCTGTCTATATAACCTTTGTTTGAATCATGACATATTCTGATATCATAACCCTTGTCCTCATTATTCTGGAAAAGAGTGAGATATCCAACCAAATCACAAGTAACTCTTCTCTGAAGTGAAATGTCTTACATTTCTTCATTTCAAAGTTGTGATTATACGGATATTATTTTGCAAACTTTGACCTTGACCTCATGTAAATGATCTTGATACTGGGTTAAAATATTCTTCTAGCTATGTTATTTTTCGTGCCAAGTATGAGTTTGTATCTTCTCATTCTTGTCACTTTTCAAATTTCTCTGAAATCAATCTAAAAATACCAAGTGCACATAAAATAGTTTTATATTTGCTGAAAAAAGGATTTAGGGATAAACAGATGGACATGCTGATACCAGCAACATCCCCCCTCCCCAAACCAACTTTGCTTGTAAGTGTGTATTCATTATTTTTCCAACTTGATTGTCATATTTACTGCCCTTGATAAATTATTAGTATTTTCCAATTAAATTCAAAGCATCAATAAATTATGTCAGTAGTACAATTTATTTTCAATGTTGTAATTAACACCATAATAAAAAAAAAATCTTTGAGACTAGATTAAAACATAATTCATTAAGGAACTCCACATTCTTTGGTAAAATGAAAGCTTGATTCTCTAAATACAATACATTCTTCTCTCACACACAAACATACAGCTGTATTTCAAATAAAAATAAATTATCTTCTCCAGTACAACTAAACTCTGTAAGCAATCAACTAGAACAATCTTTCATTATAATGCCATTTTCAAAATGAAATAATTTCATGAACAATGTTTACATATAAGCTCATTATGAAATTAACTAACAAGCAACAAGCCAATCAACAATGTTTTTTTTTTCAAATGACTGATCAACAATGTACAAACATGGAAAAAGTGTTTGTTATCTATTGCCTCAGCTTGAAACATGGAAGATAGTAGTCAGTAGACCGCTGGCCTGTCACTATAGCGGGACTGAAGATAATATCCTCTGATTCACTTGTCGGTGTTCCCGAGGTCAGTCACTCAGGACTGGGATTCCTCCATAGTCATGTCATGACTTTCATGGAGACCAAACAATAGGGAATAAATCAACACCGTCAGCATTCATCATGTCATGTATCGCTTCTTGTGGTCTGTTAAAATGTCTGTTACTGCAACTAACTTCTTTAATGAGGGCTGAAAAAAGTAATAGAAGTTTTTAGTAGAATGGAAACATTTGATGATTGTATTTTATTTTGCTCAATATGAGTAAATTATTGAATTAAAAGAAATGTGTTTTTCTTTCCATCAGTGGAATCTCACCTTGGTCTCGGCTTGTTTCCTGAGTTCTAATTGGTGGGTGGCACATATTGTGTGCATGGTAGCCAAGTCTCTAGTTACACTGTCAACTGGCAAGGAATTTTCTGATGATGTTTCACTTTCATCAACCTGCTGTAGTTTAAATCAAAATGTCATAACTGTATATGTATAATATGTATTTGTATTCTGTCCATCTTTATAACATTAGTCTTAAGGAAGCTCTTAACACCAGAAAGTGCTTTTTTGGACTTGGAGAAAAATATATCATATAAAGGTGTGCATGTTGAGACTTTTTCATTCATTTGTAACATAGTGTACCTGCCTTATTTCCACAGGAAAAATGTTCAAAGACAAAAGACTGTTTGTGAGCAGAAATCACTGCTGTTTACTTTCATTGGGAAATTAAATGAAAATAATGAATTCAATTTCTTATTCTTGGTCTTATATAATGCTTAAAATATTTAATTGATCACAAATCATGTAAATAACTGTAAATAACATTTTTCAAAATCTTATTTCTAAGGGCAGATCACTCTAACTGCATAAAATTACCCTACAAGTAGAGCTCTTTAGTATGCAGTGTTTAGAGCTTCCTTAAAGTAAAACCCGTAAATCAAAGACAAATTTTCCTTCTAAAAATATTTTTAAATAGAGAAATTCCAGCAGAGCACATTTTGAAAAAATGCTGATAATTTGCAGTGTCTTGCCAATGGTTATAGGTTGCAGTAGTTAACTGCTGAAGCTGAACTACTGCCAGACTAAAACGATGTATATTCAGTAAAACATGCTAATAATGAAGTGCATACGAGGGGTTGATAATTTTGCTTCGTTAAATCACTGTAAATGTAATTGCTTTTTTTCCGTTTACAGGTAGTTCACAATATACATGTATTTTAATGTCATGGGGAATGAAAAATGACTGCTGTAAGCATCGAATCACTATAAGCATGTTTTGTTATTAATCATTTTGATTTTACTGCATTTCCAAAATATGTAAGCATCAAAAGTGGAGAGATATACTTACAGACAACTCTTCTAAAAATTTGATCATCCTAGGCTTATTTTTCTTGATAAATGGATTTATCACTTCCATGAAAGCCTCCTGTTAAAAGAAAGACAACTTTTCATTTCTTATTTTGAACTCGGAAATATCCCAAAGAGAAATGTTCAGAAAATATATACATGTATTGCAATGAGTGACTAACTTTGATTCCAAATTCCACCAGGTTTGCCAGGTTCTGCAATGCTTTTGCAATCAGTTTTAATGTTCTACAGGCCACTTCTGATGGGGTCTCTGTAAAGAGGGAAACTTACAAGATTAAGAAAGAATTAATTAATTATTAAAAATAAAGAAACGGTATAGACAATGATTTCAAAGCAATAAAAAAATATAATTAGAGTACCTGTTATCAAATTGAAAGATTTTGGGTTTAGGATTGCTGGACATAATAGCCTCAGAAAAATGAAGCCACTGTAAAGTAATAAAAATAAATATGCATCAATAGAAATTCATACAAAGTCAATGTACATGCAATTACCAAACACTTTGTTGCTCTAACTGTTCAACAAAATATGTAAGGGGATTTAATCCCTCACTGACCTTACAACTCTCGTTCGGACACTCTCATCTGAGGGCCATTTGGCCGACACACTTCGCTGTAAACAGCCACATATGTACCGCAGAACTCTGAAAACAGTAATTGTTATTCATATCAGTATATTGAATAAATTATTGTCTTAACATGTATTTTTTATCAGACAGACATGTTTAAGCATTCTTGATAACAGGGCCTACTTTGGACAACTGTCTGTGGATCTAAATATGGATTCTGTCACCTCCTCCAGGAAATGTAGGAAATGTTCCCTGTTGGTTCCAATATCACCTCCACTCTCCAACATTGTAGGATTCAGCTACAAATATACATGTATTGGTTAATTTCTTTGTCAGATTATTGTCATAACAGTCACAGATTATAGATAAAATAGTGACCTAACTCAAAGATGGCTTGCCTTCTTTGATGTCGAAGACTGTGAATTTTACAGTGACATACTTTAGACTATTATCAGAAATATAACATACCTCACAAGACTGCTTGCTCTCTGTGATATGGATGATGGGGTCTTTCAGTGCTGTGGCTACAAACTGAGAGGCTGTCATCTTCATGTATTGGTCCATCAAAGTGGTGGCCAGGGAAGTGGCTCGGAACAGGGTCGACATATTGTCTGAAGGAAATAAAGCATTCTGTATAATAGGATGTTCTTAATATCATCTCCATTTCCCTTGAAATTCACCACTGAAAAATGACCTCATCCACATACAATGTAAAGTAAAACTGTTGTTTTTTTTTCCTCACATGACATTACAGAATCACAAAGAGCTTGGTCAACAAACCATCAAAATGGCCTCTCTTGAAAATTAACCTGATCTTAGATAGAGATATAGTGAACACTTTTTAGCTTTACATTATATTATTTCTGACTATTAGCAAACTTATCCTTGTTAAAAAAGATACAGGTTGCATATATTATATATGGTATGTGCTTGAAAATGGTAAGTCAGTTTCTTAGAATTATGGTTAAGAGAATTATCAATTTTCTTTACAAATACATGTATTGTTGATGTTACAGAAAGAGTTACCTTCACGGGCTATTTCAAGGTCATTCATGGTTTTAAGTATTACTTTTTCTTGTTTCTCATGTCGGAAAATTTGGAGGAGAGCTTTGGCCAAGGGAATTCTGTCATTACCACAGATGTTGAACAGTTCAAGTAAATTAATCAAATCTCCATTTAATATTAACTGAAAATAAAACATTTACATATTGATGAAAAATATATCAATGTCAAAAAAAAATGAACCACTTGTCAATATAGATGTACAGGGAACTGTTGAATTTTTCTGGAAGGCCTTTATGATTTGACCACCAATCTATTTAGCTGAAGATCACATACCTCTTTAAGTGTAGAATATTTGTCTTCTGGCATAATAACTTCATGTAAATATCGGGCTCGTATTCGTAACGACCCCATCTCTCCTCGAGAAGCAGGATTCACAGGGACTAGAGGAAACCATTTTGCAAATAGATCCAGACTCTTTATGTCTTCTAACTGTACAGAAATTTGAGCTGAAAGGGGAAAATATTATCGAATAAAAATGAAACATTTAGTCTTCATTTACATGCATGTATTGCAAAATATAATCTCTGTATTAAAATCTTTGGTTCATGTATTTATTAGGAAGTTGAAAAAGTTTATGACAGAATGATAGATTTTCAGACAAGACAAAATTAACATGCCCCTTTCAAGCTCAGGGTATTAAAACTTACCAACTGGTTTTCCAATTTCTTTGTCAATAAATCTTTTACTATGATTGTGAACACTAATGCTGATTGATTCTATATCGGAGGGTACATCACTGTAGTATAAAGAAAAATAATTATAATGTTAATGATTTTTCCAATATATTTCAAAAACATTGACGGTAAAGACAGGCTTGAAAAATAGGAAGAACTGAAAATTAGTTAACAAATGCACAAAAAACCTATCTAAATTATGTAAGTACATGTAATCAAAACATAAAATTTCCTCACTCTAGGATAAATTTTTCTTCCCATACTGGATTGAGGACCTCCTCCACCTGTGTCCGGCACACTTTGATGGGGTTAAGACTAGGGTTCTTCAGATTAACAATACAGTAAGGATGTGGTAGAAGTTTAGTGGACAGTTTCTGAGCATCCACCACCTCCACCGTCAGGGACCGTAACTCTTTCAGAGCTGAGGATCGTTGTTGGGAACTCGGAGCTGTATTTACACAGTACGGGCGGAGTCTTTGTATCCATTTCTAAAATTCCAGAATGAAATGATGTCATATACGTTTTATAAAAAAAGATGAAGAAATAAACAATGTTTATTACATTTCAATGAAAAAATAAAAAGATTTATAGTGTTCATAAGCTTATACTGAACTTTGTACATTCTAATTAATGACAGTAAGAAGTTTCCCCATAAAAAACATAGGTAATCAAAGATTACTAAGCTCACCTCGACGAATGTTATCAGTTTAAGTAATGTAAATCTCACATCATATTTTCTTAATATTAAGTATTCATCCCAACAACAATATTCTTGCAAGTTGTGTTTAACCCCTTACATGGCATATACACATTTCTATGCGTGTAGCGTGAAAAACGTATCGTGTAAACAAATATTTATAACTGTTAATACTGCAGATCTCAAGGACTTCAAGTTTATTTGGATTGATCTGTTCCCAAAACTTTAACCTGGTCTCTTGTATGGAAAATATAGGTCAGATCCAGCATCCGAAGCAAGTCTGGTAGTGTCCATCCCTAGATACATCATCCATGCAAATTTGGTTTAGCTAGGGCTTATAGTTACTTGGGAATGAAAATGTAGGTCAGATCCAGCATCCAAAGCAAGTCTGGTAGTGTCCATCCCTAGATACATCATCCATGCAAGTTTGGTTTAGCTAGGGCTTATAATTACTTGGGAATGAGAATGAAGGTCAGATCCACATCCGAAGCTTGTCTGGTAGTGTCCATCCTTAGATGCATCATCCATGCAAGTTTGGTTTAGCTAGGGCTTATAGTTACTTGGGAATGAGAATGTAGGTCAGATCCAGCATCCGAAGCAAGTCTGGTAGTGTCCATCCCTAGATGCCTCATCCATGCAAGTTTGGTCCAAACAGGTCTTATAGTTCCTGTGGACCTGCTCTAAAAACTTTAACCTGGTCACTCATCTGGAAAATGTAGGTCAGATCCAGCATCCAAAGCAAGTCTGGTAGTGTACATCCCTAGATGCATCATCCATGCAAGTTTAGTCCAGGTAGGACTTATAATTCCTTGGGAGTGAACCTGCTCCAAAATCTTTAACCTGCTCCAAAAACTTTAACCTGATCACTCATCTAGAAAATGTAGGTCAGATCCAGCATCCGAAGCAAGTCTGGTAGTGTACATCCCTAGATGCATCATCCATGCAAGTTTGGTTCAGGTAGGGCTTATAGTTCCTTGGGAATGGACCTGCTCCAAAAACTTTAACCTGCTCCAAAAACTTTAACCTGGTCACTCATCTAGAAAATGTAGGTCAGATCCAGCATCCGAAGCAAGTCTGGTAGTGTACATCCCTAGATGCATCATCCATGCAAGTTTGGTTCAGGTAGGGCTTATAGTTCCTTGGGAATGGACCTGCTCCAAAAACTTTAACCTGCTCCAAAAACTTTAACCTGGTCACTCATCTAGAAAATGTAGGTCAGATCCAGCATCCGAAGCAAGTCTGGTAGTGTACATCCCTAGATGCATCATCCATGCAAGTTTGGTTCGGGTAGGGCTTATAGTTACTTGGGAATGGACTTGCTCCTAAAACTTTAACCTGGGATGCCGACGCTAACGCCGGGGGTATAGCATAAGCTCATCTCTACTTCGTCGAGGTGAGCTAATTAAGATTTCCTTCTCCAAATTATAGACATTCAGAATTTATATGAATTTTTTAATTTTTCATACCTGTGCTAAATCCACATTATCAGCACACAAATAGTAAATTTGGGAATGATTAAATGAATTTGTTATTAACTGGAAACAATTGGGCCTGAAATGAAAAAATTCCAATCAAAATCTAAATTTAGAAAATGATCAATTGGGAATAAATCTACAATAATACAGATTCTTAAACTTTTTTTTATACACTTACCTTCCAAAAAAGCTGTCATGAACAGGATACAGGGAACTGTAGCTAAGATCTATCAAACCCTTGGGACGAGATCTCTACAATTAAAGATCATCACACAAGGTATCAGTAAAACAAATACAGTCTAAAAAGAGGGCTTAACCTTGAAGATGTTTCTAAGCCAGACAATTATAAATTAAAGACATCTGGGACATAAATTTACAAACTAAGTATCTGCATTCATGTACATAAAAGGATGCAATTACAGCTATTAAACTGTGTATACTTTGTGAAAGTCAACTACTTAAACCTTCCAAACATGTGAAGATTTACATCATACCTTTTCGTTTTCTAAATAACAAAGCTGTTGATCATCTCCAAGCAACACAAAAAACATGTTTTTAAACTTTTTTGTTTGACCTAGAAAAGAAAAAAAACATGCCATTTCATCCTCTTAATTCAAATAATATAAAACAATTTCAGTGTAAATGTAAGAGATCAAAAGAAGCTGACTGTTTTTCTTGATGTAGAGGTATCCATTCATTTCCAACTTGTTGCCCTTTCGCCCCGTCATGGGTCCCCGGGAGCTCTGTCGGATGGAGTCGTACAGGTCGTCAGCTGATCCTTTGTGGGACAACCTCTCCAGCTTATCAGACTTGATCTTCATCTCCTGTTAATTATAATGCTTCAAATTAAATCAAATGATAAAACTAAAAAGAAAGCTTTTTATGTACATTTGAAAATACTTAAATTGGTTTACTTTGTTTTTTGTTTTTTTTTGTTTTTAAGAATTATTTTGATCAGGTTAGAAAAAAGAACAAAACTTTTTTGTCATGATTGGTAAAAATATTCAACTGGTAAATACATATGTAATCAAAGACTACAAAGCTGAACTTGACATATGGTATCTAAGAAAATTTTTGCCTGTTTTATTTTCACTCCTCCTGCAATACTCACTGTCACAGGTGAGCAAATTTAACGAAGCCGAGTCTAATTAATTCCGACTTAGGGATTTTGATAATTTTTTGATAATTAACTTTTACTTTATATTTATTGTTTTAAGATTAAAAAATCGAATTTTTACCATCCCGATTTCTTGGGGCGCCATCTCAAAAGCTGTCAAATTTTACCATTGGACCCAATGGGAATTTGTTGGAAAAGCGCCAAATTATTGTATTTTTCCATATTTTTTGTATTTCTGCCCTAGAGATTTCTTTTTCATTCAAGTATATGAAAGTTAATGTAAAACGTCACCAAATTGTGAAATTTCAAAAAAGTTCACCATCTAGGTTGGTATAGGAATTAATTACTAAGTTTATTTTTTCAAAGCCCAATACCTCTAAAATTGCCATATTACGGTATAAATACAAATCAGTGCAGACGAATTATCGGCGCATATGGTTTTTTTTTTTGGCAGAAATAGCAATGTTTAGATTGCTAGTATATGTGTATGGATGTTCTGTCATCAGTTTGTAGTACAATATCCATGAACGTCTTGAAAATACAAGCGAGTTGTGCATCATTCTTCAGCGCCATGCATTGATTACAAAATGATGATGTCGTTAAAACCATTTCAGCGTTTTTCTTAATTATTGTCGAAAAATCACATTTTCAGACCAGTAGGGGTTACAGATAAATTTAATTTTGTATTAAAATCAAAATATTTGGCAAAGTTGTAGTGTCGCACAAATGACTGCACGAAACTAAAAAGCTGTGCAAAGTCATGCGCACTCGAATTAAACTCGGCCTCGTTAAAACAGGGCAAATTCAAAGAATACAGAGTATAGCTTCTTAAACAGAACTGTGACTAGGTGACTTGCTCCTTAAATGTTAACTGGGACGTCAATGCCAACACCGACATTGAGGGTAAAGCATAAGCCTCATCTTCATGTAGACTTTGTCAAAGTGAACTAATAAGGATATTTCATGTACAATTTAAGTTTATATCTACAAAGTAATTGAACATAACTTACTCTGGTAACTGGGACTCCCAGAGTATGTCCCTCAACAATTTCTTCTTTCTTGTACCTTTCTATGATCCCATCCAAACTATAATTATCCAGAGATGAAATTATCCATTAATCAATGTAAAAATGAAGAAATTCAGTCACATATACCCTAAATGCAACAAAAAGGTTTGCTCAGAGCTTGTAATGAAACTTACCTGTCAAAATACCTCCCACCCATAAGAAATAACTGTTTCCCTTGTTTTTCTATTCGGAATCGTTGCACCACTTTATCACATAACACAAATAATGAATAATTCCCAGGTGAATTTTCACTAGGTCTGACAAGAAAACTCCCTTGGCCAGCTGAAAGAAATTTGAGAAGCAAGATTGAATGACATTGTACAATTTTTAAAAATTAAAGTAAACTTTGTAATAACATTTCAAACTGCAAGAGACTTTCAATTCAGACATTCCTGCACATAAAGTAATACAAGTATATCCTCTGATAATGGTAATATATTATTTTAATGATTCAGTTAAGAAAGGACTGTGGTTTGCTAAAATTGGTGTTATTTTTTTTTAACCTTTGAGAAATTCTGACTGTTCACAATATCAAAAGAATCCAAAAGAATCCAGAAGAATAATCCTTCGACCATTTCCACATGAATTGTAATACTTCGTGACAAAATCAAGAATGCTTACCTTCTCTGAGTTTCTCCACAGCCTGTTCTTTTGTTATACTATCATGGAAGTACGCCAGACCCTGAACTGGTTCCACACTGTCACTCTGTCCAAAAACAAGCAGTTTGTTACACGTTTTACAAATTACATTTTCTTAAAGAACTGAAAAATATATAAATAAATTTCTACCATTTTCCAAGTCAAGTGAGTACCACAATAACATTACGGTGATTATTTGTTGCCTTACCAAATCATCAACAAGTGCTTCATGGATTTGGCCATCTTCATTTGTCCTTAATGACTTTACCCATAACCACCCATCTCCCATCTCATTTAATACAATGAACACATCTCCTTTCTCAAAGCTCAGCTCATCTGTTTCTGGCATTTTGGAAAATGACAACACTGCCACAACTTTTCTCCTGTCATCAACTGGCTGAAAACAAAAATATCGGACAATCTTAGAATAATCCTCTGGACCAGACACATATCTTTTTATTCTGTCTAAAAATTTAAGAAACAGCTACTAGCATATTTCTCAAAGAAAGAGATAATAATCATTCCCGAGTTTACTGAAAACCATTGCCTATAGCTTTCAGTATTTATTCCAAGTCATTACTCTAGAACTGATAACTTACCTCTGGTGGGGAGACAGGATACTTGAGTTGTTCCCCTTTGAGAAGGTATGAACAAGATGTGTAATAACCCACTAACAGAGAGAGACTGTCAAAACGCCGGCCACCAATGTAGTAATCACCACAGATTGCTGAAATTCTGCAATAATAAAGTAACCATTATTGTTTTAGTAAACAATCATTGGTTTAGTAAATAATGACTATCTTCCTCGTCTATTGCTAAAAAAACAAAGATGAAATTGATTTTAATTCAAATTGAATTAAAAAATGTCCTTCAAAAAAGTGAAAAATGCTGCTTTGCAATTTTTTGTAACTTACACTTATCCTTTATTTCTAGCTGAGTGAACTATTTTACACTATATATAATATGGTACAACTTTTACTTACTTGAAGTGTGTAAGGCCATTCCTCCCCAGGTAGGAGAGGACATAGGAACCTTTGTTTCTCTCACTCTCCCTCACCAGATAACTCCCCGACTCTCCTGCAGTACGAAGTCTGTCCTCCGCTGCCTGGCGACCCAGTCGGCCATGATACCATCTGCAAAATCAAACTGTCTCGTTAGAAATAAATCAATTCAAATGATCCACACAAAAATAAATTAGAGAATTTCAGAAAAACCTTTGCTCCTATTGATTTTGGAAAAAAATCTTGCATATATATTTAGTATAATTTTCCATATAGACACACATACTTTAATTTAAGGCCTTTAGCAAAAGTATGTGAAAACAAAAATATGTTACACAGAGTATGAAGCAGTACGATAGATGGCTTGCTTCAGAACAGGACCTCTGAAAAAGTTCTTCATTCATAAACTCCGCTGTACACTAGTTGTAGAAATATCAAAACAAATTATCAAACAATCATCATCTTTTTCCAGGCAGGCCCACTGGTACGTGCTAGCATTTTGTAATGGAGCCTGAATTTCATTCATAGAACATAATTTTTGAGTCATAATATACTCATAACCAAATTTATTTCATAACATACATTTAACTTTCGGGATGGAATTTTTATATATTGATTGAAATAGGTATAAATCAAACCTTAATTAAATGTATGTAGGTCAATTTAAGTTTGATAAAACCAGGAAAAACAGTGGGCGGTAAGGCTCCTATGGGATAACTTTGTTAAAATGGTTTTATATCAAAACTAGAAATACGTGGGCGTAGCAACTGTTAACGAATAATTCCTTGTGCTTTGTAAAATCTATATTGCACGCTGTTGTACTAGTACACAGTGAACTGTCAGTGGGCGTCGGAAACTCTGAACTAAGGTTGGTGACAAGTTCCAGGCTTACATACCCTTCCATCAGCTGTAATTCATCTCCAGCCTTGCCCCCCAGATTTTATTCCCCCATTACCTCTTACCAACAAAATTAAATATTAAGTGTCATCTCTTACTAATTTAATACTAAACTCTCCTTTTTCTATACTGCCTTACCCAAATCCTAATTTAGAATTGGAATTTCATCAGTCACAGATGTTTTGAAACAGGGAGTGCCTCATGTCTGGGTTGGAATATGGTCTTAGTCACTTATTAATACCCATAAATGGGCACGTTGTCAGTGATTACCAGGGACTAAGTAAAATCAATCAATTAACCAATGGTTCCAGTTTTCAATTTTAACTATCCCTTCTCCATCATTAGAAGCATTAGTCTGAGAGACAGGAATAATTTTGAAGTTTAAATTATACACCTTTTAAGAAATTATAACCTGTTAACTGATTGTAGAGGGTTCTTCAAAATATGAATATTATGACAGAATCCTCAAGTGGAGATCACTAAATAATGCATCAGTTTTTACAATGAGGGGGCGTAGGATGAGATAAAAATATCCAACACTTCAATCTGCTATCTTTTGAAAAATCCATTGCCTATTAATGTTTAATATTATCAACCACTTGTGATCATCTTTAAGCGATTATTTTACACAACAGCAATTGTTTATGATACATGCATGGGATGACAGGATCAAAACAGTCCAGCTGGTCCTTTATAAGTGGGTCACAAATTATTTAAACTGTTCAGATTATATATCTTCTGCAAAAGACTTGCAATTAATCAATGGTAAATGAGGAATAGAAATAACTGCACTACAGTCAAACCTCCTTGTCTTGAACTCAATTAATGTACCCACAATAAAACTTCAAGATATCTGAAGATTCAAGATTTAGAAAACAAAAACACATAAAGTAAAAGTGATTGGGATTTGGGACTGCTATAAACTTTGGCATATCCCTGGTATTCTAGATACTTTGCCCTGATGACCTAGAGTCAAAGTCATGATATATCATCTTGTGATAATAATATACTTTTCTATTAGGTGGTTATGCACCATACTTTAATCTAAAATCTTTAAAACCTACTGGTCATAGGCAATCTTTGTTTTAAATATAAGATTCCAATGATTTTGCATCACAAGATATAGCCAGGATGGGAATTATATATATAGAGGATATCTATGTTGTGTAATTTGATATTGGCTTTAACCAACGAGTTGAAATGGTGTATAAATTCGCGAGGCTTGCCGAGCGAATATACACCATTTCAACGAGTTGGATAAAGCCAATATCAAATCACACAATTATAGATGTTCTATTTATCTCATACGACTTTCGTTTTAACAAAACTTTGAGACTTCCCCTGCAAAATGACAGAATGATTGCTAATTCAAATTGATGACGTATAACTTGATGACGTAGCACCTTTGATGTTGACATGCCTCGAAAGAAAGTAGATCTTGTTCAAAAGATCTTGTTTACAATTTTTGCTATCTGCGTTTTTGAAAACATTATGTAACAATAGCTGGAGCTTTAAATTACATCAAACGAACTTCTGATTGAAAGTTGTAAGGTCCAGGGGATCGTGAAAATGAACTTTTTGGACGATGGCAGTACAAAAACGTGTTAGGCAAGGCTAGGGGCCTACTTGTAGATTCATTGTTGATCCATGGTAATTTACACCTACATTACTAGGTAGGCATATGTAGTATAATATAAAAAGCATTATTGAAGATGTTAAAGAAATCTTATAACAACAACTTAACTGCTAGGCTATACTTTCTCCGAAAACGATTGAAAGGGGGGTTAACATCTGTCTTCAAGTAGCCAATACAGTTTCCTTGATAAAATAAGACACTTCTTTGACATATACGAGTCTTTTTCTGGCTTTTAATGATATTATTGCTCTTTATCATTCATTTTCTTAGGGCAATAATTTTAACAAATAAAAGTTTCGAATAAAATTTTAAAGCAAGGGATCGTGTCAAAACCGGAAGTTCTGTTGATAAAGCATCTACCCATGGATAAAGCATAAGTTTATCCAACAGTCTGTATCACCAACATGTATGAGATAAATATTTTTATCTGAAATTACCTTTCAGTTGCCTAAATGACCTTGGCACATCACAGGGTCATAAGTAATCTTTGTGTAAAGTATGAGCTTCCAATATGTTTCATTAAAAAATTTATGTCCTGGTCTCCTGGATACAAATTATACACTTTTTCTTCCAGTTACCTTAAAAATGCTCAAAAAACCTTGGATCAAGGTAAAGATTTGAGACATAGGATGTAGGGCAGCTAAGGTAAAAAGTACTACTGCTCCTGGGAACTAAGACAATTTCAACTTCAATGACCACAAATTTAATTTATCTCTGTCAGAAAATATCAACTTTAATATTACATTTACATGTAATAACCTAGATTTGAGCTAAAGAAGAAGCTCTAATACACAATGACCTACTGGGTAAGATTGAGGAAATCTAGGAAAATATCAGAATATTATCTGAGACACAATGATAAGGATCTACAACACTGAGAGGATAATCAGCCATATAGATTTCAGATCTAATATCATCCAATGGAAGCAAGAAATCTCAAATATCTTAATCACTAAACAGTAAATGCACAACAGAAAATGACAGAAAATGACAATAAGCAATAATGTTTTTTTAAAATAGTTTTTGCAATTCTTTCACTTTGCTGAGTATGCATTTGTAATGCTATCCAGTATGAAATATAAAAAAATCAAATGAGCTCTGATATTCTTAGACAATTTTTATGTTAAAAATGAATTAATTAATGTTGCATACCAGGTAATTTATTTTGCCCCATATTGTTTACAAAGAGGACACAATTCAGATATACCGTATGTCTTATTTCTTAAAAACTGGACAGGAAGTATTTCTGAATCATCTGATTAGGATTTACAAACAGTACTTTAAAAAGCCTGTAAATTAAAATTGTTCATAGACAGTTTCAAATCAATGCAGAGAGTACATAAAAAAGATAGTAATACATGTTCTCCCCCTTGCAAATTATATGACAAACTTGTTGACATGTAACATGTACAGTTGTACAAACCTTCCCCCTTTCATACTCTATACTTGACTAATTTCATGTGTGTTTGTATGTATGATCAGACCCAGAGCACCATCATGTCTGAATGAGTGGGCGAGAAAAAACCTTTAACTTCTATCATCTCTTCGGGAAGTTACATTTTTAATATTTCCCATAAGGAAACAAAAAACGCCTACTTTTCAACTATAAATATAAAACACTACAATTTTTTAGCAATCGCTGAAAATTAAAAATGAGTTTAAAGTTTGTTTTTTTTAAATAAGCAATAATTTACCTGCATACCTTTGAGGTACAATTCTGACTAGCCTGACCCTTTAGAATGAAACAATACAAATTTTTTGTGTACTGCCTATATACGCACTGTCTATCTAACATCTTATATATGGTAGAGTCATAATATGTAAACAATGAAACTTTTAGTCCACTGCTGAAAGTGGAGGATATTAATTTTGGTCTGTCCGTCTTTAGTTTCCATGTGATATCTTGAGAAGCCTTTGAACTTTTGGGGTGAAATTTAACATGACTTCCTATGGCCTAAGGAAGATCTCAATTGATTTTGAGGTCAAAAGGTCAAAGTCATACTTTCAAAAATTCTGTTCTTAAAAAACACTCAATAATATCTCAAGAAGCTGGCTTTTGCACTTATGTTTTAAACTATAACACCCTAAGGCATGAAAAAGACCCCTATAGAGGTCAAAAGGTCAAAGTTCAAGGTCATGAATTCATACATTCTGTATGGTTGCAAAACTTTCATTTAGAGTGATATCTCAAGAAGGTTTTGGAATTTTTACAAATAAATTTTGCTCCCTACGGCCACACCTGCCCTTCTAAAATTGTCCCCACACCCTCCCCTACCTTTGACTCCACCCCCATACATCCATGCTTGTTCTTCTTTTAGCCTTAAGCAGGGGACACAGATTCTCTGAATTAACTTGTTTTCATTCAAAGCCTTAAATCTATATGCTGAAGAAGAAAGGGGTTTGTATTCCTCTTCTTCTTCTTCAGGCGTTGGCACGATAAAGATCCCTCACTGCTCAATGGCCCTGAGTGCCAAGTAAAGGTCAAAATTTAAAGCTTTTCACCGGCATACGGTGACGTCTCCATATGAGTGAAAAATTCTCGAGAGAGATGTTAAACAATATACAATCAATCAATCTTCTTAAAAAAAGGTGTAAAACTCAATTCATAGACAAAAGGGTAGGTTAATGCACTTTAACATTGTTCATTGGAATTTAAAAAAAAATTTGTCTACATTTTCTCTTAATCATATTACTGGGTTTATCTTTTATGTTTAATAAGACTTTAATGCTTATTATTTTTCCTTGATATAAAGAAGTGCTAAACCTCAGTGCTCATCCCTTAAGAATGAGCTCTACATATTATTCCCACGCAGACCTAGAATATACCTGCCTTAGTGAATCAATATTACCCTAAACTCATACTCACTGAATCTGATAATGTCTTATCTATACATAAAATGATAAAAAATGCAACATTTGTGGAGAAAGGGTGTGGGAGTGAGTACTCTGTTGGAATGGCTGGTTGCTGCTTATCATGGCTTTTGATGTACATACTGTTGTTGGATGGTGAAAATCTTAGACTTCATGCAATGTGTTACATGTGTAGCATATACAGTTTTAAACCTGTATGTAATCAAATGTTAGGGAGTCAAGTCAACATCTTATGAATAGATACTTTTAAAAAGTGGGAAAAAACCACCAAAAAAATAGAACATACCAATACAAATATGTGAAATTGGCATGTGATTTAATTACCATAAAACTTAAAAAAAAATTAGCTAAAAATTCATATATTTTTTCTTTTACGTTTGTTATGGTTAATAATTGTATATATTATGATTTGGAGTTCCAAGATCAGTTGACATAAAGAAGGAAGTTACATGTGGTATTGTAGACTGTCTAGTATATGGTACCACACTTACTGGTAATGAAGGCATGTATACTGACAGATTGAACACATTTCTAATGATTAACTTTATACATTCCTTTCACAAGATCTAGAAACAGGAAAAGGTTTTAATTTTTAAAAAGTGAATACATTTATTCCATTCTCAATAGCATTATCAATAATTCAAGGTTTATACACAAGTAAATTGAAGTTCCTTATTAATCTTATCCTTTTAAATAACTATTAGTGGTGTGCTGTAACAAATACATGTTCATCCTAGAATGTAAAATTCACAGAAAGTAGAAAATTTTTAGCAAAATTTCATAAACTTTACTACATTTGCACACTAAATATCTAAAATTTCTTAAATGATAATTGACCCATTTTAAATTTGAATTCAGGGTTCATAAATAAAGAATGCTTATTATACAAAATAAACCACACCATTGCTAACACATATTTATACCATTTTTGAAGCATACAAATGTGGTTTCATACCTTAGTATCAAAATCTCATAGCATTCACGTTTAAGTAGCATTTCAATTCCCTAGCTTGGTTTACCTCTATATATTTACTTATGCAATTATATAATGTACATATACTTACTAGATTTACTTTATTTCAAAAAATTCATTTATATGTAAATTTAGTACAGGGAAATTATAACCAACTACCCAACTTTTATTTACCAACTGAATAAATATCTTCAGGAAAAAAGATGTCCAATGATGACTCACCTTGTATGAAATCTATATGTTTAATTTTTGAAACTGAAGAATAAAAATTCAAACCTAATTTTAAAGGAGCCAACACAAAAAGAAATTAAAGAAGCATAGTAATGACACCAGTGTCAAGATCACTGTACAAATCAAACATCAGTACAAGGTCCATACAAAGTTTCTTAAATCTTTGATTAATCGGCTAATGAGAACAATCAAGTAGTAGATGATTTCATTTAACTACTATCTGGACTAATACTAGTATTTAGATAGGATCCATTGTAGATTTTGAGTGGGAGACTAACATCTTGACAGCACCTTGAGAAAGGCATATAGTAACAGAATGTACTATATCTGTTACTTAGTAGTCCTTTTCATCTTTGCAGTGAATGATCTTTTAATAGAGGCAGTAGGGCTGGGACGATATATCGATATCGATATATCGTGATACTGAAGAAATATCGAAATATGGCCCCCCAAAATCTTACTTCTATTTTTCTTTGTTTATTTAACATTTGGGGTTTAATATATAAAGTAAATAAGATAAATATAAATATAGATGTGAAATAAATAATAATTTACACCACTTGAGTAAAATATTTTTGTTTTACAACATATAAACAACTATTTTGAATAAATTATTCTTATTTGCAAAGAAATAATTTGTTTATTTCAATGCAAAAAACAGAATAAGCAATTGAACATTTGATACATAGAGGCACTGATATGGATATAGAAAAAGTTGTATCAGAGAGGGAGACAAGAAAGGAGGATTCATGACCATATTAATAAGTACATGTATCAGGTAATCACAAAGCATTGGGTACACAGACAATTTGAATATTACCATGAAAACACATTTACACATACAGGCAAGCCATGAAAAGCCTGAATCAAGTTCAGACATCTAAAATCAGAATGTCTGATTGTAAATTTCAATTAAGATTTGATGAATTTACTTGAATATTTAATAAATTTGTTATATCCGTAAAATAATTTTGTTAAATTTAAATAGCTGGGGATTCAAGATAACTTCGCTATATCTGTGAATTCACAATATCCTTGTTCATACTAAATGAGTTTTACTGTGCTACATTAGGGTGTCACGGGTAACCAAAATGACCGAGAACTTCGGAACAATTAATTCGGGTCCGGTTCAGTTCTTCCGGATTTTCGTTTGGTTCCGATATGTACAATAGAGAAGGTTTTACCATAAAAATGGCATCTAAGCAAAAGACTCGTTAGTTATATTTATTTAATTACCATCATTATGCGATATGAATCATTTGGTTCAATTTTCTTTCTAGTATTAGTAAACTATTGTAAACTAGCCATTATGCTGCCGTTTGTTAAATTTAAACAAATTTTTTTTTTTTTTTTTGTTGAATATAATTCAAATCATGAGTTTTTATTCTATTGTATATCCAAACTGAAAAACCGGAAATCGAACCAAAATTTTTTTCACCAATCTGACCCGAAAGCAGTGTTTAAAACTCACAGTAAAATTAGCTAGACATGCAGGGCTGACTGCTAGTGAAAGTTGTCAGCCCTGTCAAAAATGTACTAGCCCGAAAAAAATAATTGTCTTTTATAAGTTTGTTTTAGCAATAATGTGAATGGAGCCAGCTAACCATATATTTGATCCTGGGCCTATAGGCTGATGAATTCTACCTGTTTGCTTGTTACACTTCACAAACAGTAATATCAGTTGATAGAGTTTTATCAAATATCGGAATTTTAATTTATGGAAAATATTACACGTCTAGCCGGGCGTCAATACGTGCAAATCTGTTCGCCTGTGACAAAATTTGTGCATCTCGGGCGCCAGTTATTTCAAACACCCCGAAAGATTTTAGAACAGTGACAGCCCTATACTACATGTATCAAATAATCTGAGACACTACATGCATATGTCACCCAACAACATTTTCATTTAAGGAATGAAGCTTATTTTAACCTGTATTATACAATATAACGTAACTTGAGACAGATAATGCTTTAAAATAAGCTTCATCCCTTATAATTTAAATTCAATGTAGACAATGAGACAATTTTTCCTCCAAAATGGCTTTAAATAGGGCTCAAATTGACCATATTTTAAAAGTAACATCGCAGGGGTAATACATTTTAAACGTAAATCATTATGACATTATGACAGGCATACTAGGCAACTTATTTTAAAAGAAAAGAATTTAATATTTTATCCAATCAAATGATGTGTCATTTAAAATTAAATTATCATAGTTTTCACAAAAGGCTGCTATAAGGATTTCCATTTCAAATCCAAATGAAGATGTCTGTGTTTGCGAGAAAAACCGAATGTGTACAAATAAAATATATGATTTTATAATAAGAATAATGATAATAATTATGTAATTGCATTAATAATCATTTAATAAATACAAATTCATAACCTAAAATGCTTTTTTCTAAACTTCATGCTAAATTAATTATTATCAGTAATTGCTATTAATAATCATTTAATAAATACAAATTGAATAACATAACAGTCACACTAAATAAAAACAAAAAAATTTTGCTGGTTATTTCCTCGGCAATTTTACATTAGTTTCTATGCAAAATTGATAATATACAAAATAATCATTTTTTGCCAAATTTTTGTCATATACCTAGTGTGATATCCTTTAACAAAATGCAACAAAATGCAAAAATAGCTGTATTAATAGCTACGTAGGTCTTTGTGTCCATCTGTGTTTGTCTGCAATCTTTTTAAAACGGAACACAGAGCAGATATTTATTCTAATGCATGTATTTACAAATGTAAATATATTTTGATAATATAATTTAAAATCTATAATCAGATTTGACACTATGTAAAAATTTATAATAAACTGTTAAGATTTCTTAGCACATTGCAATCACTAAATCATCAAAAAATTATGTGTATAGATGTATTTATTGCAACTATTCTTTGATAACATTTTACTAACACTCCTAGGTAAAATCAGACTATAATCGAAAAATAAAAACGGACAGCAGAAATCGCTGACCGAGTTAAAACTGTAAACAACCAATGAAATACGCACTGATTTTCAGGCGGGGCAGTCTGGTTTATAAACATGGTCTCCTCCGCGTGGTCCTGATTCTCGGATAAAGGGTCGTCATCGTCCCCTAGGTCTGTAGTACCCGTGTCTTCTGCCGTTTGTCCGACATTCGGCACTGCAGACACCACTGCACTGTTGTTGTCGGCCATTTTCTTTCCGCATGTGCGTGATGAAGTAAGATGATGCAGCTGATTGGTTAAAAAAAGTTCCCGCCATATTTTTAGTTACTTTATGAATGACGTCCAAGGAATTTATCAATGGACAATGCCGTATTTATGAATGGACCTTTTCAATGAAATTAATTAAACCCATTCATAAATTTACGTATCGGTATGCAATCGTACATACGTGAAATATATTCATTCATTTAAATAAAAATGTTTTATGAAGTCAAAGAACTTTAATTAGTGTCCTTATTGAAAACGTTTTACATTTATAGACATGAAATAAAATATAATTTAAAATATTGGAAATAAGTAAATTTATCACCTTCTAACTTATAAAATTTAGAGGCATTAATTGTTTTCTAGGGCACCTTAGGAAATTTTGAATTTGCCATGTTAAATTTGCCCCTGGTTGAACGTGAATCATATACTAAATATATATTGCAACTACTAGTATATACCGGCTGTATAATAAAGGTGATAAAAATGAAGTATTCATACATAGATTTACCAGCCTGTTTACTATAATGCAGAGAGTACAAATGTTATAAATTTGATTGATTTATTAATATTAGTTTATTTTCCTAATATTTTTTCATAATAAGGGTTAAAACAAACTTTTCTATTCCAAAAAAAAAATCTGCTTTACGAATTCCAAATAAATTGAAAATTAAACTATTAAATTAAGGCGTCATTAATGTTTGTATGGAATTTTCAATTTAGTCACGACCAGTGTCTCACATATTGTACCCTGAACTAACAATGTTTTTTAAAGTGGTGAGGGTGGGGTAGGGTGGGGGATCAGCCGGAAAAAATAAATTAATCTATAGAAAAAAATGATGGGCGAGGAAATCCGTTTCCTTTGAAGTGCCACATTTTAGTCAATAATATAAGTAATACATATAATTGTCTGATGTACGACCCCATTCACTTTTATCAGTATATTTGTGAATAAAATTTTGTATAAATAAAAAAAAAATAATAAAATAATAACACTTCTACTTTAACTTTATTTGACTAATAGTATTCTGCAGCAAAAAGTGGAAGACCACCCACCATTTCAATGAACGTTTGTTAATATTAAAAAAAAAAAATGTTAGGAAAAAAGAGAGCATGACATCAGAACAGTGGGTATTGTAAGGTCGACTTGCGTAAGACAATTTATTGTCGGGATCAAACAATAAAAATAAATAACTCGGGATCGGAATACAAGACGTTGCTTTGGAAAAAATATAATGATACGGGTGTCAATCCCTTCTTATCACAAAGTTGTTGAAGATAACAACGATTCCTACACGGTAATTCTAATTTGTTTCCATAAATATATATATATATTTTTTTAAAAAGGACACAAGTGGTTAACTTACATTTTTATCAGCAAGTGAAAATTTGAGGTAAACGCCCCCATTCGTCCGTATCATATTCAGTCCTAGGATAGTATAGTATATTTTAAATCTACCATGCATTTCAGGCATTTGTTATAGAAAAGAATAAAATAAATAAGATGCAGCTCAGCTAGGTGATCGAATTGACATTTATCTTACAGATTTAGATATACTCCTGGGATAATATAAACAATTGCATGCTGGCTGTGAGAGGATTTTTTGTTTTATAAATGGTGTCCAGTATAATTTGAAAATATTTTATAAATATGTCTTTTAAAGGTTTTCACCACTGAAGTATGCATCATAGCTACTGGAAAGATCATCAGTGTTCAAAAGAGATACTCAGAATTTGAGTTGCTACATAAACAGGTATAATCCATGCACATACCCAAATAACTGTATAAATTCAGAAATATTTTATTTTCACCTATGTCATGTAAAAAATACAATACCCACTAAATGTGATGAACCTATTATCTTTTTACAGCTAAAGAAACAAATGAAAACTCCAGAATTCCCCCCAAAGAAAGTGATGAAGTTTAGCTATAAAGTTCTAGAACAAAGAAGACTGGCATTACAAACATACTTACAAGTGAGTCTCCATTTGGAATTAAGTTAATTCTGAATCTAAAGGCATCAATAAATTCATTATTTTTTAGAAGAACAGGGCATTTGGGGGTTGAGTGGGGTTGATGTAAAATAAGTAATATTTTTGTGGATAGTTGACTTAATAACTGTAGAAACACATTGATATTAATAAATCTGTTGGAATATTAAATGTTTGAATATATATGCTGCCTTATTGTGTCTCCTAGATTTACAAATGGATTGAAAAGCAAACATGAATTAAGAATTGCGAAGAAGGCTTACTTATGCAATGTCTGCAGTGCAATCCATTTATGTTTTGATCAATATATAAAAAAATATGTTTAAAAGAAATCAAACCTGATTTTTTTTCAGGGAGTAGTGTTAACAGACAAGATCCCTAAAGTTCTCCTTCATTTTCTGAATGTGGAGCAGTACATTTATGGAAGCCAAGAGTGAGTACTTTGGATTTTATGTTTCTAAGAATATGAAGTGAAAAATTTATTTTTTATCCTTTCATGGACATGATTCTTTCGTGTTTTAGTTAGAACATATGTATGATGGAATTATTGATAGCATTCTATAAATGTTGATTGTGTGGCAGTCAGACAAGTTTATAGCTCAGATGGTGGAGCAGTTGTTTCATGATTCAGAGGGCTTAGATTCAAATCCTGGTCTACTCTGTCACAATTTTTCCTCCCTGAATATTATCAGATTCTTAAACTGAATATAAAGCAAAAAAACATTGATTTTTAAAAAGTGGACAGAACATATGGATATAGAAGGAAAGAAAAATGACCAGATAAAAAATCTCTTTTTCTAAAACAGTAATTAAGTGTTTGTTTTCCCCCATGCATTTGACCACTTGTAATACATTTCAGTTCCCTAGACCAGATTGACTCCAGTAATAGGACCACACATCAGCCCTTGATTGCCTTTGCCCCGGAGGCTTATCTACAGGACAGCAACAGAAGTATGAAAAGTTGTAACATACATATATATCAAGTGGTTTACTATGAGATATTCATATCCCAGGTTTTACACCAATTTGAGACTTATTTTGTAAGCGTTATCAGGACTAAATACAGTCAAACGGCAGGATTTTCCTGCATAATTATTCAAGTAATTTTTATTCAACCAGAGACATAGATAACAGAGATTTGCAACTCCTTCATTAGCATGTTTGTTTACCAAAATTTGTGATGGTCCAGGTACTATCCTAAGAATAATAATTTTATGCCTTGTATTTCATTTTAAAGTAAAATTAATATTAATTATACCATATTTGGGTGTATAATCTTAAAGTTTTAATGATCTTTAAATGCAAATTATAGGCAAATAAAGAGGTTAATGATTGATATTTGACAAAATCGAGGCAATATGGCCGACCAAGAGTCACCAGTTGTAACTTCAGATTTCTCCTTTGTTATTGTATTACATAAACAAACTTACGAAAAAATAATATTGTGAATAATTTGTGAATATAAATTAAAAATAATAACAATGTAGACCCTGATAATTTTAAAGTTTTATGATATTTAGGTTGAGCGAGATTTGAAAAATTAAACAATAGGGACCGCAAGATCGCGCAAGATTTCAAACTGTTATGAATCTTTGTTATTTATGTCTCTGATTCAACAGATAACAAAAGAAATTTGCCAAAATCTGAATTTTCAATTTTGTTAAATTTCAATACAGGAAATGCTGTTTACATTCACAAAAATTCCTTGAATATTGTAACGAGACCGAGGGTATCGTGTAATAATTAACTCGTGGGCCGCTATTAGTTTTCTGATCACTTGGTCGAGATTTGATGGTTCTGTTGGTCGATCACAGTTTATATAATGGTTAATAACCAATTTTTGGTAACTTAATTGGTTAATGGAATGACCAACTTTTGGTCACTTATTTGGTTGACGTAATGACCAACTTTTGGTCACTTCTTTGGTTGACGTAATGACCAACTTTTGGTTACTTCTTTGGTTGACGTAATGACCAATTTTGGTCACTTTAAATAATATTTGTTAGGAATAACACTTGTTAAAAGTTTATAACATTTATTAAGACGATCAAATGGTTCACTTATAAACACACAAAATGGTACACAGTAACTTGGTTGGTACAACGTTATTTGGTTAACAAAAAGGTGACCAACCGATGGTTAATCCAGGACGTTCCTAAAAAACTTGGTCCCCTTTATGGTTTCGTATACATAGACTTGGTACCATCTTATAACCGAAGTATACGGAGTCGTTCCCAACCAGGGAAGGCTGTGTGCTCCGAGTCGCTCCCCACAGCCGACTGAAGTCTAAACCCAAAACAGCTGGTTTATATAGACAAAAGTTGTTATGATGACGTAAGAGACAATCAGATACCTATTACGTCACAATCAATGCAATCAATAAGTTAGCGGGTTTTAACCATCAAAATTACCTACTTAATTAATAACGTTGTACCCATATAAAACATACAAAATACACCACTTTGTCATTAAATCCACATGTTAAATTAATAAAGTCATTAAATCAATTATTGGTCATTTCTTTCGTTAACTGTTCATTGACAATTATTTACGGAGTTTATAAACATCGGGTTCAAGTTCCATATATTCCAAACTTGTAAACAAGAGTTAACCCGAATTTCACAGGTACACTTCGTGAAACGTAACAATATTATCACAATTCTTACTTGTTTTCACTTAATGCATGTAATATGTCTACCGGTACATTGGGCTATTTTAAAATAGGCAACATAGCTAGTTGTTAATTTTGCTGAAAGATATGTTGAATCACTTAGCAGAAGTGTGACAAAATCCTAAAAATTTTTGTGTATACAATATTTTCAAATATTTGATTGCAGATGCATCATGGGATATTGTGAGTGCTGGAGTTTTGGCCGCCTTGTACAACAATGTGGAAGATCTTGTGGTACGATGATGAAAACTTAATAAAAAGCAAACTAGTCAGCATTACAAATCACACTGCCAACGCAGCAGTATAATGATTTTACACTCCAACAAAATGAATTTTCACCAGTTGGAGCATATATATACCTGCTCTCTTTAAAAGAGTAATAATTGGCATTCCAACTTACTTATTTTAATATTATTTATTTTTTCTTAACTTTTACTATTCGCTTTAGTTTTATGCTTTATTTTTCTTTTTATCAAAGATTTTGTCAAAGTCAATGAAGATATGTCTCATTTTTTATTTATGATTTTTTTCATAAAATATGCATTCAAATAAAATAGTCATGTGATCCTTTTTTTCTGTATAAGTAATTGATAGAAACAAATGTTGATGTGACAATAATTGATCTCTAGAAGAAAACAAATCTTTTGAAGCTACATTTACTCGCATATGTGTGCTTAAGTGTCTTTTTATCCTAGTATTACCAGTATTTGCTTTTGAAACAGGTGCAGGGATTTGCTTTTACATCAAATATTTTGATCTTAAAGATATTTTTTATTTCTCACTATTAGTTCATTTTCTTTAATTTTACTGTAAAAAAACACATTTTCTGTGTCAAATTTTCATGGTTTAAGAAAAAAGTATTTGTTCATGGAGGGTTTAATTTGTTTAGTTTTGTGTAAAAATTAGCATTGCATGGTAGACATGAACTTGTGTTTCTCTTCAGAAAACCAAAAACATTAACCTCCCACAAAAATTGTAATTTTACAAAAATATATTAATGAAAAAAATATACATAAGTTAAGAAAATGTTAAGTTACTTAATATCAGGTGATTCATGAAATATATAATTTTCTTCCATTATGCAATGTAGTTGTGCAATGTACTGAAATTATGTCTGTTTTATAATTCTGCAGCTACTATAATTTCTTTAATCAGTGCATATACAAATGTGCAATGATCTTTAACATTTTAGCTACGTATGATGCATATTTATTTTAATAAAGATAAATACATTGGATTCTCTACATTACTCGTTTCTTTTTTTTTTCACAAGGAAAATTGTAATTGCAGCTCACTGTCAAGATGAAAAATGCAGTTAATGTATATATCCAGGGCATAGTGTTTGTCCCTCTCCCATCCTTCAGTCCTTCCTTCCATCTGTCCATCCATTACACTTTGCAGTTAGTCTAGTTTGAAAGAAATTACCATTATTCAAGATATTTTAATCAAAATTCATACACTGATACATACTACCTAATGAACTATACCAATTTTTTTTTTTTACTTTGAAAATGATTGTTTGTAAATGTTGTATTATCACTATCTGCATGGACTAGGGTAACTTCAAAATAATATTTGTTTGCCCTTATTTAAACAAAAATGTGATGATAGTGAAATTTTTTTTTTGCCAGGAAATTTAAACACCAATGGTAAAAATTTTCAAACTGTGTCTTCTGGAATGCATTAGAAAATAATTGCTTGCTGGTGGATGAAGAAAATTTTTGAGTTTGGCCATTTTTAGCTAATCAGTCGTTAATCTCAGTGAGATGTCGAAGGGACTAAAAATATTGATTTGTCAGTGTCCCGTCTACCAGACCAAAATTTTTAGCCCCTTCGACATCTCGCTGAGATTAATCAGTTGGTAGAGAGAACCAAAACAATTTTTTAAACAAGGCCATATAATGAACTTTCTAAATACCTAAAACCGGTTATAACAAAGTCACTAGGAACTGTGATTACTGTGCTATATCTGTAAATCGTTATAACAGTATAAAACATAGGTAATCAGAGATTACAAGGACCTCAACATCTCTTTATAAGGCAAAGTCACACAATTAACCAACAAAAAGTATACATTCCAATGAAAATATTTTTAAAAGCAATTTTGATCTGATACTTTGAAATAGACCTACATAAAAAATTTTACTTTCCAAAAATATATACATCTGAAGCATATAGAGTTTTCATCTCTTAACATTTGTGCAAGTTTGGTTTATATAAGCCTTATAGTTTTTGGTAATAGACCTGCAACCATAACTTTTACTTTCCAAAAATGTATGTCAATTCAGCACACAAGTCCATTAGTGTGCATCCTTAGATGTATCATCCATGCAAGTTTGCTCATTATATTAGTTTATTGGAAATGAAACATGCATCAAAACTAACATTTTCACTCATCCACAAAAAGTAGGTCAGATTCACATCCCAAGCCTTTATGATTTACAGTGCATGTATCTATGAAAAATGTTTAAAGAACTCATAGTTCCTTGGAAATGAAACCTGTGTTGAAAAACTTTTATACTCACAAAATGTAGCAGAGAGCATACAAGCCTGGTAGTGTGCATCCTTAATGTATCATCCTTTTAACATAGGGCTAAATTTTCAAATGCCTGCACCAAAAACTTTCACCTGTTCAGATCTGGAAAATGTTTAATAATTTTCCTTCATGTATCATCCATGCAAGTTTTAAATATTTATATTTATATTGCACCAAAAACTTTAACCTGTTCACTCAACTGTGTTTAAAAAATATTGCATCCTTAGATGTATCATCCATGCAAGATTGGTCAACATAGGGCTTATAGTTACTTGGAAATGAAACCTGCACCAAAAACTTTAACCTGTTCGCTCAACCGGAAAATGTAGGTCAGATTAGGAAAATGTAGGTCATCCGACAATAAATTTGATGTATCATCCATGCAAGTTTGGTCAAAGAGAAGTTACAAATGAAACCTACAAAAAACTTGAACCTGTTCACTCAACAAAATGTGTTTGTGAAACACAGATGCATCCTTATGGCTACTCCATGCAAGTTTGGTCAACATAGAAGTTCACTTGGAAATGAAACCTGCACCAAAAACTTTAACTGTTCGACTGTAGGTCTTCAGCATCCGAAGCAAGCCCGGTATATATCCTTAGATGTATCATCCATGCAAGTTTGGTCAATATAGTTATAGTTACTTGGAAATGAAACCATAATAAAAACTTTAACCTGTTCACTCAACCGGAAAATGTAGGTCAGATTCAGCATCCGCCCAAGCCTTGATTTTATATCATCCATGCAAGTTTGGTTTTTTTTATTTGAAACCCACACCAAAAACTTTTCCTGCTCCAAAAACATTAACCTGGTAATTCCTTTGCTGAAATTGCAGCATCTGAAACTTTGTCTGGTACAATAAAACACACTAAAACCATCTTCCATGCTTTAATCAGTTTTAAATTCTTAACGCGAAAGTCGACATGATTTTGACAGCTGAAAATAATTAAATCTATATAGCTGGGGATCCAAGAGGACTTCGTATATATTTTAAACATCCATGTTCATAGGTTTTGAAAAAGTTGATTATGTGCCTGTGTATGATGTGTTCAAGTGGAAGAGATAAAGGTGAACCTTTATTTCAAAGAGGGTTTGAATAGAGCCTTTTAATGCAATACGGGAATACACTTGTATATAAAATTGTTAACTCCCTCCCACCCCCACCCCCTTTATGGATACAGGTTAATAAAAAATGTTTAGCAGAAATGTGTTTTGAAAAATATTCAAAAAAGTATACCTGAAGAACCTTTTACATAATATTTTCTGTCTTGGCAGATCTGAATGTTTAATAATTTTTTCACTCTGTTTTTATTATTTAAAAAAAATTATCCTTCGTGTAAATTAAATGAATGTAATAAAAAGATGCTTTTAGCAATTTATTTTTTTTGTTTAAAGAGAAGTCAAACATAAAAAAAAAAAACAAGATGTGTTTGAGAAACACTGAAGCCCCCGTATGGCAACATAGCAAAGATTAAACTTTTCTTAAATGCAAATTTAATATGTTTGTACCAAAAATAGGGTATTCTCACTGGAATTACAATTGTGAAATATGAAAGTAGGCCAAGGTTAAAGTTTTTTCATAAGTACAGAAATCTCCATGGTCAAGGTCAAAAGATCAAGATAATTGGTATCCAATGAAAGGTCTTGTCACAAAAGAAATATGTGAAGTATGGAAGCCCTAACCCTAACCCTTCAAAAGTTAGAATGTTAAAAAAATGTATTAAAAAATGTTAAAAGGTTTAAAAAGCAGGTCAAACTTCAAGGTCAAAGGGTCAAAAGTCTTGCTATCAAATGAAAAGTCTTGTCACAAGGATTAAATATTTAAAGTATGAAAGCACTAGCCCTGACATTTTAAAAGTTATGGTTAAGGTTTGCTTTTTAAAAGTAGGTCAAACTGCAGTCAAGGTCAAAGGGTTAACGTTCTTGGTATTCAATGAAGGGTCTTCTCACAAGGATTACATATGTGAAGTTAAGATCACTAGCCCTTAGTGTTCAAAAGTTATGGCCAAGGTTAAAGTTTTTTCATAAGTATGGAAATCTCCAAGGTCAAGGTCAAAAGGTCAAGGTAATTGGTATCCAATGAAAGGTCTTGCCACAAAGAATACATATGTGAAGTATGAAAGGCCTAGCTCTAACCGTTCAGAAGTTATGGCCAAGGTTAAAAATTTTAAAAAGCAGGTCAAACTCCAAGGTGAAAGGGTCAAAGATCTTGCTATCAAATAAAAGATCTTGTCACAAGAATTAAATATGTAAAGTATGAAAGAACTAGCCCTAACCCCTTAAAAGTTATGGTTAAGGTTTGCTTTCTAAAAGTAGGTCAAACTCCAAGGTCAAGGTCAAATGGTCAAAGTTCTTGGTATCCAATGAAGGGTCTTCTCACAAGGATTACATATGTGAAGTATGAAAGCCCTGTCCCTTATCTTTCAAAAGTTATGGCCAAGGTAAAAAATTTTTCAAAAGTACGGAAATCTCCAAGGTCAAGGTTGTTGGTATCCAATGAAAGGTCTTTCAACAAAGATTACATATTTGAAGCATAAATGTCTTGATGTTTACTGTTCAAAAGATGTGGCCAAAGTAAAAGTTTTGAATTTTTATGTAAAAGTGGATCAAACTCCAAGGTCAAGGTCAAAAGGTCATATTTGGTGGTACCCAAAGAAAGGTCTTGTCACAAGGAATACACATGTGAAATAAGAAAGTCTTAGCTCCACTAAATTAAAAGTTATGGGCAAGGTTAAAGTTTTTGCGGACAAACAGAGAGACAGAGAGTCAGCTAGACAGACAGACGAAATGACACGACATTCACAAAAACTGTGTTCTCCAAAACTTCGTTTACAGGGGCATAAAAACACCACATAGTCATAGAGATATGCTTGCATAAAATATTACTTGACCTTTGCTCGGGTGAGCTAAAAATATCCGGAATTCCAAAATCCGATTTTCTGGTTTTTATTTTAGTACACCCGATCGATTTCCTGTGTGCGAAAAACAAATTTTGAGGTGATCATGTCGCCTGCATCCAGAGATGTATAATAGATACGTCTCTACTGCATCGATTGATCGAAGGAAAATTTGGTTGGTTATCTTAATTACATAACAGATAAATATTTATGTCATTCTGTCAAAACATTGTAGAATTGAAGATTTTTTCAACTGAAAAATCGTACATCCAAATGTACTGTGCAATGTAAAATCAACACAATTTCATCACAATAATTCAGATTTCCTTTCATATGTATTTTTTATTTCGTTGGAAAATCATCACTGCCATCTTCATTAGCTAATTACTCAACACCTTACAAACCTTTGGCAGTAGTGCTATATAAACAGGTCCAGTCCATTTACATTAGTTTCTATGCAAAATTGATGAAATACGAAGTTTCCATTTTTTGGCCAAATTTTTGTCATATTCATCATCAGTGTGACTGTATCAAGAAATTGTGTGCTCGCCATGTTGCGCCGTTCATGCATTTGGCCACAAATGATTAAAATTGCCGATTCAGGAAGTAATCATTTTTTCGCCAAAATTTTGTCGTATTCATCATTAGTGTGACCGTATCAAAAAATATGGTATTCACCATGTTGCGCCGTTTATTCATTTGGTCGCAAAATGCAGAAATTATGTAAAGTAGGTAAAAATAGCTACCTTTGGTAGCTTTAAATACCTAGGTAGCTATTAATAGCTACGTAGGTAGAAATAGTCTTTGGACTGGACCTGATAAAGTCAACATTTTTTCTCAAAGTGTTGTCGAATTTTATGGACATTTTTTTTTTAATATTCAACAAGAATATCACAACACTAAAGAAAAAGAAAAAAATATCTCTCTCTTGGATTTTTTCTTGACTATTACAATTAATTATGAAGCATGAAATACAGTTGCTTGCAAAGTTAAAAATAAAGACCGTTACTGTACCCTCGAGTGCCCAGTAGTCCAGCGCTTAAGAGATAATCAGTGCAAAGTACAATTTAAATGAAAATTATAGTTATTTCATCTGATATTTTATCTTATTGTCTAATTGTCTAATTTTCTTGTTATTAAAAATATTTCTAAGCGCTTTATTAAATTCACTATCGGGGCACAAAACAAGTAAGATTTACGGCCATATATGTTTTGGACCAGTAGTCATGCGCTCGAATGTAGCAGATATTGGGCCAAGAAAAATGAAAACAAAATAAAAACAAATTTCAGGTGACTAAGATTTTATTCTTCAAGGATCAATTCAATCATATTCAGAATTTATTTAATTTAATTAAGTTTATGGTTGTTTTTCTAAAATAAGTCATAATTTTTTCATCACTCTTTATTTACAAGTATTTCTACGTAATAATTACCGGATACAAATTTCAGTATAAGGACTATAGCATTTTTATGAAATATTTCCATTTCTAATTTTTTTTCTCTGTGATAACTCTTTGAAAGTTAGGGGTAGTTTATTTCTTGATAATTCTGCCGGAATGTAAATTAGTCAGGTCGATAGGTCTGGAGCTAAGGAGGCCTAATATGCATGCAATTCTCGTGCACATCTGTCTCTGTTTCTGACGCTAAGGAGGCCAAAAATGCATGTAAATCTCGTGCGGCTGCCTTTGTGTTTGACGTCGGTCGGCGAGGACTATTGAAATTGGCATGGAAGTCATCATGTGATTTAAATCTATTCATCTACATTTTTAAAGTCTAAGTCTATAATTTTATTTCACAATGAAATGGAAATATAAGGAATCACTGTCTAGTTAGGAGGGTATGTCTGTCACTATGTCAGGGACATCAACAATAGTGGGAAACATGGGATAATTTAAGCATAATGGGCTTTGCCCGTTATGCAAATTATCCCATGTTTCCAACTATTGTTGATGCCCTGACATACCCTCCTAACTAGAAAGTGATTCCTTAAGTAATCTTATAAAATTCTTGACAAAAGGAAAAAATGAAATACCCTGTGCCCATCACATATGATTATGCTAATTAGCCATGTGCTCGCCGTGTCCATAGGTGGTGCCCCTGTGCAGGTAGAGTGTTTATTTAGAAACTCTAAAAAGAGTATTAGCAAAATGGCGGCTTTTATTGATGTTTATGTCTATTTGATAAATTAATAAATGTTTCCTCCGCATATTTAACTTTTTGTTTTATAGACAGCACTTCCTTCTCTTTTCTTTGAAAATCAGTTGTTTATGACGTAATATCATAGCACGTGACTAACTTTTGACAACAAACAAAATGGTGCATGACTACTGGGCACGCACGACTATAGGACCCTCGACCATATATGAATAATTTAAGTGAAAATTAATTTAAAACTGTAAAAATATATTGATACCTAACTTTATGGTATAATATAAGTTATCCATGTTCAATCCATGTTCAATCAAGAGTGTATGGGGATTTACCCCAGGTTTTCTTCTACGCCCTGAAGCTGAAGGCTGAAGGGTGTATAAACAACCTGGGGTCAATAATTACCCATAAAACCTAGATTTGGCCTGAATAAAGAATTTATTTCCTAATTATCAGATAGATTCTTTGTGGACAAAAGTCTCATCAGTGGTATTATTTCAGACAGGGCCTATTGATAATTGAGCAAATGAATCATTATTTTTTGAGAGTTATAGTGTCATAACTGCAGTGTGTGCAAACAAAGTGCAGTATTTTAATGAAAGACATTATAGGGGAGATGCATTGGTTATTTTTTTCTTTTAAGCTCCTTGCATAAATTAATTTTTTATAAAACTCAGGGACTGTTGTATTCCCAATTATTGTAGTATAATGAAATTAAGTGTATTTCTTTCCTAATGTGGAGAATTTCCCCCTAAAATTTTACATTTAGTTGTATCCATTTGGATCTTGTCTGGAAAAAAGGGTATCATATTCTTCATTTTATATACATTGTACATAACTAGAACACAAAAGAAATGCAGTTTAAATAATTAGGCCAGTTGTTCTTTTTTTTATGAAAGTTAAAAGTTTATCCTGTATTTAAATAATTAATTTTTCAGAATGAGCTATGAAAGAAAAATCAAGGAACAAAAAGGGAAAATCTCCACAAAAGAGGAAAGAGCATGGATTTCAGACAATTACTTCAATGTTTAGGAAGCAGCAGCTAGCAACTGAAGTATGCAAATCGGAAGTCATTTCCACCTCAGACACCAACTCTAAAGAAGAAGAGGAAGACATACAGATAACCTTTGTTGAAACAACATCTAGTTACTTTTTGTCTAAAGAAAAGACATCAAATACTGTGAAAAGGTTAAGCTTGAGGAAAAATAGAGTCAAAGAAGATAATCAAACATTAGACTCCCCATCAGAATGTACATTAGGCAGTAATGCTGATTTAAATGAGATAGGAACAATTTCTACTGATCAAGTACATTCCAAAATTAATGAAAATAATAGAATTGAGTGTGAAAAATCAGGTAAGACCAAAAAAGTTGAACCTCTGCTATCTGCATCCAGCTCAAACACTAAAGGAAACTCCATAAAGAAACTTTCACTGAGAAAACGGAAGTCTGAATGTCCCAGTAAAGAAACTAGCCTGGTAGAGAAAAGATTCAAAACTGCTGATGAGAAACAGGAAGGTGTCAGTAAAATAAAAAGAAATAAAAGTGTGCCTAATGTTACTCCTCTTAAATCTGAAAGAACAGAGACTAAAGGAAAAATAGGTGAAACTGATGAAGAACAGACAAACTCTAGAACATCTACCCCACTGCCAAAAGACAACAGTTAGTTTTTAGCTCTATACTAAGACTGATAATCCTTTTTAAATGTACTATATATGGTTTTTGCTTTGGAAGAACTGTCTTGCCCTGACAACTACGGTAAAATTGAAATTTCTATGAAAAAAACAAGATTCACTTATGTCCTTTTTTTGGCCCTGTGAATTTCTGAAAAAACTGAAACTGCTTAATTTTAGTTAACAATGCATGAAATATCATTTAGATCTTTGGTGATTGCCTATCAAAAATGACCTAATTTTCTGGCTAGTCAATGCTAGTGTCAATGTAAATTCTATGATTTTCTTTTCAGGCAACAGTAATTCAGATTTGCCTGAGGATGAGGAGAATGTAATTCAGACCCCATATTATTTAGAAAATTTTCGAACAATCATTAGCACCATTCTCTCCTGTGAAGATGATTTGAATCTCTTCAATGATGATGATAGGAAATTTGTCAGTGTATTTGGTGAACTTACAGGTAAGTACAATGTACTAAGTACCAGTCATTCACTGTTTGTTGAAGCTGAAACTGTTTGAGTAAAAAAATGTTATCATCTGCTTGAAATGCAGTCAAATTTTATTATCTTGGACTCTTTGAACCAAGGAAAACTTTTGATATTACATGTATTTTCATGATATGTAGGTTGAAATTTAATACATATAAAAAAGAATTGTTTCAGACTTTCGATTCATAAGGAAATCAGATTTTTTTTTTAAAGAGTATTTATTTACTCATTTTATTTATACCATACTTTCTTTCGCAATTTTACTTTGAATTACCAGAGAGATACTTATGTATTAATATATCATTTTAATAAATCAAGAATTTAAGGACTAATCTTTTTCTTATTACAGAACCAGCTCAAAAGTTATATGTTAGGTTATTTGGAAGAAAATGGAAATGGTTGACACAGCAACAGATCAAGTACCCAGGAATCAAGGATGATTTAACAGATGTGTTTCAAGAGCTTAAAAGAGAAGGCTTCTTAAGCTCTGGTCAGTTATTTATAGTAATGAGCTAAAATATTCAAAGATGATTTAAAAAAAAAAATGTACTAGGACTGTCTTTTGTAAGACAGAGTTTTATTGCTGAGGGGATCCCTAGACCCTAGCTCTGAGTTTCTTTGATAACTCCAATTAGCTTTTTAGCTCACCTGAGCCAAAGGCTCAAATGAGCTTTTCTGAACAAAATTTGTTCGTTGTCTGTCGTTGTCGTCGTTGTTGTCGTTGTCGTCGTCGTTGTTGTAAACTTTTCACATTTTCATCTTCTTCTCAAGAACCACTGGGCCAATTTCAATCAAACTTGCTACAAAGTATCCTTGGGTACAGGGAATTCAAGTTTGTTCAAATCAAGGGCCACACCCTTTTCCAAGGGGATATAATTATGAATTAGAGAAAAATTAATGGCATTTTTAAAAAATCTTCTTCTCAAGAACCACTGGGCCAGGAAAGATGAAACTCATGTGGCATCATCCTCAGGTAGTGTAGATTCAAGTTTGTTCAAATCATGACCCCCGGGGTAGGTTGGGGCCAAAATGGCCGATATTTTACATAGGAATATATAGGAAAAATCTTTAAAAATCTTCTTCTCAAGAACCACTGGGCCAGGAAAGATGAAACTCATGTGGAATCATCCTCAGGTAGTGTATATTCAAGTTTGCTCAAATCATGACCCCCGGGGGTAGGGTTGGGCCAAAATGGCCGATCAAATTTTAACATGGGAATATATAGGAAAAATCTTTAAAAATCTTCTTCTCAAGAACCACTGGGCCAGGAAAGATGAAACTCATGTGGCATCATCCTCAGGTAGTGTAGATTCAAGTTTGTTCAAATCATGACCCCCGGGGTAGGTTGGGGCCAAAATGGCCGATCAAAGTTTTACATAGGAATATATAGGAAAAATCTTTAAAAATCTTCTTCTCAAGAACCACTGGGCCAGGAAAGATGAAACTCATGTGGAATCATCCTCAGGTAGTGTATATTCAAGTTTGTTCAAATCATGACCCCTGGGGGTAGGGTTGGGCCAAAATGGCCGATCAAATTTTAACATAGGAATATATAGGAAAAATCTTTAAAAATCTTCTTCTCAAGAACCACTGGGCCAGGAAAGATGAAACTCATGTGGAATCATCCTCAGGTAGTGTAGATTCAAGTTTGTTTAAATCATGGCCCCGGGGGTAGGGTGGGACCAAAATGGCCGATCAAAGTTTTACATAGGAATATATAGGAAAAATCTTCTCAAGAACCATTGAGACAAGAAAGATGAAACTCATGTTGAATCATCCCCAGGTAGTGTAGATTCAAGTTTGTTCAAATCATGACCCCCGAGGGTAGGGTGGGGCCAAATGGCTGATAAAAGTTTTACATAGGAATATTAGGGAAACCTTTAAAATCTTCTTTTCAAGTACTTCAAAGCCATGCTTAGTGATATTTATAGGGAATCTTCTTTTCAAGTACTTCAAAGCCATGCTTAGTGATATTTATAGGGAATCATCCTCAGGTAGTGTAGATCCTATTTTGTTCAAATCATGATCCCCTGGGGGTTGAAATTCAAGTCCCCCCCCCCATCCCTCAGTAAACTTTCAGTTCTGATCTGATATGTGCTTTTTCCTAGCCAATTGCTCAGGTGAGCAATGTGGCCCCTGGGCCTCTTGTTCATGATTACTGTGGTACTGCTCTTTTACAAGGCAAAAAAAAAAAGGTTTGCAGTTTTGTAGATAATTAAATGATATTTTTTAAACAATTACTATATTTTTAACATCAAATTTCACCAAATTATATCTATTTGTCCTACAAAAGGGCAGTACCACTGTTTTTACTATACTGTAGTATGTAATACTGTAGATCACTAAATTTTCGCGACACCTTATTTTCGCGACATTGTCATTCACTCATTGTAAGCGAGACATAATTTTCACGAATAGTTGTTATTCCTCTATATAATCGTAAGGAATACTTTTATACGTGAGAAATAGATTTTCGCGACCGCAATGCCTCGCGTAATTACGCGAAAATAAAGTTCTCGCGAATAAAAAGTGATTTACAGTAGTCAATAAATATTGAATAGATAATTTTTTTTTATCTCAGTCATAAATTAGGTCAGTAATTTTTGTACTATCCTTTGATCCAAAGATGGATTATTTCAATGTTTAAGTTTTTTTTTAAATTGACAGAGAATGACCTGGAAGACTTGGAGAAAGCTCTCAATCTGCTGTCTGCTCCAGATCTGAAGTCATTTGCCAAATCATACCACCTAACCTCTATCACAAACAAAAAGGAAATCATTCCAGCTCTGCTAAAGAAGTGTAAAGAAAACACCATAGGATCCATGTTCAAAGTGTCAGGCCTTGATCCTTATCAAGTCATGCTGAAAAGGTACAAAATGTGGTGCATATAACAATGCAACATATCAAGCAATATCAAGTTGTCCATACAATCGAAGATGAAATGATAAGAGATAGTATAATTTTATGCCTTTTTTAGGGTGAAGAAGCAGCTAGGACCGTGTGTTTGTTTGTGTGAGGAGCCGCGGTTTGTCTTCGTGAGGATGTTAATGCTCTTCTCTCTTACGGACACAATTCTAGATGACGACAATGCTAATGCTGGGCAGAGTCAGCTGTAAGTCTCCTTTATACAGAGAAAAAATTTACTTTCATGAACAAACTTCTTCTGTTTAGCTAAATCTGGGATGATTTCCTTTTCAGATTCAGAATGTTACAGGTTAACATTGGGGACACAGTGTATCCAGCCTTCACTGTTAGCAGAGAGACAAAAATATTTAAAGACAGAGATTCAGTGTTGAGGTATTGACCATGTATATTGTATATGTATTAGGTAAAATAAATATTGAAAGTAAATAGTACTCATTTGCTCACTCGTTTTGTAGATTTTCTGAGGCCTGCTTATTGGAAGCTGATCTATGGGCCAGACTTGAGAGAAATGATTTTGAAGCTGCATATTCAGTATATCTGGAGGCAAAAGAGAGAGTACAAGATCTGAAGAAAGAAAGTGCTATAGCTAAGTATGTCTAAAATCTGAAATTCATTTTTGTAATGTATACATATATACAGGACTTTTTTTCTTCAGATTTCAATAAAACTTGCTAAGAGTTTAAAAACTTTAAGATATATAATTTGAGGATAATATAATTGTAATTACATGGTAAATACTCCAAAACATATTACAGATCCAATGTAACTTTTCTAAAAATTGTAAGTTCAAGCCACTAGAGCTACAGCATCATCAGAGATATCTGGTATTGGTGTTTTTCTTTTGTTTTTGTTAAGCATGCTTTAAGTTTGCTGAAATTCATGTGCATGTAATATTTTATTGAAATGTAAGTGATAGATTTATTTCATGATCAAATATTTCTTCACAAGAATTTAAATAAAATTTAATAGACGGTTTCCCATTTTTCTTATATATTCAATAATATGATAACTCCAATAATACATTGATTTTTTATTGGATTGTTTTATGATCACACTCATAACATCATGCTTACAGTACACCTATAGCCATTAGCTAGGTGTTTGCTAAATGCTAATTACTTACATTTCTTTTAACTCTGGCTGAATTAAATCACTTCAGAGTTCAAATGATCAAACCCTGTTAACTTTGGATGTTTCTCCAGAAATAATGAATCTTGGCCTTAAAGTATATTATTAATGTCTCTTTTTATCAACAGGCTAAGCATATGCCTTTGTATAACATTTATTTGATGATTGTATTTGTAAGAGAATTTTAACAAACAAAAAAATAGAAACATGCAAATGTTAAAGGTTTACACATGTAGAAATATATTTTTGATTTTGCATATTTTCATAGATATGAACCACTTTATCGAAAGGAATCGGCTCCTCAGCCAAGAACAAAAAATAGCCTGAAGTACATTTTTTCAGATATTTCATGTACAAGGAGTAATGCTGTGTGATTATACTGCAATGCCTTCTATTTCAGCCATGATAAGACTTTACCAGATTTTCTGAGACCCTTCACAGCCTTAAGTGTGTACACCAGGATTATCAACCAAGGGGTGGAACTCCTGCAGAGGAGGAAGGAGTACACAGAGGCGGTGTCTGTGCTGAGGAGACTGCTGGGTCAGAAGGTGTATTGTACAGACTACAGGGGCCACTGGTGGGAGAGACTCGCCCTTAATTACGATGCTCACCTCAAAAACCAGGAAAAGGTATTTTTTATTAATCAGTGTTATTGTTCAAATATGAATACCAAAGTAATTCAAATAGAAATGATTTGTATTGGTTAAAAACCATTTGGAATCATAATTGTTTTTTCAATAACAGCCTTAAACAACAGTAAATACCAGTGTATGTAATTAAAAAAAACAACTTGAATATATGAATTGATTCAAGGTTCATGTGCTTATAAGAGTGAGTAAAGTAGCTGAATTGTGTTAATATTGCTTATTGATATCTGGTGAACTTTACAGGCCCTGGAGGCAGCAGCCAGTGGACTGAGAGATAACACAGTAACAGCAGGGAGACGACTGGCCCTGTATCAGAGGGCAGAAAAAATATGTACTGCTCCAAAGTCAAAGTTCAAGGACAGACTAAAAAAACTGCCAGATGTAGGCGTTAAAGCAACACCAGAGGTAGTCTAATAGAAATAAAAACTAAGAGAAGTTTCTTACTTTACCCAATAGATGTATAACAAGAGCAAAGGCAAGAATAATTTTTATATGTGTCATTTCTAGGTATGTATTGAGGGCACTGTACTGTCAGATAACATGCCGGGAATGAGGTACAAGTTTATCATGGCTGACCCTGACGGAGATGAGGACAAGCTGACATTCTGTGGGGTGGAGGAACTGGTCATGGAGCATTATAAGAACAATGGATATCCAGAGGGTACTGAGGCTATTAGTTACTCAGGGGTGTGCAATTACAAAAATAAATTACTAGCCCGTTGTGCTAGTGGCGGTAACAAAGTTACTGGCCCGAGGTTGCCAGTCACTAGCCCATTAACTACCGAAAACAATACATGTATAACATAAAGGCTAAAAAAAAACCCATTTAAGTTGAAATAGATAAAACAAATAATGGTTTGCGCTTTGTAATTGTCAGGGACTATAATTGTCACTGAGACGCTGGAAAACACAATGCATATAGGTTAAAACGAATTAAAGATTTTGAAAGGGACCTTTTAGATTTACTAGCATGGGCTAATGCAGTATAGATTTAAGATAGCCTGACCTCTACAATTGGTAGCCCCGGGCGTGGGGCGATGGTAATTGCACACCCCTGAGTTACTTAAAGTTTAAAGGGGCCCAGCATGGAAAATGCTTTGATAGCTTGGAAAAAAGGGAAATTAAAAGAAATCCCATTTTGGTAATCCATGTTATAAATTTGACACATTTTGATTAAATTCCATGTTTAATTTCAGGTTTACATGCTGAGGGCTCCATTTTGTCTAACCTGTTTGGTCTGTTTTTCTGGGACATTCTTTTTATGGATGTTCCTGATGTGTTTCACTCCAGCTATCAGACCCACCCATTAGATTTGTACTCTACACTGTTTTACACAAACAGACAAGCAGCCATTGACCAACAGCTTGAGAAAATCAAGAATGCTTCAGTAGAGGTTTGTAGATTAACTTGAACATTCCTATAAATATATTTTGATATTCATTAAGGTGGATTACATGAATTTATTTTTTGAATTAGTCAAGCACAGACATTGATAACACACTGAATGTAACTTCACTCAAACAAATTTTTATAGATGACAATGTAGATTTGCCTCTTATTACAGTAAATAAAAATATGGTACATGTATCTCTGGAAAAAAAAGATCTCCTTTCAACCCTTTATATAGAACATGTAGAAGTTTGAAGAAAATAAATTAGGCTTTGTAATGAGATGTATATTATGGTATTTTTTTGTCCTTTACTCTTTTTCAGGAGCTGCATTCTATGATGGGTTCTGTGTGGGAGAATCACTTTGGAGTGATGTGTACAGGTCTGAACTGGGAGAGGTTCTTATGTCTCAGTCACGCACAGGTAAGGAGGCTGATAAATCATCATAGAAAATGGAGGTCTCATGTGAGATCTAGCTCGCAAAAGCAAGAAAAATGAAGTAGCCACTCAAAATTTTAACGAAAGAACATTGAATGTTATATTTTGTACTTTACACTGTATGCCTGTTTTAGGGCGAATTTAAAATGGGGCGAATTCAAAATATTCAGTATAATTTCTTAAACAAAACTCACGAATGGGCAAATTTAAAACGGGGCAAATTTGTTTTACAGTGTGAAAGGGCGAAAATAACAAGGGGGCGAAAATAACCCTGTATACAGTATTTTGTACTTTATGCCTGTTTTAGGGCTTGGTGTCGTGTATGGGAGGTAGGACTCTATCCCAAATGCTGGAGAGGTTTGTGAAGAACCCCCGACACACACGGTCAGGGTTCCCTGACCTCACTCTCTGGAATCCACAGACAGGTGTTCTTAAGGTGGGCACACACTGGTTTTTAAACAAAAGCTACTGCAATTATGAGTTCAATGATTTCTCTTTTTGATAAAAAGTCCAATCAATGTCTTAAAGATGGTAAATGTGCATGTATGTATTGTCATTGATAAAGTACAAATTACTTTTCATTATCTTATTTGAAAAATCTACGTGTACATACAAGCTTGCATGCTTCAATGTTCAAAACTGGTGAAAACAAGGTAGCAAAAAAAATCTAATGATTATGTCACAATCGATTGATTTGGAATTTATTCTACTTGTGAAATAATTTTTAAGCGGTTAGCTTCGCTAGCCGCTATATGGCATGTGTCGGCAACCGGAAACCTCCATAAGGCGCTACCTATCGACAACAGAAACTTCAACAAAGCCTCTACCAATGATTTGTTTCTAACACATATAACATATGTTAAATAAAATCAAGACTATCAAAACAACATAATCTTTCGGTTTTTAATTTTTATCTGATTTTGTTTGTCAATGAAATAAATTTATTGTTGTATTTTAAAATTTTATGTATAGGAGCATTTGGTGTCGAGATTAAATTTCCGTGAAGTCAGCTGATGGCGATCGGGCCCTGTGACGAAATTTGAAGTCAGCATGAAGATTAGCTGAAAACATTATCATCGTGTTGAATTTAAACTTAAGGAAGAAATATATAGCGAGAAATATCATATTTGAACCCAATGCTACACAAAAACCAGTTGGCATATCCGATTTATGTGTTAAATTGAAGCCTGAATTGAACAGGGGGTCAAAATGGCGTTGCACACCTTGTGTATCTAATCTGTACATAGAGGAGTAGAATGTTTCGATATTTGGCTAATTTAGAGACTTACTGAGAAAAATTCAGGTGCCTGTGATTAATTATAAGGCACCCCTCATGAACAATAAATATTTGATCGAATTATGCTACTGGCACAGAAAGTACGGGTTAATTACTGGCTTAAGGGGTTGAAGGTTATTACAGACAGCAAAACATCGGAGAATCTCTCGATCGAGTTTCATTTTCCTTGCCAAAATATTTAGCCATCCCTTTAATTAACTTAAGTAATACTAGTACATGAAAAAGCTTTATATATAAAAAAAAAAAACTGAATACATCTGCAGGGTTCTTCATTTCAAATTTTACTGTGTTGCAGAGTTTACGTGAAGTACTAAAATTTCGCGCTATTTTCGAGATCAAATTCGCAACTGAATTACTTTTCAATAAACTTATGTAGGAACATATGCGCACACTTTTTAAAATAAATCACTATTTCGATGTACAACTATTTTCGTCATACATATTGATAAAAGTAAAAACACGTGCTATGAAAAGCAGGGGAAATTCTGATCGATACAATCAAACTAATTACCACTTCTGAAAGTAAATTTGTTGTACTTTTTTGTCAGTTTTTTTTTATGCCCCCGTAAACGAAGTTTCGGGGGTATATAGTTTTTGTCGTGTCTGTCTGTCTGTCTCTCTGTTTGTCCGCAAAAACTTTAACCTTGCCTATAACTTTTGATTAAGTGGAGCTATGACTTTCATATTCCATATGTGTATTTCTTGTGACAAGACCTTTCTTTGGGTACCACCAAATTTGACCTTTTGACCTTGACCTTGGAGTTTGACCTACTTTTAGATGAAAATTTCAAAATTTTACTTTGGACATATCTTTTGAATAGTAGACACCAGGACATTTATACTTCACATATATAATGTTTGTTAAAAGACCTTTTACTGGACACCAACAACCTTGACCCTTTGACCTTGACCTTGTAGATTTCCGTATTTGTGAAAAAACTTTAACCTTAGCCATAACTTTTGAACGGTATGAGATAAGGCTTTCATACTTCACATGTTAAATCAATGTGAGAAGACCTTTCATTGGATATGAAGATCCTTGACCCTTTGACCTTGGAGATTGACCTACTTAAAAAAAGCAAACCTTGACCATAACTTTTAAAGACTAAAGGCTAGTGCTTTCATACTTTACATATTTGATCCTTATGACAAGAATTTGATAACAATAACTTTGACCCTTTGACCTTGACCTTGGTTTTGATGGTACTTTTATAAGAAAAATTTTAAAATTTTACTTTGGCAATATCTTTTGAACAGTTGTCACCAGGACATTTATACTTCACATATGTAATGTTTGTTAAAAGACCTTGGACACCAACAACCTTGACCCTTTGACCATGACCTTGTAGTTTTATATTTGTGAAAAAACTTTATTGGCCATAACTTTTAAAGGGATTTTTTGCTACTTTATATATGTATCCTTGTGATTTGAATTGGATATGAAGATCCTTGACCCTTTGACCTTTGAGTATTGACTTCTCTTAAAAAAAAAAACCTTGACCATAACTTTTAAAGACTCAGGGCTAGTGCATTCATACTTTACATATTTGATCCTTATGACAAGACCTTTCATTTGATAACAATAACTTTGACCTTGACCTTTGAGTTTGACCTACTTTTCAAGAAATTGAACGTTGACCATAACTTCTGAACGGTTAGGGCTAGGACTTTCATGCTCTACATAAGTATTTTATGTGGAAAGACCTTTCATTTGATACTAATTACATTGACTTTGACCTTGGAGATTTTTTACTCATTAAAAAAACTTCAACATTAATAACTTTCAAATTTCACAATTGTTTTCCAGTGAAATACCCTACTTTTTTACGAATTAAAAATTTGCATTTAAGAAAAGCTTAATCTTTGCTATGCTGCCATACGGGGGCAAAAAACACATTATGTTTTTTATCAAATTACCGAATTGCAAAGGAAAAAATACGGAAACTTCAGGACAGGATGATATTCTTAAGAGTTCCTTAAAAATGTGTCGCATTAAAATTTTAATCGTTATGTGTCGTATTTTGCTGTGTTGAGCAACACAGTTAAACAGCTCACACATATATATACATATATATATGTATATATCTGTAAGCTGTACAGTTATAGATTATTTCCATAATGAAACGTTTGTTTTCTTCTCCTTTTAATTGAAATTATTTAAAAGATGATAAAGCTTTGTTTCCAGGGATAAATTCTGTACTCAGTCTAATCATTACAAACGATTATAAACGTCACATTATTTAAATATTTGCCAAATATATATGTTCTTTTATATATATCGTGACACACCTTTTAATTATTGTCATGTACCATTTAGAATTCGAACATTTATTGTATTTAAAGTCAATAGTGTACATTTCTTAAAACTTTATAATCTTGTGTGTACTTGTCTTTCTTCCTGTGAGTGTGTTCATAATATTAATAAACAGATGTACTCAGTATCTGTATCAAAATACTAATGAATAGTGATCGGTCTCAAATGAAAAACGGATCCTTGAAATTTCCGGAGCCTTGGAGAAGTAAGCATCCCCAATAACAGGTCACACCTGCCGACCCGCAGTGAGCCTACGAAACTGAAGCCCTCTGAAATTAAATTAATTTACAAATTCTCTGCTCGTCCATCCGTTTTTCTCAGCAGCTACTAGATTGTACAGAACTCCAAATAAATTAATCTTAAGAATTTGAATTTTATCATTACCGTCTTCCTGTGGAAGACGGTATAATAGTTGAAGTTTTTTACATCGTCTATGCACTTCCTCTCTTTTGTGATTGGTAGAAATTGCTTGTGTAAATTTTCAATTATTTCATAAACGTTGTTCAAGGCAAGGGAGATAACTTTCTGATGATATATTTTTCGTACAATTCCAATCTTAAAAAAATGACAAAACGAACAACAAAATCAGCAGTAATTAATTCTTAATAACATAGCGTTTTTACTGTTTTATAGTGATAAAAGTGTTTTACAGCGATAAATAAAAAGGTCTCTTTAATTTCATTATAAATAAAATTTGATAGTTATTGCTTGCAGGCTTTACAATTTGTTATTATTCTTTTTTTATGTATATACATGTAGGTATATTTTTAAAAATCAATAACGTTTACGGAGATACCGAGCGACAACACGTGGTAGGGCTAATGCCCGTAAAAAGCTTATTTAGAAATACAAAATCAAGAAATTCAAAAGAAGTATAGATCTGTTTACTATTTAAAATTGTTGCTAAAGACGGTAAGCTTTTTTGAAAAGCTCTACTTGTTTTATTTTCTTTTTGAGTAGGCTTTACAGTTACCTAATTTCAGAGTCAATAAGCATGAAAGACAATTAAATTTGCAACATCAACATATTTTTCTTCGTTCTGAGCACATTTGACGCCACCAATGGAACAATTAAATTTTTGAAATTGAACTTTTCTTTCAAACTGAAAATCTCAGGTTGATATTTTGAAACATACATTTGTGACACACTTGTTATTGGTTTTTCCATTTAGTTTACAAAAAAAGTCAGTGTGTCTGAATTTCGCTATGACATTGGACAAAGATATGCATGCTTACACATATCATCACTGAATGCATTTTTTGTTATTCAACTGTACAGTCAAATTCCATGTGGTTTTCAGTACTTTCAGTACTTTGATTTGATATTATTTCTTGTGCCCTGCACTCATGAAAATAGAGAAAAAAATCCTATTCCACTTTAAAATAAATTGTTATATTAAACTAGAAAAGATTGCATGTCTTCTATTTACACATATATTTACATTCACAAGTACAGGATGACTTGAAACTGTTAAGTTGACAATCAGCCTCAGTAAACTATAAAATGAAATCCAGTAACAAAATCATTTTTCATGTACATCTCCCTTCTTCAGATATGTGAAGTGAAAGGTCCTAATGATAGACTCTCACACAAACAGATTTTGTGGATAGATTATCTGGTGTCCCTAGGAGTGGATGCTGAAGTCTGCTATGTCAAAGGTCAGTGTTCAGGGTTTTATAAAATAAAGATAATTGTCATCTATAGAATTTCATAAGTGTATTGCACATACAGATCCTGATTATTATATCTATAGATTTACATCAGTAATGTTAAATTGCATGAGGAGTCGTATTTCAGAATTTCATTTGGAACTTAAAAAAAAAAATTCAAAGTTCCTTTTTGAATGTTGATTTTGCTCTAAATTTGAGTTATATGTATTTGTGCTTGTTAGATTTTGGATAATTACAAAATGTAGTAAAATCTGTCATGATTTTCATTAAATCACCATATTTTGTTTTCTCTTACTACTCTAGGTTTTCACTTTGCAATTTTTATGCTATTTTAAAGGAGTGTACACAAAATTCCAGATATAATAAGCTTATTTACAGTATTTCTAATAAGGAGATGATATTATCTTTTTAGCTGTTGGATCAAAGAGATTGAAATCTTCCAGATAATGCAAGAATAAGACAGCTTTTGACTGTGCAGATAACCTCCCTTTACTAATTCCCATTGCCTTAGGAGGTAACTAACCTTTGTTCATGCATGAAATTCTGATTGGACTATACTTTTGAACACCTAAGGAACTCAGTTCTTTCTCTGTATTGTGCCAATCCTTTAGCAAAGTGTCAGACTGCTAATTCAAGTCAAAGTTATATTCTGTTTATTAATGTTTCAATTGAAGAAAAAATTAACTAAAACTCATATATGCTCCTAAGTACTGTTCTCAGCATAGTACCAACTGGGAAATAATAAAAATATAAAACACATGATGAGAAAAGTAGTACATGTATCTAAAACAACAGTTCATGATGCTAGAATGTATCAAATTTAAACTGTACTGATACTAAATTGTGTTCCATGTGGAAAAAATGTTTAAAATAACAAACAAAAGTTGTGTTCATTGCAAGGTTGTGATGGTTACTTAAATATGCAAGTATAATTTGCTGATTTTCAATATGTTCAATGTTACCTCATTCTGAACTCAGTTCAGCCACTGTTGCATTATAATTCATGAATTTATTTTGTATTTGTTGAAAGAATTTTTGTGTTTTATATATTGCATGATAAAGCAAAAATTAAAAAAAAAGATTTTACTTGGTTTTTTTTTTGCTACTTTATCAGTGGATGGGTCGGGGGATGTGTGAATTAGCCAATGAAATGTAGTGTTTCCTTGATAGTGTATGGTATCTAATAAAATCTCTGACAAACCAAAAAAAAGGTCATCTGTCAATCTGTTTTAACAAGCATTTACTAAAAACAATTCTTGTCTTTAGTAATTTGTTCATGGATTGCAAAGCAAAGACCTTCTGCTTAATAGTAGGTTTCAAAGCATTAGTACAAAAGTATAATAATACTTTCTGTAAAGCCAATGCACTAAATAACCATTTCTATATCCATGAACCCTTCCTACATGTATATTCAAAAAAATGAAAGAAGTATGAATTCATTCTAGAAAAAAATTATGTTGTTTTTAAGGGATGAGGGGTAGGGGGCTTGAAAGGGTCATTAAGCCCTCACCAAACTTTCAAAAATTTGCCCTTGTAGTGCGGGAGATAATAAAGAAATAGTGAAAATTTGATGGTATGTTTTAAAAATCTTCTTCTCAAGTACCATGAGCTGACCAGCCTTATCTGTTATTAGCTGGGAGCCAAAGGCTCAAGTGAGCTTTTCTGAAATGCGTGATTTGTCCAACGGTATATGTCGTTGTTGTCGTTGTCGTGTGTCGTCGTAGTCGTTGTTGTAAACTTTTCACATTTTCATCTTCTCAAGAACTACTAGACCAATTTCAACCAAGCTAGCTACAAAGTATCCTTGGGTAAAGGGGATTCAAATTTGTTCAAATGAAGGGCCACACCCTTTTCCAAGGGGAGATAATTATGAATTAGAGAAAAATTAATGGCATTGTTAAAAAATCTTCTTCTCAAGAACCACTGGGCCAGGAAAGATGAAACTCATGTGGAATCATCCTCAGGTAGAGTAGATTCAAGTTTGTTCAAATCATGACCCCCGGGGGTAGGGTGGGGCCAAAATGGCCGACCAAAATTTTACATAGGAATATATAGGAAAAATCTTTAAAAATCTTCTTCTCAAGAACCACTGGGCCAGGAGTGATGAAACACATATGAAATCATCCTCAGGTAGTGTAGATTCAAGTTTGTTCAAATCGTGACCCCCGGGGCTAGGGTGGGGCCAAAATGGCCGACCAAAGTTTTACATAGGAATATATAGGAAAAATCTTTAAAAATCTTCTTCTCAAGAACCACTGGGCCAGGAATGATGAAACTCATGTGAAATCATCCTCAGGTAGTGTAGATTCAAGTTTGTTCAAATCGTGACCCCCGGGGCTAGGGTGGGGCCAAAATGGCCGACCAAAGTTTTACATAGGGATATATAGGGAAACCTTTTAAAATCTTTTTCAAGTACTTCAAAGCCATGATTAGTGATATTTATATGGAATCATCCTCAGGTAGTGTAGATTCTAGTTTGTTCAAATCATGATCCTCTGTGGGGTTATAATCCAAGCCCTTCCGCCCAACCCCCCTCAGTAAACTCAGTTCTGATCTTATTTGTGCTTTTTCCTAGCTGATGTGCTCAGGTGAGTGCTGTGGCCCCTGGGTCTCTTGTTAAGGAGGCTAGGGGTCAACAAATTATTTTTTTATTAACCACCAGATATAACTTATTTTTTTTAGATATGATATTTTAAGCTGTCAACTATCATTTGGCAAAGAAAAATGTCATAAATTTTAGTTTTAAATTTGATCATTTTATTATATCTTTATATGGAGCTCTTCTTCTAAAGGAGATTAAAATAGTCTAAAAATGGCCACAACCACCCAGCCCCTTTAAGGGGACTGACTGGGGTGTCCATTGCACAATACTTAGCACATCATAGTAAAATGAAGCAAGTTTACTGTTTTAACGCAGCTTTTTTCACATAATTAATCAGAGTTAACAAAATTAAGAAATTACAGGTTGAAAAATTAATTACACTTTTTAAACCAATTTTTCAACTGATAGTTAAATTGATGTCATAATGGTGTGCTTTTGACATGATAAACTGAAGTTTTTAAAGAAGGGGCCATAAAACATTTTAAAAAAAAAAAACGTATCAAAGATGAATAGCTCTTGAAAATTAAAGTATAGGAATTTCAGATTCAATCATTTTTATAATTTTTTGTATAAATCCTTTGTAGCTGTCATGTGTTGTATTACTCTATAAAAAACAAGATGGTAGAATTTTGTCTTTCTTACACATGTACAATATAGCATTACTCATCATATATTATGAGCAGGGCTAAAAGTCTATTGCAGTATTTGTATAACTTGCTTTTGAGTGCAAAAAAAATTGACATTTTCCTATAATCTTATAGTAAATGTACCTGTATTTTGACATAATCCCTTAAAAATATTAGCACAGTAGATTTTCCTTAAACTGGACATTTACACTGAAGTCAATGTAAGTTACACATGGTTATAGTTTTCACTCAATAAAACCCCAGTCGTCCCCTTAAAATGCTGAGTTAATTTACTAATTTGATAACAAGCATGTACTGAAAGGGCTGACAAATTCCTCTTGTCTTGTTAGTAGCCTCCCAGTATTGATGACCTGTGAGACTTCTACATGTAGGCCTACCTTAGTTCATAAAATGTGAAAGTCTTGTTCCCTGTGTATGGATATTAAATTAGGACTGGATCTTAGCATATTCATTTTTATCCCCCCCCCCATTCCTCCTTAAACAATTTAAATTTTATCATATATTGAGATAATGTTTAGGTTTTCAAAATAAAGTACAATCTTATTTACAATATATAACCCATTCAGGAATATTTTCAGCTCACCTGATCCAAAGGCTGAAAAACTGAAAAGCTGAAACTTCCATCCGTCTGGAAGCTGTCTAGCTGGTATTGTAAACTTTTCACATTTTTGTTCTTCTCAAAAATGGGCCAATTTTTACCAAACTTGGTACAAAGCATCCTTGGGTGAAGGGGAATTTAGTGGGGAATCAAAATTTTACATAGAAATATATAGGAAAAATCTTTGAAAATCTTCTCAAGAACCACTGGGCCAGAAAAGCTGAAACTTATGTGGAAGCATCCTGGGGTAGTGTAGATTCTATATTGTTCAAATCATGACCCACGGGGGAAGGGCGGGGCCACAATGGGGAATCAAAGTTTTACATAGAAATATATAGGAAAAATCTTTGAAAATCTTCTTCTCAAGAACCACTGGGCCAGGAAAGCTGAAACGTATGTGCACATGGAAGGATCCTGGGGTAGTGTAGATTTCAAAATGTCTAAATTATGATCAGTGGGGTAGGGTGGGGATGCATTATGTATTACAAGGGGGAAATCTGGTAAAGAACAGAATGGCCAAAGCTTCTCAGGTGAGCGATGTGGTCCATGGGCCTCTTGTTAAATACTTATTATTGCCATTGAAATAATTTGTTCTGGGGTTGTTATTAATGTCAAATATATTATACAGCCAGCTCTTGTGTATTTATTATTGTATTTCCAATGTTTACTCAAAGGTTAAAAACTGCTGCTGTTACACATTATGTATTTTATATCATATGACAAATTACAGCAGGGTAAAATTACGTACAGACTATAACTTATTAAGTAGAAAGGCTATTGTTTGGAAAAAAATTCTGCAGATGACCTATGAGTTCATCAGATAGAAATCCTCCCTCAAATAAATCTTGGCTAAAAAACATAAAATGGTAGAAATCCACTGAAGTTGACATAAGTGTTCAAATATCCTGTGTCATTATTAAATGTTTAAGTTCCTCTTTATAAGAAAAGGGGTTTTGTGAGACATCTGAAATTGATTGGGAGACAGATGGAAACAGATTGATCCACACCTCGGCTGTTGAATGGGGCCGGGCACAATAGGGACTGAGTTAAGCACCTCAAAATCAATAATGCATGGCCACATTCAGTCATGTAGAACAGGCATAGTAAATGTCTAAGGATATACATGTAATTACATAAAATGATGGAATATTGAAATTTTTAACATTTGATGGAGAAGATAACAATAATGGAAAAGTGAAAAAAGTAGAAACTGAAGTGAGAAGGAAAAGTTTCTTTATTTCTACAGAAACAGTCTCAGTGAGGATACTATATCTTCTTTAAAACAAATTATTTATTTAATTTTTCTTGGTGAAAATTCATGCAAAGTGGAAAAGATATTTTTCAGGTAAGTTCTAATGAATTATACATAAATCTACTTGCAACACCGTTCCATTGTAAAGTAAAGAAAATTAATAAGAAGAATATTGTATTTCTTGATAAAACAACTCTTTTAATATCTGTTTTGCTTCAAATCAATGTCAGGAAGAACAAAGAGTCCATGCATCATTTTCTGGTAGATTTTAATTATTCAGGACTGACTAGGAGATAGAGTCGGTCCATTGGTACCTGTGTGAGTTACCTGTACATCAATTATTCACACCAAGGAACTATTTACTTGCTTGTATACAACATAGATTTCTACAACATCTTGAGAATAATGTGGTGGTATTAATGGATACAAAGGTAGGTCTTTATATTGAAATCTCCCCCCCCCCCCCCCCCAAGTCATTAAGTTTGATATCTTTATTTTCTTTATTTGAAATACGTAAAAAAAAATATAGAATTGCAATTCATTCTGTAATTGTGTCAAAAATAAATTGGGAAGATACAATTGAAATTTGGTTTCTAGAACACTGATATCTTGAATACCATGTTATAAGAAGTCCCAGTTCCTTATTCATTAAGTATTTTTACCCTGAATATTTATTCGATATCTCTAATGTTTTTTCTTGTTCCCATTGAATTAATTTGAGATAACAATGCTTGACTATACATATGTATAGACTAGCAATTTTTTTTTGAATTTTGAGTGACACAACAGAATAAAAAAAATGAAATCTTTTTAAAAATAAGCTGTGTGTTTGATGCCCTGTTCACACAGAGAGTTATAATTCGAATTAAAAATATTAAGTTACTGTGAATTAAATTTGAACCGCATTCACACGGGGACTTTAATGCAAATTGGTTTAATTCGAATTAGTTTACTGCACATTAAATTACTTCGCATTATCTCTGTGTGAATGCTAAGCGAAGCTAGTTTAAATTAAATTTTGAGGCATGCATAATGGCAAAATTAAGTCAAATTCCACATGCCCGTTGTCAGGTTTAAGTACTTGTACTATTTTTGAGTGAAAAACTAAGGAAAATTGTGTTAATCACTGAAATGTGTGTACAGACACTGTGACAAATATTTCAAATGCATCTGCTTCTGCATAAGGTAACGTGATTTGCAAATGACATCATAATAGCCATACTGACGCCTAACTGTAAAAGTATAATTTTAATTTGCATTAGTTTAATTCGCATTAGCTGTCGTGTGAAGGCAATTTAATACTCATTAATTTGATTCGCATTAGTTTACTTTGCATTAATTGCGAATTAAACTCGTCATGTGAACAGGGCATAAAGGTTATGTAAAAAAGGATTCTTAGATAAAGTTTTTTCGGTGCACAAATAGAACATTCTCCTTGTTACTATCTATCGATGCTGATGTAATAACATTGAAAGCTGTTTTATGCAACCCTCACTGACAAGTCAGATGAAAACATTGTCAGTCCATAACAAAGTAGGAGAGTTTAACCTAGGGTTGTCCTTAAGAATTGGAATAGCAGAGAACATTAAAAAAGTACAGAAGGGGGTTTGGAGTCTCTTCCCCCCCCCCCAACCAACCCTTACAGGGGATGAGGGGGGTACAAGAATAATCAGAGTTTATGTGTCATTATAGATGGGGGTTGCTCCTTGGCACTGTTACTTTCCATTAGTCTTGCCCCCCCTCCCCCCAATCTGTTGATCTTGTGTTGAATCATAATATTCGTTTATTTCATTATCCTTATGTATGAATACTTTTAATTTTCATTATGTTATCAGAAAAAATTAGAAAAATGTGATAAATGTTTTTCTTTAAATCTTAATTAATGTTTAACTTATATTTTTAAAATAACCAAAAGAGTATTTTTTTGGTACACGTACAGTATATTTCTCAATTATTCTCTTGCCTTTTAGTTAATTGTTGTTAAGCATGATAAGGAATTGACTCCTATTTTCAATTTTTGTTGCTACTGGTAACATGAATTTTATGAATTCATGAAAAATGAGACAAAAATTGAAAAAAGATTTAATGTATAAATTACTGATAAAACAAAGTTGACCGAGATTAATTTCTGTCAATATCTGTGAAAGCCTTTAATGCCATATATTACAGTACTGTAATATACTGTTATTATATAAATTGAGAAATTTTGATCAATTGGGATGAATGAACACATCCTTATGAAAATGTATACCAATGTTCTAGTGTGTTCTTATGTATTATATTTGTTCTTAAGCTAGTGTATAGCTTTAATGAAGAACAAGATGTAAAGATCATATAATCACTGAAAGAGTTTGAAATTTATTCACTTATTTCACTTTCTTCATCTAAGGGACTTCTCTTTTTTTATCGCGTGCCTGTTCAGTAGCCAGGGAATCTGATGAATAATTAAATCAAAACAGGCAATAAAGCGTGACTCAGTTAGTTCACACCCTAGCCTTCTCTGTGTGGTTTGGATATATTGGACATTATATTGTATTGACTGCTTTGTTAATTAAACTTCTGTTTATTAAAACATCCATATTACATTCTGCTACATGAATTGAAAAGAGTATTCATTTGATAGAGTAAGATTCAGGACCATAAAATTCATAGTAACTTTTTTCATTCAAAATAAAGGGCCTGTATCAAAGTAGATATTTGGATAAAAGGAGATCCTAAATGCACAATGGCCATAAGTGGCAAGTACATTTCCAAAGCAGCCTTCCATTGGCAGTTGGTAGAGTCCCAACTTGAGCATAATTTAAAAAAAATCTCCCCCCCCCCAAAAAAAAACAAACAAACAAACACCCCATTCAGAGAATCTCTTTAAAGACTCCCGCTCTAAGGAAACAAACAAAAACAACCCCACCCCCAGAAGAGGATACCTAGGGAATTTTTATTAGGGTCTGTGTACAAAAATTTGACGTGCTTCTGTGTTGGGCGTATGTAAATGTATACATGTATATTGAAACAAATAAAATACATGATGTCCTATCATTTTATAATAGATGACTCTACAAATAAGGATCATTATTATATGCTCAAAGCACTTAAACACCTACTGATCAATGTGTTTATTTAAGCTTATGTTCACTTGAAGATTTGTAAAGAAGAGCACAAATAACTTGTGTGTGTTTAAATGTTTTTTTTTAACCAAGATATATTACCGGGTACATTGAAAATTTAGGAAAAAAAATAGATGCTCAAAATGATATTATTTTACATTTTAATCTACAAAACACTTGTAAGGATTTTTTTTTAGACCATTAGAAGTCATTAAATCTCACTAATTCATTTTTAACCAGGGAATAACCTTGTAGAGCACCCCCCCCCCCCCCAATGTTTGTGTAAAAGTAAGGAAAAAATAAATTTGGATCCCCTAGAAAATAAATTATGATCTCTCTAAAAAGAAATATTTTGTGGTTGGAAATTCAGATCTTCAGTACATATGAATACATAACAAACAAACAGGAAAGATGTTTTTGAAAATGATTTTTATCATTTTGACAATACACAATATAATTTAGTTGAACTTGGTAACTATATAAATCCACATATTTTTATTAGATCCAGGCAGTTTTGAATTTTCAGATGAGTTGGGTGTTTTTGTTGTTGAGTTTACTGCCCCTAGCAGTGGGACAGTTGACTGTCAGCTTACTGGATACAGCAGTGATGGTGAATGAAGGAGACCAATTTGAGTTGAGAGTTCAAAAGTCAGGGACAATTACTCAAGTCATCATAGTGGCAGTAAGTGTACATAATATACATTATCTTAAAAGAGTACAAGTGATGTATTTTATTTTTCCTACAGTGTTGAAGTGGAACATTTTTTGACCTCAAAACAAAGTTTAGGGGTCTTTATTAGGCCACAGGGAGTTGTTATGTAAAATTTCATTGCAATAGCTCAAAACTATCTGGATGAATTTGTCTGAAAATTTGTACACTTATTATTCACCATATGAAGGTGTGCCCCTGTTATTTTCAACATGATTGGATGATTTTGCTGCATTTTAAAGGCATTTTTTCTTTTTTATTTTGTCTGTAGACAAGATTTTGTCCGGACCATTTCTCAGAAACTATTGGATGAATTTGTCTGAAAATTTGTACACTTATTATTCACCATATGAAGGTGTGCACCTGGTATTTTCAACATGATTGGATGATTTTTCTGCATTTTAAAGGCATTTTTTCTTTTTTATTTTGTTGTTTTGTTTGGCTCATAACTAGAAAACTATTAGACTTGCAATCATCAGACTTGGTCAATTTATGCATCTTGGGTAGAAGGTGTGTCATGAAAACAAACAAAAAACAAGGTCACTGTGACCTTTAATTAAAGTGAAATTTAAAAAAATAACTGTCTTTTAGTGAGGTCTGAATTAAACAATCCCTAAAAATGTGAATGTGTGTTCCCTATTTAAAACATGGTAAATTAACATATATTTTTTTTATTATATACTGTCACAGATGTCCATGACAAATTATTTTATAATAGATGACTCTACAAATAAGAATCATTATTATATGCTCAAAGAATTTTGACCTACAGATCAAATGTGTTTAATTAAGAGAAATTAATTAGTTTACTTGTAAGGAGCTAACTTGTAGAACGTTTCAAAAATAACATGTGTGTTTACATGTCTTTTTTTAACCAAAATATATTACATTATATATATAGAATTTGAAAAAAAACAAGTTAAATTTAATTTGAAATTGTATAATAAACATTTGAAATTTTATTAAAAACTTAATTGATATTGTATAATATAATTAAAACTAAATAAATTATATTGTGTGTGTATGTGGGGGGTGGGGTGGTGCCCAATCCCATTGTATATATTTAGTTTAATTTATGTTGAAACCAATTAAATTTAATATAAAATCCATCAAGATTACACAATTTTTTTTTCAGTATAAATTTTTGTAACAAATTTATACAAAATAATTTTGTTTTCAGAAAATAATTTCTTTTAAAATGGCACATGAATTTGCATATATTTGAAGAAAAGAGTTATAGGAAAGTTTCTCAAATTGTCACTTGTTTTTTTAAATCTGTACTTTGAATGCACCTGATATTTGGCATCAGAACAACAGATTAAGCTGGAAACGAAATTTGTTGTGTTTGGAAATTCAGTTCTTCTGTACATATGAATGCATAACGAACAAACTTTTACATATGAATGCATAATGAACAAACTTAAACAGAAAACAGGAAAGCTGTTTATGAAAATAGTTTTTATATATATATAAATATATATATATATATATATATATATATATATATATATATATATATATATATATATATATATATATATATATATATTATGTATGTTTATGGAGGCAGTTTTGAATTTTCAATGAGTTGATGTTATTTGTTATAATTAAAGCTGCCCCAGCAGTGGGATGTTTAAACAATTATTATAATGCAAACAGCAGTAAAGGTTGAATTAAAAAAAATATATATAATGAGAGTCAAATTGTTTCTCAGAAAATAGTGAACACCTCATAGTGGCAGTAAATATTTGTGAATTTTCATTATCTTAAAAGAGTACAAGTGATGTATTTTATTTTTCCTACAGTATTGAAGTGGAGTATTTTTTTCATTTATTTGCTCTGGTTCATTGTCCTAGTCAGATAATTTGCACTTTTTTCCTCCAACACAGGTGTCCTGTCCCAATGACACTAGCAATGATTTTGTTGGCAGCAGTCAGGTTGGCTCCTTTTACCCTGGTGGCCCTGACATTATATCTGTGACATTTACTGTCAATGATGACAATGACCCAGAAACTGAGGAAACCTTCATCTTCGAGCTGACCGTCATTAGCGTGGGGATCACGGTACGCACCCAGAGAGTGGCGGCGGTAACCATAGCAGCCAATGACGACGCCTACGGAGTGTTCAGTTTTCTAGATGTAAGTTTCAGACCTTTTGAAGTAGATGAGCGGAATCTCGCTAAATTCTCCTAATAATTACAATGATCTATTTTTAGACCTCCCCCGTACTGGTGACTGAGGACACCATCACTTCGGTTGTCAGTCTTCGTGTGGGCAGAGAAAAAGGCACATTTGGTCAAGTCACTGTCACCTATCTGGTTGGTAACTTGAACATCAGCTTCTTATTTACTATCTTTTGTATTTGCTGCAGCATAAAGTTCTCTTTTCATCTCTGAACATATTGTATTTCAGGTGAACAGTTCTGACTCAGCAGCTGTACCAGGAGTAGACATTACTCCCCGGACTGGAGTTATACTGTTCCAGGGAGGGGACACACAAACTTATCTCCAACTTCAGATTCGAGCTGACAGTGTTAGTCTTCAAGATTAAATAAAAAAGATTTGATACTCTATCATACAGTTTTTTTCATTTCATATAAAATTCTGATGTTTTTTGTGAATATTAAAAGGGTATTTAATGTTATATTTTTATACAGATTCCTGAGAATAATGAAGAATTTAGAGTAACAATGACAAGTGCAACACAAGGGGCTCGAGTGACAGACACAGAATTGATACTTATCATACAGGCCAATGATGCTCCAATCAGATTTCAGCAGGTTAAATAACCTATGGTTTTCTGAAAAATGCACTTATTTTATTGTTTTTTTTCTAGACAGAGACATGCAAGTTCAAACTTTGAATCTTTGATTTCAGAGTGAGTACAGATTTGACGAGGGTCCAGGAGATAAGTCTGTATCCATTCAGGTGCTCCGCGGAATTGACGAGGATGGTCAATCCAGGATTGGATCTGTCAACAACATTGCCTCGGTTGACTATTTCCTTGTGTCAGACACAGCAACATCAGGATTAGACTTCCGGGGAACTAATGGACAGGTTGTTTTCTTTGCTGGAGAAACAACTGGAAATATCCAGTTAGAAATTCTGGATGATGGTGATCCTGAAATGGAAGAATCATTTGGAATTGTTTTATCTGGACCCAAAGGTGATGCCATAACCACTTATCCCACCAAGATAAACATCCGGATTAATGCAAATGATAATCCAAATGGAGTCCTTAGTTTTGTATCTGCTGATGGGATATCTCTCCCAAAAGTGAAAGTAAGTGAAGACCTGGGAACCGTGGCAGTATTTCCTGTACAGAGGAAGGCAGGGACATTTGGAACAGTTTCAGTCACATGGCAGATCTTCAGAAATGACAGTACACTGGGGGACGTTAAGAGTGACATAACCTTGACCTCTGGAATGATCGTGTTCCAGGCAGGTCAGACGGAGCAGAAGCTGAACATTTCTGTGGTAAATGACGTCATTCCGGAGCCCGCCGAGCGGTACATTGTCAGGCTGATGGTGGGGACAGAGACAGGAGGTGCAAGGGTGGAGGGGATCATGGAGGGGGTGCTACTAGTGGAAGACAGTGACAACTATTATGGCTCTGTGTATCTGGGTCCTGACTCCGAGCACAGAATTGTAGTGGTAAGCTAGTAATCTCAGATCATTAAGTATAAATTGAAAATTGCTGAATTAGAAAAAAAAAATGGTTTCACAGCAAACTGATTTTTCTGCTTCTTGTTTCTTAAAAATAACCACCAAATATATTTTACAGATCTTTTACCTGTAATTAAAATATAGATTTTACCTGTTTTTTTACTTTATGTATGACATTAACAATGACTATCTATTGTATGTCATAGTCCTCTAATCCTCGGTATCTACAAGTTAATGTACAGAGGTCCAACAACAACCAAGGCGACTTAACTGTGAACCTGACTGTCTCTTACACGGGAGGGGGGAATGTTAATGGTGAGTACTCGGATGTCTGTTGATTAAGGTTTGATAGTCCAATAAGTTATATGATACATGAAGTCTGCATTATACTGAGATCTTATCTCTTTGTGTGACAGATGTTTTAGAGACTACATCCAAGCAGGCAGACCTGTTTTCTGGACAGAGCAGTCTAATGGTGAAGTTTTATCTCCTCTCCTCAGCATTCCTAACTGTGGGAGATAGCTTTACAGTCATTTTAACTGGATACAAGTTAAAAACAGGTAAGTATACAAATATGAATTACCATCTCATATTGTCTCTCTTTGGCAACTTGGTCAAACTAGGAAAGTTTTTACATTAAGCTCTTCATTTAGAGGTCAGAGTATTGAAGTTCTGAAGATTGATATTGTATGATCATACATTTTAAAATATTTTTTGTGGAAAAAAGATCCAGATTTTGGAGCCTATAATTCTCCCACCCTTGGAACTAAAGTCAGTGCTAGTGTACCAGTAACCCTGACTGTAGCCAATGGAGAGATAGGATTCCAGAGTATTCAGCCAATCACAGTTAACGAGCCAGACAACACCCCATACACTGTGAGATCATTTCATATCTTTAAAAACTCTTGTGTGCTTTCTTATATAACATTTCAAAGTATGTTAAACAGGATAATGTGAATGATTATTTTTTTGTCAGTATTCAGCTTGTGATTTAATAATAATTCTGATGATTTGTACCTGCCAGTCCTTTGTGTTATCTGGAATGGTATAGAAAGAATTATTGTAGACAGTTTTTATTGACATGAACTTCATGTCCCAGGTCTTCAAGAATAAGGTGAATACATAATAATTTAGTATTTACAGTTCATGTATTCTAATAAATTAACACTGTTCTTCTAAGGTTGCACTGAAGCTGACAAGGGAGGGAACCAGTGGAAGGGCTTACATTGATTGGTCCCTCAAAGGTTCAGGGGTCAATGCTGCTATGGTAACCACATCTGACACTGGAGTCACTTCTGGCACAGCTGTTATGGAAGCTGGTATAATTTTCTCCCTAATTCTGAAAAGCAAACTAAATTTTCTTATTTATTATGGGTACATGTATTAGTAAAATAGATAATTGTTAAAGCTAGTCAGTGAGTTTACTTTTAACAAGAACTTTAAGAAACTCTCAGAATGTATGACTGTCACTGTATATTGATTTGTACTTTTGTAGGAAGTTCTGCCACTTTATTGCTTATAACCATCATGCCAGACAATGTACCAGAGTTAGAAGAAGAGATAACTGTGACCTTGACCTCCGTCTCACCATCAGATACTCAAAGGTTAAAGGTTGGCTCCACCCAGACAAAAATAATTATTTTGGAGAATGACAATCCAGGAGGTATTTTCCAGTTTTCATCGACCATGAAGACGTCATACCTTGTTCAGGTAAATACCAGAATCATTTTATTTGTTTAAAGCTCTACTGGACATACTTGTCTCTCGAATTTTGAAAGAATTTTTTGTAGGAGGGACTGTCCGCCATTGAGGTGGTAGTAGAGAGGTCAGGGGGTAACTTAATCACCCAGTACGTCCAGTATGAGGTCCTGCCAGGGGGGAATTCCGAGTTCTATGGAGCTACAAATGTCCTCAAGTTTGACTCAGGAGTACAGTATAGAAATTCTACACTGTTAGCAATAGCTGATGGTGTCCCTGAGGTGAGGAAAAAAGGAAATCCTTCAAAATTGCATAGATTAACTTACATCTATGTATGTAATTGAGTATGCTGTGTTTGTGTGTCAACTGAATTGCACTGCGTTTCTTTGCAGCTGAGAGAGAAATTCACCTTGACTTTACTACCTTATGGAAACTCCTCTGGAGTGATAGGGAATTTTTCTTCCATAGAAATAGAGGTGGAAGAGAATGATGATCCGTATGGCTTGATAAAATTCCAGCTTAATCCAGCTATTTATTATCTAAGTAAGAAACTAGGGCTTGATTTATGTAATGAACCTTCTTTAGAGTTAGTTATATATATTTATATATATACTTGTGTTCCCATTTGCAAATTTTTTTATTCATATATATTTATTTTCTTTAGATGAATCCAGTAATGGAGAGCCAGTGTCTGTTATTATCCCAGTGGAGCGGTCCAAGGGTAGGTTTGATAGCATCATCGTGAAGTGGGACATGAGCCCGGGAACTGGTGAGGACCTTACTCCTGTGTCTGGAACGATCACATTCGGAGCTCAGCAGGATAAAGGCTTCATCCACCTGGAGTCTGTAGCTGACATTGTAAGTCAGGACCTACAAGTACAAACCATCAATGACAATGTAAGTCTAAAATGTGACATACATGTGTGTTGTCATGGATACGATCATGTGATGGATGCCTTGGCCAATTGTAACTTTTCTTGCTTCTTTGCTTGTTTTTCACTGCCATAAGGGTGGGTCATCAAAATTAGTTAATACAGAACTATTGTTATTAGGACATGTAATATAAGAAATACATTTTTAGTAAAATAAAGGAATGAAAAGTTACAAGATAACATTGTTTTCTCCCTGCATAAAGAATGCTTACAATTGCTTGACACCGTGTTAAAATTAATACACTTCAGTCCCATTTTTATACAACATACAAAAGTGTGTCACATGTCAGACAATTCACCTCACTTTATTTTGAACTTGCACTTGTGGTGACACGTTTCCCCTGCACATATTTTATGCTGCTATTTTTAGTTCTATTACTTGCATTTTGATTTGATATATATGATCTATTTTTGAATCCTATAGACCTGCAGTCCTGTAGACATTTTAATTTGTAGTTTTAAAAATTATTAATTTGAATATTAGCTAACTATTGCTTCCTATAAATGTTTATGCAGTTTCATATTAGATATGAGTTTCTTTCATTTGTAGCTTATACTAGTATCTTGAAATATGTATATTTTCTTTTTTTAAACCTATATAGTATCTGATAATAATTTGGCAGATCTGTATATACAGAGTTTATTTTACTCAGAGTGTTGTCATTTTCAGATTCCCGAGCCTGATGAGAACTTCACTATCTCCCTCAGTATATACAGCGGTAAGGCAAGAATAGGCTCCCCTGACCAGGCCCTGGTGGTGATCAAAGAGAACGACCACCGCCTGTATTTCCGAGGTAGAGTGCGGCGTGCCGCTGTGTTGTCAGGATATCGATTTCTGTTTGGTACATTTATTTTTATAGTAAGCTACTGGAGCATTATTCAGGGTTTGGGACTGCCTTCCTACCACACTGCAAGTTTCTTTGTTTTGCATTTTACAATATGAATTCTCAATACCTTTGATTACTCACTTTTATGAATTACAATTGACACTTCTTTATTTTGGTGGTGCTGCAATAAGATGCATTTATAACTGTACTAAAATTATACCTCTCTTTTCAGAAGATCATTCATATGACATTGTTTTCTTTATCCAGTATCTTGCTTTAACCTTCAGTCAAATATAACAATGCCTATATATCCATATGCTATTTAATACTTATGTACATTTGTTTGAATGCTAACATATTAAAGGATATTAATAATAGTTGGGTTATAATAAATTTTATATTTCAATCAAGATTAATTTTTGTACTGGCTATGCATACCTTGATTTAAATTTATGTGTGTAGAATTTTCTCATAATGATATTTAAAATATACAAATTTTATTATTTTTGGTTCAGAAAGTAAAATGTACACCAGAGAACCAGGAATTGTTAAGCTGAAAATAAGAAGAGATGGTCCGGGAACTGAGCGAGCTACAATCAGATATCAAACAGTGGATAGCTCAGCAGTGGCAAGCTCAGGAGATTACATCCAGATCACAGCTCAGGAGCTGGTGTTTGAAGTTGGGGAAATGGAGAGAGAGATTTCAGTAGAGGTTCTAAATGATGATGCTCCAGAGGGCAATGAAACATTCTATGTTCAGATATTTGATATTCAAGGTATGATAAAACTGTCAAGGAGAAATAGGTACAATGCACTACTTTGGTATTTCTTTAGGGAAGACTAAGAAAAGAAAAAGAAATGATGAATAATTTTTATTATTTTCCCATATACAATTATCACTTTTATTCGGTCCTTTTTTTCAGAAGTCCTTTCAATCATCTATAGTAATTCTGGACTTTTGTATTTTCCATTTTTATTTTTCAGGTGACCTGGTGCTTGGTGATTCCCCCAATGCCTCCATCACTATCCTGGCCAGTGACAATGCTTATGGAGTGTTCAGTTTCAACCCTCCTCTTCAGAGGTCCACCGAGGAAGGCAGTGGGGTCCAGCTCAAGTAGGATACTGCTTATTACATACAGTCAAAACTGTCTAAATCAATACCTACATAATCTGTGAAGTTCAAGTATGATCTACCACTTTTTATTATTATTATTATTACATACAGTAAAAACTGTCTAAACCAACACCTGTATAATCTGTCCCACCCGAATATGATCTACCACTTCTCACTAGATAGAGTAACACCTGTCTAACATGACATTTGTACAGTCTGTTTCACGACAAATTCTTTAATATGTTCTGTTCTATATGCTGTGCAATTTGATGCACAGGCATATAGGATTAGACAGTTTTCACTGTACATGTGTTAGCAATGATCATACTTCTTTTCATATCTTACAGATTTATGTTAAGCATTTTTTAAAGTTATTTAAGCTACTTTCAGTGATTATGTACATGTACACATAATTGTATAATAATTATGTAGTCATCATCTTGTGTTTTCAAAGTATACTAAGGAGTGCAGGGCGATTTGGAGTTGTGGACGTAGCATGGGAAATTCGAGAATCTCTAACAAACAGACTGATGTTTGACGGAGGGGAGTTTATTAAGGCTAATGGAACAGTGAGATTTAACCAGTATGAAGTGAACCAGTTCCTTATAGTCACTCCCAGAATAGACTATACTCCAGAGGAAGACAAGGAATTCAAGGTCTTACTAACCTACACAACAAGTGAGTAGCATTTCATCAAATCTTACATTGTTTTGGCAATTATATTTATGGAATTAGATTAACATAGTTTTGCATTGTAGAAGTATATATCTTTATATGCTGCTTGCAAAAATTTTTTTAAACTATGCTATCTTCTCACTCATACCGGTAGTTGTAGCAGCATAGGTACAGTGTATGTGTACATGTTCTCATTTTCTATATATTGACATGTATTAAAAGCAAATATTAACATTTTCAATAAAGTCATGATTATCGGTGTTGCAGTTATTGATGGGATCCCCGATTCCAGTCTAGCGTCTGTTGCCAACACTAGCAGTGAGGTGAGACTGACCGTGGTGGCCAGTGATGATCCGTACGGAAAGTTCGCTTTCGCTACAGAAACAAAGTCCCTCACTGTCGCGGAGGATTTCTATCCTGGTCAGGAATCCAGCACAAAAGCCACATTTACTGTAGAGAGAAGACAGGGAATATTCGGCAATGTTGAGGTTAATTGTTCAAACTAAAGGGCTATATCAGCAAATGAATGTGTTGTCATTGAGAATAAAGACAATTTATAAGATCTACACATTTACAACTGAAAACGATTGCTCAAGAATTTGTAAAATATGTTCAGTTTGTGTATAAAGAAGAAATTCTGTGAATTAAAACATTCTGAGAGCTAGTAGGAATTTTTTACAGCAGTAATAATGAGGTGTGTCCATTGTATAGTTTTAATAATAATGTACTATGTTTTTGACAGGTACTATGGGAGGTATATAGCAGTAACACTGGAAGTAATCTGCCTAAAGTGTATGACTTAATACTGGTGGCTGACATTCCCAGCAAAGTGGACAGGCAGCCGTCAAAGAGACGCCCCAAAACTGGAACCGATGTCATTCATTTAACAGGGACAGAGGGTAAAGCATTTCATAACGGACACAGATTTCAGTCTAAAATACAGGACTGTTTAATGTTTTAATGAATAGTAATTTCAGAATCTGATATTTCTGTGTCTCTTTATTTTTAGATAATTATCTGACAGTCCCTCCCCAGTACCAGCCCATGCCTTCAGAACTGGAGTCTGGGTTCTCTATCAGTGCTTGGGTTCAGCCAGTTACCACAGGAAGTTACTACATCATGGCTAAAACCACAAACGATGGCATCAGGCTTTTCTACACACTAAAGCTGGTAGCAGGTGTAGAAAACATCCTGATATTTGGATATTCTCAGCTTGGAGAAAATGTAAGTTGTTCTGGTCGAACATTTACTCTTTTGAGTTTCAAGCATACTTGTAAATGAAAACATACTAGTATTTGATAACAATCTTCTCCTATGTACAATTGAGTACTTTTTCATGCACTGCAGACAAACAAGGAAATCTCAATCACAACTAATCAGAAGTTAATGGATACAAAATGGCATCATATCCTGGTGACAATAAATTCAGGAGACGTCAAATTTTATCTGGATGGACAGCTGCTTGGATTAAAGTAAGTCATGATGTTAAAAATCAGTGCAATAATGAAAATCAGTCTGTGATTAAGCGTTAAATTGTCACATGATCTTGTTTCTCTGTAGATCTATTGGATCTCAGCCACTGATTGATACAGATGGAGTGTTGTTGGTTGGAGCCAAAGCCCCAAACAGAGAGCGGTTCATTGGTTATCTCCAGGACGTCAGAATATACACGGCAGCACTACAGGACAGGTTAAATGGATTACTGTACAATCATTGTGTCTGGTCAGGTCAAAGTGTCTAAAAGTTTATGAAGTGAATTTTCATCTGCTAGGAAATATGATTCCACAATGTTCAGATTCAGTTTTATGAAAATATTTAGTACATGCATTTTTAGTGTACAAAAGTTGTCTCAAAATTCCAAAGACTAAACTTGTATTCATGTATGTAGAATGTACAAAAATTTGGAGAGAAGGTGGTAATCTATACATGTCATAGTAGTAATTTTAGAAAATACACGTTTTTGACATGCATTTTGCACTTGTTTTGTATCCTTCATAATTATTCATGAACTGATACATGTACATGTATTTAAATTTTTACAATTTTATAATGATGCAGCTCAAATTTCATATATTTGCCAAAAAGGGTATTGAGTTAAAGTCTTTCTATCTGCAGCCAGAGAAATGAGATATACCAGACCCCAGCCCAGTTTGATGTGACACCAATATCAGGATATCTGGTCTACTTGGAGGGTTACCGGGAGAAGAATTTGACCTTGACCTCATTACAGGACCAGGAGGAGGAAAATGATGAGGTTTTCTCTGTCAGTCTGCTGGGAGCCAAAAATGGAGGAACAGTCTCCCAGAAGGATAATATAGCAACGCTAACAAGTGTGTCAACATCATAGTGATATTGATAAAGTGGAGACACTTCTTGATACATCAGTATTAAAAAAAAACTTTCTTTTAAATATACATGTATATTGTTTTTATAGAAGCTTTGATTTTTTGTATTCAAAGGAAGATTGAATTTTTGATACAATGTATTTTAGTGGAGAGTAATTCAGACAAAAAATATTAAATAGCTTTTTTTTATTTTCAGTTTTAAAAAGTGACAATGCCAATGGTGTGTTCAGTTTATTTGGTGACTGTGCCCCAACCCACTCCACACAGGAGAATGAAGTGGTGACCTGTACTGTGGTTCGTAACCGTGGTGATGACGGAGCTGTCAATGTCACATGGTCGGTTTACCAAAGTGGGACAGCCATTGAAGCTACCGCTGACTTCATCAACAGCTCTGGTATCATCAGCTTTGAAGCTGGAGAAAGATCCAAGGTAATAGGTTTTGTCGTGATCAATTGTTCAGAGAAGAAACAAAATGTTACATTGGATTTCTTGATCATTTTAAATTAACCAGCTCTTCAACAGTTCTTTAGATAAAATGGTACAGTATGTTTCACAATAAAAGGAATGATTGTTTTGTTGCAGGTGTTCACTGTAATAGTAAAAGATGATGATATCCCAGAAGTTCAAGAGACCTTTGACATTAAGTTGACCTCTGCCCTTACAGGGTCTTCTGGATCTACTAATACCAGTGGAGCCAGCATTGACCTGTCGGCCTCAACATTTCGTTTCACCATTTTAAAAAATGATAATTCTAATGGCCTGCTTCAGTTCTCCAACTCCTCCATACCTCCCCAGGGGACTGGCATCATTCTTCCTGCTACAGAGAAGCCTGTCGTAAGAAATTAAAAATATTTTATATGTGAAGTGTACATTAAAATGTTTTAAGTCATCCCTCTTTACTAATATAATCATGAATGGTGCATCCTTTCCCCCAAAATGAAAATATTCATGTGAAGTAATGGGGCATTCCTGTAATTTTTCACATTAACTGGTTCATGGTAATTATGCTCCTAAGTTATAATGTACACCTTATATATGGAAGGTTCCTTTACAAATCAAGATGCTTGGCTGGAAAAATATTTATACTTCAATGCATACCAAAAATTAATGACTTAAATTTTCGATTGCTCTCACTTTTATTTTTTACCGGGCTAGGTTTACTTCCCTGAGGAAGCCGGACTGATCACGGTGATAGTGGAGAGAGCCCAGGGGACTAAAGGTCAAGTGGAGGTCGAATGGAGAACATCTGACCTCACAGCCAAAAGTAGTGGAAAAACACCCATAGACTACCAAGTACCAAGTTTATTTAAAAAAATACATATAAAACAGGTAGAATTGATCAAAAAAAGTTTGCATTGGTGAGGCATTGTAAATTGATTATTACTTTTTTGTACAGGGTAATGCTGGAAGGCTATCCTTCACTGATGGAGAGCGATACAAGGTTATTAATATTGTCATTGTGGACAACAACATACCAGAGGACCAGAAAACCTTCAGAATTGACCTGTTTAATCCACAAGGTGGTGCTGAGGTCGGAGTAGGAAGTTCTGTCACCGTGGTGATCACTCACTCAGATGGAGCCTATGGAGTATTTGAGTTTGATGAAGCCTCACTGAATGTTCAGGCTTTGGAGAGAGAGGGCACCGGTTATACATCCACTGCCTTCAAGGTGAAAATTTATCATGTTCTTTTCCAAATAGGACTTTATCTATACTCCTGCTCCAAACCTACCTCACTCTCTCCAAAAAAGAGATTATGATAATGACCCATAACTTTATTATGAGACTTAGAGAACCTCTGTTTTTGATTTGAATAAAAAATACTTTTGACTAAATTTTGTTTTAGACATTATTGTCAGTAGTTTCTTTGTTGTTAGATCATTAAATTTTATGTTCTTAAAGTACTGTACATTGAATCTTTTCCTTTTAATTAGGTTATACGTAAGCAGGGAAGAATTGGTAATGTGTCTGTAAGATGGCTTCTGACAGGGAACCCTGGGAATGATGTGGTACAGACAGAGGGTACAGTCACCTTTCAGAGTGAGGAGGTGGAAGCTATGTTGTATGTGAATGTCAGGGGGGATTCAGTACCAGAGCTCGACAAAACTTATCAACTTGTTCTAACTGATGCTGCCCCAGTAAGTGAACATGAATTCTACAGTGCAGCTTCAAAACAGCCACTCAATTTAAAATGAAGTTTATTGAATTCTACGATTTAGTCAGTAAATTTGCAATGGTAAGTAATATTTTACGTGTTTTGATATTGATATCTTGTAACTTTTTTGTGTGATTATCAGGGCAGCATAGGATTAAGATCTACCAGTAACTTTACCATTCTGGCCAATGATGATCCTTATGGAGTCTTTGAGATAAGTGAAAACTTCAGGCCACTGCAGGTGGATGAGCAGTACAGGAGTAAGTTACTTTTATTAGTTATCTTTTTAGCCGAAAAATGGTGATTAGGAAGATCTTCAGGGAAAGCCTTAAATATGACCTTGTTATGCAAGATTTAAATTTTAAGATTTTGTTTATTGGTATGAGCATTTTTAAAGAAATTTGTATTATCTTTACACAGATGTGTCTATCACCATCAGTAGAAACCACGGGACATTTGGTGAGGTGGAGGTATTCTACAGGACCCTCCTCCCTAATGAAACAAATCTCCCCTACCTCCCCTCTGTGTTGGCCAGGGCTGACCGTAGTGATTTCCGTCATGTAGAAGGCAGCCTCATTTTCACTCAGGGTCAGAGTTCAGCCTCTTTCAATGTTCTTGTGATGGACGACAATCTTCCTGAGACTGATGAGTCTGTGTTTGTTACTTTGTCCAGGGTTCAACTTCTTAAACAAGCTCAGAGTAGAACATGTTAGTATATTTATATTTATATTGTTATAATCCAATGATTTTTTATTCAAGTTAATATGTTTTACTTATCCATGGATAAAACACTTGTAAATTTTATTTGCCTGTGTGTACATCTTTATTTCAACTGAGTGATTCACTCTTGCCTACTAGAAATGTATTTGTTGTGAGAACATTTTCTTAGTGTATTATTATTAAAACAACTAAATCTATATTACAGTAACAAACTCACCGAGACTTGGTACAGCGGCCTGGGTGTTTGGTCAGATCCTGATCAGAAGTAATGATAATGCCCATGGCACCCTGGTCCTCAGTCCCCTCTCCTCCTCTGTCACAGAGAACGCCACTGATGTGGGCGTGTCTGTACAAAGGCTGGGAGGGGCTTTTGGGGAGGTAAGAAATGTAAAATGCAAAGCTTAGGAAACTTTGTTTTTGTTATGATCAACATTTTTGCAAATGAGAAGTATGAAGGCAGATGTGACAAGTTCTGATGAATAAAACATCAGACTGTACTATAAATGTGGAAATTTATGTATGGAAGTGATTAATACTGAGCATGCAAAAAAATTTACTGTATATGGAAAAAATTATTCTTATAGCCATTGCATGTATAAATATCTTACTTTGATAGTGTAAACAATACATTATACAAATATCCAGGTATCATGAAAATACTCACAAATCTGGTTTTTGCTGCTAAATACTAACCCATTGCAGTACTGTAAATAATATAATAGAAAGACTGTATTGGAATTTAAATATTTGCAGATTTTATTGTATTAAAGGCAGAGATTTTTAGCACCGCCTTCAAAAATACCTGGTCTGGGTAGCCCTGTCAATCAAGTGCATGAAGATCCATCATTGGATGCTGGAACTTGGTTGACATTTACTTACTGGTCTCTGTGTATACACTGCACACCTTGTATGGGACTTGTGGGGACCTTCAAATTAACTTTCGATCCTTTGATATTTACCGAGCATGGTATAAAAAACTATATCACTATGAAAATTTTTAGATTGATAATATATTAATTTAAAATATACTTTTAGTATTTGAAAGGATAATAAAATAATATGCATTTTAAAAAAAACTCTGGTACATAAAACTTTTTTAAAAATAAATTTTCGATTTTAATTTTAATGTGCTAATTATAAATGGTAAACCTTAAGTGGAAATGCTATTGATAATGTTCAGAGCAGCACTGTGTGAAGTAATTAATTTTTAAAAATATTTATAAATGTTTCTAATCATGGGTCACTATATTATCCTTTTTATTCACATGAGAATGTACAAGCAGTCTGTTTTAGCATGTTTCATGGTGACATTGACTTATTAAGATTAGGATGAACCTAGATTTTTTTCAATGGAATGTACTTAACATGGCTTTCTTTTCATTTAACAGATGAGATTCTGGGGATGAGTGAATAAAGTCAAATTTGGTTGTTACAGTTATTTTTTAAATTATCACATATACTTCCATCTAAATAATCTGTTTTAATATTTGAATTAATAGCATGATATCACAATACTTTTTAAATGGGTAGGGGTGTTTTCAAACATTAAAAAAAAATCAAGAAACCTTTTTACGTCTAATTTAAAATTGTCTGAAAATCCCCAACACAGGTAAAATTTGACATCTGGGTATTTCACTGTGTATTAAACCACTTCCTGTGTATAGGGATTAGGAGACAGATGACCACAGGTAGACTGCTATCCCGCAAGGCTTTCACACTTGTACAAAATAAGCCCCTCCCTCACCTGGAATTTACCACCCGATAAAAAATCTCTGCCTTTAAGTTCAATTATTAATCATCATCCATCACTCTCTTTGAACTCCAAGTTTTTTAAAAATACATTTATAAAGTGCAATGCCAAACTTTTTATCCAGTGCTAAGATATAAATGTTGACTTGTATACAGATATTTGTGATGGGATACCATGGTATATAGAGTTTCCGTTTCTATAGGTATCTGTAAAATTTCGCGTTGCCAACAACACAGCTCTCCAGGGTCTGGACTTTGAGGTTCTGACGGACACTGTCATTCTCCCTGAGGGAGTGGTCTCCAGGCCCCTCCCCATCCAACTGATTGATGACCAACTCCCTGAGCAGCAGGAGGTGTTTTATGTGGAGCTGGAGAACCAGATCACAGGAGGGGCAGTACTGGGATCCACCTCCTATGCAGTGGTCACAATCCTACCCTCAGATGACCCTAATGGACTCTTTGGTGTGTAAATATTAAATATCTTGAAGCCCTTTCTTCGAGTTTCATTAATCTAATAAATTAAGTGACAAACTTATTGAAGCAATTCATATACTTTCATTCTTTATTGATAACACATAGTCAAAGTTCTGTTACAAGTAGCTGTACTTTGATAACTTGAACTCGGATATTTCAATTACCATGGGTATGTCAAGGCAAGTAAGGAGTCTCTACAAAATTTCTTCATGGTTTTAATCCTTGATATCTCAAATTCTCAGATATCTCAAAGTTTTTTTCAGCACCATCAATACGGGATAATAAAATGTGACTATATTTTGTCAGACCTGTTATATAAAGGTTTATGCACTTTTGATCTTTATTCTGTAGAGTTTGATGTAAGTGGATTGAGTGTAGAAGAACCAGAGAATGGAACTCCTGTCACTGTCACAGTCAATGTGGTAAGAAGAGGAGGAACCATGAATGTGGTCACTGTCCTCTGGTCAGCGTCACTTAATAGTAAGTAGGTCAAGCAAGGTCACTGTGATCTGATAAGGCACCATGAATGTGGTCACAGTCTACTGGTCAGCATCACTTAATAGTAAGTAGGTCAAGGTCAATGTGTTTTAATAGAGGCAAGTAGAATGTAGAAGCTGTCCTCTAGTCAGCTTTACTGAATGGTAAGTAGGTCAAGGTCACTGGGATCTAATAATGAGGTCACTGTCCTTTGGGCAGCTTCACTTAATATTAAGTAGGTCAAGGTTAAAATTATATTTTAAGCAAAGGAGAAAGTGTGAATCCTGTCCTCAGGACAACCTATGTGTAGAATCTGCTAGTATTTCCTGGCCACTGTTTTAGAATGGAAAGAAAGAGACTGAAGTACCATGAATGTGACTTAACCTACACCTCATGAATTTAATTGTAGACATGTCCCCCTCAGAAGACATTAACCCGACCAGTGGAGCCCTCTACTTTGTGAGTAATGAGCCCAGGAGACAGATCCTCATCAGTATCCTCCCAGATGACATCCCGGAGGGCCAGGAGGTAGGGCTCATGTTTAAATAAAAAAAAAACTTAGACATTAGGGCAAGTGTTTATTATGCTGTCAGTAGGGCTAGTGTTTATCATGCTGTCAGTAGGGCTAGTGTTTATCATGCTGTCAGTAGGGTTAGTGTTTATCATGCTGTCAGTAGGGCTAGTGTTTATCATGCTGTCAGTAGGGCTAGTGTTTATCATGCTGTCAGTAAATTAAAGCCTTTTGGGTATAAAGCTAGTGTTTATCATTTTGTAACTAAATTAAAAATTTTATCATATGCTTAATGATTGAAAGTGAGATTTGAAATTAAAATTACTGTAAACCAACTTTTATTCCCGTGCGAAAAATGTCCACGAGTTTTGTGACATAATCTAACTCACAAATACTTACAGCAACGAACCATTTATTTTACTTTGCATTTGTAAAGAACTTCCTTGGTCACAAAAATTAAGTATCGCAGATTGATTACAAATTGAAGAATCGCAAATAAAAGATGATGTGAATAAAAGTAGGTTTACAGTGTACTTATTGTAGGATATTGTGTTGACATTGGTATCAGCTAACAATGGGAGTATAGGAACCAACAGGAAGTTTACAATTTCCATACAGCCTAATGATAATCCACATGGGACAGTGCAGTTCTCCACTAACAGTTACAGTGTAACGGAACAAAATACAAATAGTGTGCAACATCTGCTACTCTCAAGAAGGTGAGCATTTGAAGTATACCTCTAATTATTTGTCATGAAAAACTCATTGGAAAAAACAGTGAATGTTGTGCAACTGAATTATATCTTGAAAATCCCATTTAGTACCCATGGCTTTAAAATATTTGTCCATAAAAATGACAGAAATTAGCTATGCATTAACATTCCTGTTTACAGTAGTTATGGAGATAATTATTTTACTGTAATAAATTTCCTTTTTTTCAGTGGTGGTGTGTATGGACAGTTACGGGTGTACTTTAGTACTCTCCACTTATTTATAGATTCTGACACTGACCCACTGACCTATTTTGATCCACCAATCAATGGCTCAAGAGGACCTAATGGTCAAGTGTTCAGCACTGGTTCCAGCACCAATCCTCTTAAAGTAAACAACTTACCTTGTTAGGAGAATATTAAATTATGAAAAAAGTTCAAAATTTATGTTATACAACCAAATAAGTGGTTGGTTGTGAGACATTGAGGTGAGTAAAACTCACTTATAACAAAGTGCCAGGGCCAGACAATATTGTTTCGTTATAAGTGATCACGGGGAATAAAATCATTCCACATTCAAAAGAAAATATCCGAATTTATGCTACTTTAGATTTGAATCATGAAATATTTAGATATTGAATACTACCTTTGTGTATTTGGTTACCTGCCTCATTATCATACAAGATTTAACCCATTATTTTAGGTTTGTGCAGACAACTGCCTAATGACGTCCTCCTGTGTTGCCTTTGAGTTTTCCTCTGTTGATAACATCACTCTGTGTTTGTGGTTTACCACTCCGGCCACTCAGACCATTACTCCTAGGAATGGCTACCAGTACTTCACCAAAAATAATGTCAAGGTTGGGGTAAAACACATTAAGAACAATAGTTCAAATAAATTTCTCATAGAAAATGTTACAGGCCACATGAAATCATGAAAGTGACAATCTAAAACATGTTTAGATGTTTGTATGTAATGATTGCTCTTTTTGATGCAAACAGTGCAGTTACAAGAATTTCAGAGTAAAAAAAAAAGCTGTTGTATGTTTTTAGGTACAGGAATTAGAGAATAAAGCAGCTACTGCTGCTCAGGATTTCAGTGTGGTAACCAATGGTTACATAATGATCAATGATGGTGCCACCTCTGGACAACTTCCTGTCAGTATTTTAGCAGACGACATTCCTGAGCTGGATGAGGTGTTCCTGGTTAAGTTGACTCAGATCGAGGTGGCCAGCGCGGGGGGCTCCATGAAGTACCCCCCTCAGCTGGGGCAGGTCAACCAGGCCAGGGTCACCATTAATAAGAACGACAACGCCTACGGAAAGTTCCGCATGGTCAGTCAGAGTCCGCACGCGTCAGATGGAGGAACTGCTGTTGGCGTGGAGGAGAAACCCCAACTGGCTGTCGACTTGATTGTGGAAAGACTGGGTAACTTTTCTAATTTTAGTTATTTTGTTTGACTTGATCATGGAAAGACTAGGTATTGTTTTTAGGTCACCTGAGTAAGCTCAGCTATCGCTATCTGTTTTCGTCCGTCGTCGTACGTCGTTCATGGGTCGTAAACTTTTGAACATTTTTAGCTTCTTCTCTGGAACCACTGAACCAATTTCAACCAAATTTGATATACAGCATCTATGGGTGAAGGGAAACAAAATTGTGAATTTCATGGTCCCTGCCCCTGGGGCCTGAGGGGTGGGGCCAAAACAACTAAAATTAATGCAGTCTTTAAAAATCTTCTTTACTCATGGACATCAAGCAATCAAATTGTTGGCATGATTGTAATCAGCATTGAGTCCTCTACCAAAATTATGAAATTCATGGCCATTGGGTCAGGGGTTCTGGTGTAAGGGTGGGGCTATATAGATCATATAGTAAAAGGGCATTATTTCTTTGAAAATCTTCTCCTCTGCTCCTGGGTATTTAACAAAAGAACCAAGTACATAGTTATGATGACCAAGAGTGCCTTTTGGAGAATTGTGAATTTCATGGCCCCTGGGTCAGGGGTTCTGGTGTTAAGGCGGGGCTCTATTGATTATATAGTGAAAATACATGAATTCTTCAAAAATCTTCTCCTCTGCTCCTGGGTATTAAATAAACTAACTTAGTACATAGATATGGTGAGCAAGAGTGCTTCTTCCAAAATTATGAATTTTATGGCCTCTGGGTTTGGGATTGTGGTGTTAGGGTGGAGCTCTATTGATTATATAGTGAAAATACATTGATTCTTTAAAAATCTTCTTCACTGCTCATGGGTATTAAACCAATGAACTATGAACATAGTTATGATGAGGAAGGATGTTTCTTCCAAAATTGCCAATTTCATGGCCCCGGGTAAAGTGTTCTGGTGTTAGGGTGAGGCTCTAATGATTATGTAGTGAAAATGCATGAATTCTTTGAAAATCTTTTCCTTTGCTCCTGGGTATTATGCCAATGATCTTAGTATATATATTTATGATGAAGAAAGGTGCATCTAGCAAAATAGTTAATTACATGCCCCCTGGGTCAGGGGTTTCGGAGGGGGGGGGGGGAGGTTACATAGTCTAAAAATAAGTTAATGCTTTGAAATCTGCTACTTGGTATTAATAAACCATTTATGATAAAATAAAATTAATGACAAAACTTCCAAAATTTTGAAATATTTGGCCCCAGTGTCAGTAGTTCCTGTGGGGTTGGATGCACAACTGGTTATAAAGTGGAAATGCATTTTCTCTTTGTTACTCTGATCTACATGTACCTCTGGGTATTAAGTAACTAGAGTAAGCATGCTAAGTATATAATTATGATAAGCAATCATATGGTACCCCTTTCAAAATAGTGAATTTCATGGCCTCTGGTTTAAAGCACAAATCAAATTCAATTGTTGAAAAGTTGTTTCATGATACTCAGGTGACCAATAAGGCATGTGGGCCTCTTGTTATTATTTAATTTTAATTATTTTGCACACTGCCAAATTATGATATGAGCTGGCAAAATTATATTTTTATGTGCATATGTAGAATATCTTAAAATAACTTTTTTGGCAATTTCAGAAATTGATAGGTTTCTCAAACATGTTGACTTGAAAATTTTGATAAACACATAATGGATAAATAAATATATATTAAAAAATAAAGAAGATTCTTCATATTCCTTTAAGTTTGCTTATGCAGATCTTAGTTTGTTTTTTTTTTTTATTAAATTCTTTAAAGCCTGTTAGCAAAACATTTTTTAACAATTGGTGAAATTTTCTCAAAGTAATGATTTCTTTCTAAAGGTGGAAACCTGGGACATGTTAGTGTGGAATGGTTTGTGAATACAAACATGAGTACAGCAGAGTACAACAAGGATTTCTTAGCTGATGGGGCCACCTTAAAATTTACACCAGGACAGACACAAAGTTGTAAGTCATGAAAGCATACTCATACAATATGTAAATGTTATTTATTCAAAATGAGCTGATAGCAAATCTCATGACAGCAAGCTATATGTGCATAATTTTTCTGTCAATACAAACAAAAGTATATACACATACTATGAAATTTGCTATGTTTTTGCTAAATCGTCCTTATCTTTAAACTATAGATTATATGTAGAGTTATCTTTCTTTTACCTGGTTAGTAATATCACTTTTTTGTAATCTTCCCCAGTAATCACTGTGACTGTGTTGGATGATGATTTACCAGAGGAGAATAAAACAGTAATTGTGCAGCTCCGTAATCCACAAGGTGGCGCCGAGATAGAGGTCGGCTCAAGGGTCATAGTCACCATCATGGAGAATGATAATGTGGCCGGGGTGCTGGGCTTTGAGAGAACATCGTTCCTGGCAGAAGAAGGTACTTACGGTGTATTTACAGTGTTATACACAATGGGACATTCATGTTTAATTGATACATTTAATGAGTATAATATCTTATAGTGTGGTCAAAGTTCCAAGAAATGAAAAAAAAACCTTTCAACATTTCTTTTCTTTTTTTTTTTTGTAAATATGAAGATTTTAAAAGCATTTTTATGTTATTTTACATCTTCCTGTAAACACTTTTATTGTGAAAAACTATTTCTTAGCAGGTTTCATTGAGGCAAACATCAATGAATTTTCATGAATCACTGTTAGGGATTTTCTTCTTGACTAGTTCCATTTTTCTTACATAATTACAGGAGAAAAAGTGACAATTCAAGTCCTGCGTACAAAGTCGACGCGGGGCTCGGTGTCTGTAGACTGGGAGATTGTGGGTCTGAGGGGCATTCTACCCCAGGAGGGCTTCACTAACTATAACGGCACTCTCATGTTCCGACCGGTAATATAATACTTCTGTCATATAATTTGATACAGTAGTAAATACATTTATGACAAGTCTGCAGTTTTATGAAAGAATAAGAAAGCAACATTGCAACTTGCCTTGGATGTATGAAGTTTGCAATAAGATAACTTGAATATATTGTACAATAAATAACACATGCACTGGAAATTAAAACTACCAATTATCAGATACATAATTATGTAATGATATTATGATAACACATGCAAAGATGAATAATAGACACATAAAACAAACTCCAAATGTAGGCAGTGTAATGTAAATTAGGATTAAACAAGTTATAAACATTGTTAAGCATTATCAAATCAAAAACGGTAGTTTCAAATAAATAAAAGACAAAGCAATTAAGATAATCATAAACATCTTGTGTAAGATGTTTGCTGTATATTTTGCACAAGTAAAAACTAATTAACTTCAATGATATGAAAAGCTGCCAGCATGTACTTATTAACACCTGGACAATTCGTCTTGATAACTTACCTCGACAAGGTGTAAATGAGCTTATTACCGGTATGTACCCCCTCATAGTTTGATGAAATTTTAGGAGCAAGTCTATTCCCAAGTAAATATAAGCCCTACATACACATGTATAGGCCAAGCTTTCTTGGGTGATGTGTTTACTGATTCACACTAACACACAAGCATCGGTTTTTAGATTTTACCTACATGAAAGTTTTAGGAGCCATTTAGTCCGTTTTAAAGTAACTTTAAGTCGTTCCCAGATCAATTTTCAATGAAGTTGCATCTAGGCGAAGTTCTTAACTAAAAAACATATTTGTTTATAGACTTTGCCTTATACACACACATTACATTCAATGAGGTGACCACTACTGTAAACCAGCTTTTATTCGAGTGCGAGAAATATTCACGAGTTTCACAACCTACTTTAAGTCACAAATATTAATTGCCGCAAACCATTTATTTTGCTTTGTTTTTAGCTCACCTGAGCCAAAGGCTCAAGTGAGCTTTTCTGATCAAAATTTGTCCGTTGTCTGTCGTTGTCGTCGTTGTGGTTGTCGTTGTTGTAAACTTTTCACATTTTCATCTTCTTCTCAAGAACCACTGGGCCAATTTCAACCAAACTTGCTACAAAGTATCCTTAGGTAAAGGGGATTCGAGTTTGTCCAAATGAAGGGCCACGCCCTTTTCCAAGGGGAGACAATTATGAATTAGAGAAAAATTAATGGCATTTTTAAAAAATCTTCTTCTCAAGAACCACTGGGCCAGGAAAGATTTCTCATGTGGAATCATCCTCAGGTAGTGTAGATTCAAATTTGTTTAATCATGACCCCCGGGGGTAGGGTGGGGCCAAAATGGCCGATCAAATTTTTCATAGGAATATATAGGAAAAATCTTTAAAAATCTTCTTCTCAAGAACCACTGGGCCAGGAAAGATGAAACTCATGTGGAATCATCTTCAGGTAGTGTAAATTCAAGTTTGTTCAAATCATAACCCCCTGGGGTAGGGTGGGGCCAAAATGGCCGATCAAAATTTTACATAGGAATATATAGGAAAAATCTTTTAAAATCTTCCTCTCAAGAACCACTGGGCCAGGAAAGATGAAACTCATGTGGAATCATCCTCAGGTAGTGTAGATTTAATTTCTTCAAATCATGACCCCTGGGGGTAGGGTGGGGCCAAAATGGCCGATCAAAGTTTAACATAGGAATATATAGGAAAAATCTTTAAAAATTCTTCTCATCAAGAACACTGGGGCAGGAAAGATTTCATATGGAATCATCCTCAGGTAGTGTCGATTCAAGTTTGTTCAAATCATGACCCCCGGGGCTAGGGTGGGGCCAAAATGGCCGATCAAAGTTTTACGTAGGAATATATAGGAAAAATCTTCTTCTCAAGAACCATTGAGACAGGAAAGATGAAACTCTTGTGGAATCATCCCCAGGTAGTGTAGATTCAAGTTTCTTCAAATCATGACCCCCGGGGGTAGGGTGGAGCCAAATGGCCGATAAAAGTTTTAAATAGGAATATATAGGGAAACCTTTTAAAATCTTCTTTTCAAGTACTTCAAAGTCATGCTTAGTGATATTTATAGGGAATCATCCTCAGTATTGAATTTCTTTTGTTCAAATCATGACCCCTGGGGGGTTGTTGTTAAGCCCCCTCCCTCCCCCCAGCCCTCAGTAAACTTTCAGTTCTGATCTGATATGTGCTTTTTTTCTAGCCAGTTGCTCAGGTGAGCGCTGTGGCCCCTGGGCCTCTTGTTGTAGAAATGTTTCCTTATTCGTGAACAGTAATCGCCGCAGATTGATTTCAAACTGACGAATTGCGAATAAAAGATGACGCGAATAATAGTTGGTTTACAGTATTCCCACTATAAAATTGGATATATTGTACTATAAATCTAACATAAACTAATCCTATGAACCTTGTATAGATTTCTATTTTATCACCTCACTATAGCTCTTTATGGTAATGTGATGTGTTGATTACAGACAGAAGTTTCAAAGACAATATCACTAGATGTGAAATCTGATGAGAAACCTGAGGTGAATGAAGAATATCAGATAAACTTGGTCAACATAACTACAATTGGTAGGAATTACATAATTAAATTCAATTTAATTTTTCCTAGCCTTATCTAATATTTCTTCTTTATACTTGAATTTATTCTAAATGAATTCAATGTTTAAGGTTGGATTTCCAATTCAGGACTTAGGATCTTTGATTTTACATAGATCATTATAAGTTTTATTTTCCTTTGCTCATTTAAATACATGTACCCAGTAAATTCTGAAATTAAAATTGAACTCCTTTATTTTTAATACAAAGGGTATGTCAAAGTGATTTGGCAGGCCCCTTTTTTATCTTTGTGTTTTTTAATCTCATTACCTCAAATCATTGGATATCTCTTTGATTTTGGTCCTGTATGTTCAAAATAATAAGGTTTGACTGTACTAAGTCTAATTTCTTTTTTGAAGGCATTGGTCCCTCTGGGGCAGCTGTTGTTAACCCCCTCCTACAGACTGCCAGTATCACAATAAAGGGAAGTAACGACCCTCACGGGGTCATTCAGTTCTCCCAGAGCTCCCTCAATGTCAGGACCGAGGAGACCAACAACAAATTACATCTACAGGTGGACAGGAAGTTTGGAGCTATAGGTAAGGCCTGGACAGGAAGTTTAGAGGTAGGTAAGGCCTGTACTTGATAGGAAGTTTGGAGCTATAGGTCTGTACTTGATAGGAAGTTTGGAGCTATAGGTAAGGCCTGGACTTGATAGGAAGTTTGGAGCTATAGGTCTGTACTTGATAGGAAGTTTGGAGCTGTAGGTCTGTACTTGATAGGAAGTTTGGAGCTGTAGGTCTGTACTTGATAGGAAGTTTGGAGCTATAGGTCTGTACTTGATAGGAAGTTTGGAGCTATAGGTCTGTACTTGATAGTAAGTTTGGAGCTATAGGTAAGGCCTGGACTTGATAGGAAGTTTGGAGCTATAGGTCTGTACTTGATAGGAAGTTTGGAGCTATAGGTCTGTACTTGATAGGAAGTTTGGAGCTGTAGGTAAGGCCTGGAGTTGATAGGAAGTTTGGAGCTGTAGGTCTGTACTTGATAGGAAGTTTGGAGCTATAGGTAAGGCCTGGACTTGATAGGAAGTGTGGACTTGATTGATAGGAAGTTTGGAGCTGTAGGTCTGTACTTGATAGGAAGTTTGGAGCTGTAGGTCTGTACTTGATAGGAAGTTTGGAGCTGTAGGTCTGTACTTGTTAGGAAGTTTGGAGCTGTAGGTCTGTACTTGATAGGAAGTTTGGAGCTATAGGTAAGGCCTGGACTTGATAGGAAGTTTGGAGCTGTACGTCTGTACATGATAGGAAGTTTGGAGCTATAGGTAAGGCCTGGACTTGATAGGAAGTTTGGAGCTGTAGGTCTGTACATGATAGGAAGTTTGGAGCTATAGGTAAGGCCTGGACTTGATAGGAAGTTTGGAGCTATAGGTAAGGAATGGACTTGTTTTATATTGCTCCCTACAGAAGATTTCATATTATCTTTCTAATATATATTTTTATACAGATTCTTGCTGAGGATTTTCATAACAATTAAACTGTATTTTTCTAGAAATCAAGAGATTACCTGTGTTGAATTAAGCATTGAAGTATCATTTTTTGAAAGATGCAGTCTCATAACTGCAATGGTGTGTGCAAACAAATTATGTAACGCTCGTTAGCGTGTTATGAAAAGAGCCATAGCTGCCTTACCGACGACTCGGCCTACTCTAGTATTTAAAAGGAAATCACCTGTTTCTATTTATAGATACATGTACCTTTTCATCGCAAAATCAAACTACATGTATGTAATCATTTGAGAACCAGTGTTATATTTTCATAGTTGCAAGTTTGTTGCATGACAGTAATTTTACTTGTCCAATACTTATTCTAAACAAGATTGTTTGAAAATTTTAAAATAAAAAGGGCTAGCAACTATGACTTTGGGTCATTAAAATAGTTTAAGACTGTTTTTCCCCAAGATACTTTCAATGTGTAATGTTGTATTATATATCTCTTTTAACAATTATTTAAACATGTATGTATTATAAAATAATAAAAGAAAACATAGGAAAATGCACACAGAGAAAAAAAATAAAATCGTAGTTAAGTTACACGCACTGTGAGACTCGAACTCACAATCATTATGTCTGGAATCTAGCAATCACCACGAAGTCATTGTAATCGGATGGACAAAATTAAGACAGATTGTTGAATTTTGAAATAATTTTAGAAGAAAAATTAAATACGTATTTTCAACATTTTCAATGTGAAGACCACCTTTAACCAAAATTATCTAAACGTAATGAAGTGCAGTCATATCCAAATAAAATTATTCAGAAGTTGTTTTTCTGGTTAAGGGTGGTCTTTTCCTACAGTTTGTCATTGTTTAAGGGGGTACCTCAGTATTTACTATATTCTCCATATAAACTGAACGATTTTTATAACTATCATAAGAGGGAAGTATTAATAATTGGGTATTATTTTTGTGTGAGTTGCTTTAAGGCATGTATAAACTAACATTGTATGACAAAATTTTGGTTAAACAAAGTATTTAAAAAATCACTACTAGAGTAGGCGAAAGTGACTATCAAATGCGCTATGGCTCTTTGTTAAGTTTGCACACACATAATTACAGTTATAAAACTGCATCTTTCAAAAAATGATAATTCAGTGCTTATATTTACATTTTTTATCCCCTGTATTTCTGTAATTTTGATTTTTCTATTTAAAATTCCCACCTTATCCTTCATGTAAGTTGCAGATAACAGATAACAATAATCAAAGTTTTATTTATTTTTAGCTCACCTCGACGAAGTCGAGATGAGCTTATGCTATACCCACGGCGTCGGCGTGTTGGCTTCCCGTAAAAGTTTTAGGAGCAGGTCCATTCCCACAGTAACTATAAGCCCTACCCAGACCAAACTTGCATGGATGATGCATCTAGGGATGGGCATTACCAGAAATGCTTCGGATGCTGGATCTGACCTACATTTTTCAGATGAGTGACCAGGTTAAAGTTTTTGGAGCAGGTCCATTCCCAAGTAACTATAGGCCGTACCCAGACCAAACTTGCATGGGTGATGCATCTAGGAACATTACCAGACTTCCTGGATCTGACCTACATTTTCCAGATGAGTGACCAGGTTAAAGTTTTTGGAGCAGGTCCATTCTTAATTAACTATAAGGCCTACCAGGACCAAACTTGCATGGATGATGCTTCTAGGGATGGACACTAGCAGACTTGCTTGGGATGCTGGATCTGACCTACAATTTCCAAACGAGTGACCAGGTTAAAGTTTTTGTAACAGATTAATTCCAAATGAACTTAAAGACCTATTTAAACTGAACTTGCTTGAATTTTGTTGTCAGGATAAATACTAACTGTTAAGAAAATATGATGTGAGATTTGCATTACTTAAATTGATAACATTCGTTGAGGTGAGCTTTGTAATCTTTGATTACCTATGTTTTCAATCTAAAATGATAAACTATGCTTTTACAACAAAGAAATAAAAATGAATTGTATAACAAACATAAATTTTTTGCTTTGTTTAAACAGTAATGGCGTAGTCCCTGTATTCATACGCCAGACAGACTTTGGTCATTAGGTCTTGTGTGTTATGTGTATTTATCACTTGTAATTTGATAATGCTTTTTATTAGGGTCAAACAAAGTGAATGTAAATATGTAATATTAACAAAATTGAAAATAATGATGCTTGTATTAAAAAAGAAAAATTCACAACCTTTATGATAAGTATTACCTGTAAGGATTTGTTGTAGGTACTGTCCGTGTGTCTTATTCCATATCAAGTGGCTCCGTGACTCCGTTGTCTGAGGAGCTGACTGCTGCCATGCCCACTGAGGACTTCATTGCCGTACAGGGATACGTCGACATACCAGACCAAAACGTGTCCATGACCATCAGTGTACAGATTGTGGATGATACACAGCCGGAGGTGGATGAAGCCTTCATTGTAACACTTACAGGGGTGACCTTAGTGAATTCTACAGACACCAGTAGCATGCCACCCAGACTAGGTATAGGCTCTCTGTAAATCTGGACTTAAGTAAATCATAGGATCTCTATAGTGATTCTATTGAAGTAGGATTTGTATAATGTACTTAATGATTGATATTTCAAAATACTTGTATTGATAAACATTCTTTAATTCAGGAAATGAAGGTACAGTGTCAGAAATAGTTATCAATGCCAATGATGGAACAAAAGGAGTAGTTCAATTTGGCTCTGACTCCTACAAGTAAGTCTGAACGTTTGTATTGTAAGAAGCTGGAGCATTTTGATTAAATCTGTCTGCATACAGATTTCAAATAAATATAAATGTAAAACTTCAATTCCAGCCAGCATAAATGTTCCAATTTCCATTATGTAAAATGTTCCAGTTAAATTTTTATGCATTATTAGGATTTGAGAGTGAATGTTGATGCATTTAAAATTTGGATTTCAATATAAATGTTGATGTATTATTTGGATTTCAGTGTGAATGTTGATGTATTATTTGGATTTCAGTGTGAATGTTGGTGTATTATTTGGATTTCAGTGTGAATGTTGGTGTATTATTTGGATTTCAATATAAATGTTGGTGTATTATTTGGATTTCAGTGTGAATATTTGTGTATTGTTTAAATTTCAGTGTGAATGTTGATGTATTATTTGGATTTCAGTGTGAATGTTGAGGTACTATTTGGATTTCAGTATAAATGTTGATGTGTTATCTGGATTTCAGTGTGAATGTTGATGTATTATTTGGACTTCAGTGTGAATGTTGGTGTATTATTTGGATTTCAATATAAATGTTCGTGTATTGTTTAAATTTCAGTGTGAATGTTGAGGTATTATTTGGATTTCAGTATAAATGTTGATGTGTTATCTGGATTTCAGTATAAATGTTGATGTGTTATCTGGATTTCAGTATAAATGTTGATGTGTTATCTGGATTTCAGTGTGAATGTTGATGAAATCAGGAAGAACATCAGTCTGTCGGTGATCAGGACTCAGGGTACGTTTGGTAATGTGTCAGTGTTCTACTACGCTCAGAGCATTGTGGAGGGGACAACTCAGGGACTGGACTATACTATAACCCCACAGGTATACCCAGAACCATTTTATATGGTACTGAAGCAATATGTAGCATGTATATAGTAGGTTTGAATTTTTTGTATAGTGTTGGTACACAATATAATTCATTCTCAGTTGGGCATTATTTGTGAATTTTTGCATGTAAACAACTTGTTTGATCAAAAACTGTTCACTGTTATTCATTGGTGATGTGCACCTGTTATTATTTTTTTTAAAACAATTATTTGTTTGACACACCTTCATACACATTTTAAAAGTCTTATTTGTTCACATGACATTTTTTTTAGTTGGTGATGGATTAGATTTTTCAAGGTAAATTACATTTATTTTTTCCTTGGAAAAATGTTATATCTTTGTTGCATTGCTCAATAAAACAGAAAATTCATTCATTCTGAATTGATATGAACTTTATCAGATACTAATTCTCGAAATGTTTTGATAGGAAATCTTCTTTGCAAAAGCGGAGAACCAGAAATACATTATGTTGGAGATTCTGAATGATGATATTCCAGAGCCGGACGAGACATTCCAGGTGATACTGTCTCAGCCGCGAGATGGCGTGGAAATCGGAGAGCCGTCTAGAGGTACAATTCAGCTTTGTCACCTTCGTCTTTTTTCTCTTTGTGCCAACTGTTTTCTGCTTTGAAACATTTACACCTATGACCTGGTTACCCATGATTCACCTTTTCTGTTATTTCCACATCCATGCGTCATTTTCCTGTACATTCATGTTTTTTTTCAAGCCTAACTATTTTTACGTGTAGGTAAATTGATACCTGATAATGAATACAAGGAATGAGATTCTTTGAATTAATTATTTGTGCAGGTAGTTTTGCATAAAAAACCCCAATACCTTGGAGGTGTGTGAATAACCTTAAAAAATTATCAATCTTAATTTCTAAAATACTAAATGCAATGAAAATATATGTATTACATATTATCTATTAAATTTTACAGTTTAAACTCTGTAAAAATGGGGCATAAGTGTTTGCAAGCAAGAGAAGGCAAAAAATGAAATTGAATGAAAATCACTTGGTATACAGTAATACCCAAGGGCTCAAGATATTGAGGGTAAAATACTTAAAAAGTTTCTGGGACCTCCAAATCACTTCAGTATAACCTTAGTCATTATCTTATCCAGTTAACATAACCTTCTCTAATAAAATTGTACAAAACCAGACTCACAGTATTTGAAAAAAAAAATACTGTTTGTTTGAGTTCACCATCTTGTATAAAAATATCTAAAAACATTCAAACTTTCTTGCAAATATTTTCAAATAAATAGATTGATACTTCTGTTTCCCTGCACTGCGCGTCCAACGAGTTGCTGAATATAGTGGATCAGTAAGTTATAAACTAAAACACGGGTGTAAATATCATAAAAACGGGTCATGATCAGTACATGGTGGGATATAAATTACAGAACACAAAAAATATTTTTACGGTTGTTGATGGAAATATATTGTAGTAAAACTTATTTCGCAAATGTGTGACATTAGGGTTTTCCCGTGCTCGACAATGTAAAATGAACGTTTTTCTCATGCTCATGTCTTGTTTAACTATGCTTTGTGCAATATTGAGCTCAGCTTCACCAATCGATATTTTTGCAGTTAATCAATAACATGACGAACAATTTTAAATTTTTCTATTGAATGATAGGATTTTTTGTAAATTAATTTTTTTGTCGTTTAAGTTGTCTTAAAAAGAACGCAATTTTCCAACTCCAGATGCGGTGTGACAAAAGAATCCTGCTTTTTTGAATTTTTAACCCTGTTCATACTCTAAAATGTTTTAAAAGACACATGTTCGCTGACATATTTTTTATCTATGAAATTTTAAAATAGGTAAAACATTACTGTGGGGCATAGATGTACCCGATATCTCCGAATAAATATATTGATATTTTTCTGTAAGGTATAACTTAAAATGACAGGTATTTTTTCAGCTAAATGGTCATCCCCTTTTCATTGTGAAATGTAAGTTAACTTGTAAATCTTTTTTGGAGGTAAAGTTAATAAAGAACAACTATTGGGGGGGGCAAGATTTCTTAAAATTTAATGATTCAATCTTCCTTATATTTACTAGAAATTTAAAATAGGTACATTATGAAATGTAAAAATATTTGTTTTTAGCTCACCTCATTATTCGGTGTCGGCGTCTTCGAAGATTAAGTTTTTTGGAGCAGTTTTCTTTTAAGTACTTCTATGTCCTATATTGATTAGACATGCATGGAATATGCTTCTAATGTGTTTCATTGTACCAGTCTAAGTTTCAGATGCTGCAATTTCAGCAAAGGAATGACCAGGTTAATGTTTTTGGAGCAGGTTAACATTTTTGATGCAGTTTTTGCTGTAGGTCTCATTTCCAAGGAACATTATGTTGACAAACTTGCATGGATGATACATTTAATTCAATATTTAATATGTTGACAAACATTTGTACACTATAAAATGTGACTTTTTCCGGTTGAGGAACAGGTTATGTTTTAATTTCCAGATATAAGACCTTGTTGACCAAACTTGCATGGATGATATATCTATGCAAAAACACATTTTCTGGTTGAGTGAACAGGTTAATGTTTTTGGTGCACATTTCCAAGATACAATGAACCCTATAATGACCAAACTTGCATGGATGTACATCTTAGGATGCATACTACCAGACTTGCTTCGGATGCTGAATCTGACCTACATTTTCTGTATTTTAAAGTTTTTGATGCAGGATTCATTTTCAAGTAACTGTAAGCTCTTTAATGACCAAACTTGCATGGATTATACAAAGGTTGCATTCTACCATAGGTAAATATATTTTTTTCTGTAAAGAGGTTAAATTTTTATGCAGGTTTCAAAAACTAAAAAAAATCATCTTAGGATTGGACTTGCTCCGGATGCTGAATTCGACATACATTTTCCAGATAATGGACCAGGTAAAAGTTATGGGTGCAGATCTATCACAAAGAAACTGTAAGGCTTTAATAACCAATTGCCCAAATTTAATAAAACTTTAAAGATGCTGATTTTGATCACATTTTCGTGATGAAGAACTAGTTTGAAGTTTTTATATAGGTCTACTCCAAAGTATCAGATCAAAATTGCATAAATTTTGCATTTTGGAGGTACACTTTTTGTTGGGTAATTGTGTGATTTTGCCCTAAGCACTTAAGACTCAAAATGGTCATTTTTTCATTGTGAAGTGTGGCCATTTTTTTGTACTTAATAAACTCAGAAGATTTCTTAAAATTTAATGATTCAGAATTATGAACTACTCACGCTACATTTGTCCATAAAATCTTTAAGGAGGATGTTTTAAAAATATTTTCTGTTGATTTCTACCCTAATAAAAAACACAAGTAGTTTCACCAAAGTTATAGAGTTATCACTCTTTGTTTTCCCAAATTAGTAATGTTTTATGAAAATCCATATAAATATCTGTAAAAATGTAAAAAAAAAAAAGAAAAAAAAATCAATTGAAGGACTTTATTCGGTAATAACCAATATTTAATAATTAAACTTCAAGGGAGAAATTTTTAATTATGTTCTATAACAGGGGGATATATGCTGACTTCAAAGCACTGAATATTTTCATCAGCAGTGACGTCATATGTTAGAAGTGACGTCATGAAAGTGACATACTGTAGATCACTTAATTTTTGTGACACCTTATTTTCACGAGATAGTCATTTACTGTTTATTAGCGAGACAAAATTTTCATGAATCGTGGTCATTGCTCTATATAATCTTAAGAAATTCTATAATGTATTTTCGTAACAATGATAATAGATCATGATTTCTACAGAAAAATGTATATATTACGTCGATATTTTGAGTAAAAAGCACCGAGCGCAGGTCTGATCAGGCTCAATATTTTGATATAATGTGTAGAATGATAATGTCAATGAAATATGTAAATATCGTTCCTGAGCAAACTTACGCTCTATGATTTTTATAGCTAAAATTGTTGAAATTTTGTCCATTTTGTCCTCTTTCTAAAAAACGATATAAAATTGGACGAGTTTGTGACGTCATAAAAACAAAATATAGTCAATAAACTACTTTGAAACTATAATATGTTCTGTTCATTTATATTTCTCATACAATTTATGGAATTCAGCACATTTGAAGAATTTTTCAAAATTTGACTTTTGTGGGGGCAAAGATATACAATATACCGCATATATAGTTCTTTGTTAACTTTTGATTTAATTAAGGAATGAATTTAATAGCTAACCATTTTATATGGTATAAACTGGGTTGGGGTAGTTTACGCTTTATAAACCATGGTTTATAAAAAAGCGTAAACTGTTCCAACCCAGTTTATATCATATAAAATGGGTATCTATTAAATTCATTCCTTGTAATTTGATTTTCATTCATTTGAAGTAAGAAAAGATGATTGTTCTAACAAAATGACTTCAATCTGTACAAAATTTGAATGTAACGTCAGGCAGATTGATACGTTTTTAACGAAAGTCATTGTGACGTAGGCAACCCATTTTATACGATATAAAGTAATTTTTTTATCCAATCAAATACAGCGTTACAACCAGAATTAAATTATTTGACTCTGAGATAGGTGCTATTGTTCGCAGTTCTTTCTTTGTATTTTCTGTCCGTTTTCTGGTTTTTTGCACTAATCAAAGTTCAAAGACAGGGATGTTTGAATTACTGGCTTGACAAACTGTTTGTCTAGGAGTCGTCTTCAACATTTCCTTGGTCATGAATTTTCCCGACCTGAGGCTGTTTCCCTTTTAAAGTTTATTATTCTGTTCATATTTTTCAAGAAAAGTTTTTTTAATTGGTTAATTAACAATAAAACAGGTGAATTCAACTGAGAAAAAATCAAACTTCCCAATAAGTGAAAGGGGATTTACATTGATGGGAAATGATTTTGAATTTGTATTGGGAATATTTTAACAAATAAAAAATATTTTAAAAATGATAAGTCCAGAACCATTACTTTTTTTCATTAAATGTAGAATTTTTTTTTGATAACAATTTGATTGTACTGGGAGGCAACTTAAGATTCTATTACCAGGTAATCAGCGATTTCCTTTAGTCTTCTTGTGATGGAATAAACAATCCACAAATGACACTTGACGGTCTTAATGATCTGTGATGTACTTGGAAACATTTATTGAATTTATAGAAATGTTAAAATATAATGATGACTCTTTGTGCTGAAAAGAAGTTTGTTTTTTTTTTTCAAAATCTCCACAGCTCAAGTTAGGCTTAAGTTAGAATATGTATATATTAAGTGCTTGTTTGTCTTCTAAGTTACATATATAAATTTCCCCAAAACCTTGAATTCAGAATTGAACTCTGTGACTTTGTAATATCTATTTACTAATACAGGCTGTGTGGGGGTATTACAGGAAAAACTATTAAATATACATGTATTTGTTTTCCTTTCTTACTGAAATTCTGTGCCATAAATGCTATTGTGAGTGCTGTTTTTAAGGAACTTGCATATTTATAATTGCTTCAAAATTTCAAGGTTTGTAGATTATGTTTATGAGCATGTAAGGCTAATTGCAATCTGCAAAGTTCTATATGTACTTGCAAGGTCATCTTAATGATAATGATTGGTTGCACTCTCCCAAATCAGGGTATAATTATTGGGTTTGTAGGTAGGTGGGGAAATCTTTCGTCAGAAAATTTCAACATATTTGTTGAGAAGATAAAAGGAAGGGGGAAAAAGGGAAAAGATATTGTGTCCTGGAATGTTAAAAAAAGTTTTGAGTCAGGCCAATTGTAGTCATTCGGTAGGGAGAGGGCAACCAAACAATTTTTTAAAAATGGCCAAATAAGATTGTATATGACAGTAACGATATGACATTTTGTGGTATTTATTTTGGCTCTTACCTGGTACATCACTCGATCAGCTAACATTATGTTGAAACATGTTTTTTAAGATCTATTTTTGACTTTCAATCATCATGTGTAAGCTACTCACATCTTCAACTCAAGGAACTTTCTGAAACAAGGCCTGCTTTCAAAAAACACCCTAAAAGGATTAGAATTCATATTATCTTAGAAGATCTCCGTGTCTTTCCATAAAGAGATTGTTATTAATATAGAATTCAGTGTTGTAAATTAAAACTCAGCTTTCCAAGAACCAGCAAGGCTGGCACAACAAACCATAAGATACTGAAGCTGCCTTAAAGAGTAAAAATTCAGTGGCCTTTGGAGCAAGGGCATTAGAGTGTCAAATTAAAAAAAAAATGGAAGTAAATAGGAATATAATCTTCCTATTCTTTTCAATAATTACAAGATTGAAAATTGTTTTATGGTGGAATTCTTTTGTAGTGTATATTCACTGTTAGTTTGATCAGATCTTATGCACCTGGGCAAGAAAAGGGAGGGACACGAACACTCATTTTAATAAGTGGTAATCTGGCTCAACTAACTCCTAATCAGACAAATACAGCAGTTATTGTAGTAATCGTATAATTGTTATTTGTCATGGCCATTGTCAGCCTGCCAGACCTGCTCAAAATGTCCTTTAGATGATAATATGTCATATGACCAGCAACCCTCAGATCAGCCAAGTAGTCCTGTAAGCCTCACAGACAGTTCAAATGTAAATATTTATATTTCCAATAAATTTCCCCTATGATTCTTTACAAAAAAAATGCAGTATATTTTCTCATGAACTACATTAGATATGTATCACGAATAAGCATGAATATCTCCATTGTTACGTCATAATACCGCTCTTGACGTCAAAAAGTCAAAAAATATAGTGCACACTGTTTTGTTTTAAAAATGACAGTTGAACGGCGTAAATTTATGGCAAGTCATCAGAAAAATAATGTAAATATAAGAAATGAATTTAATTTTTTGAAGATTCATGAGGTATATGAACTACAACGCTTCCGCCGGCATATTTAAAAAGCGTAACGCGCTTCATGATGATTAATCATACATAACCTTAACTTTAAATTCATTTCTTAAATATTTCTACTAAGCCAACTGTGAAATTGATTTGAAGACCATTTTCGTGTATACTCACGCGTAGAAATATATATACGGAGAAACGTGCGTTAGCGTGACGTCACAATGAGGCTACAGAGATGTTAGAAAAATGCAACGATATAGGGCAGCGGGAAATTCAAATATTGAGTATATTTTAGTTGCTTCCAAACATGTAAAATGTAAATATAAGGAATGTTTTTAAGTTAAGTGTGAATTATTGGTGTGTGAATCACAAAGACTAACACATAGGCATATTTATAGCTCTACTGGTCAGAGACCAAAGAGCTTGCGATAATAAAGTATCAAAAATTTTTCAAAATGCTACTCCTCCTACAGTTTTGGTCCGAATTCAATATAACTTGGCACACAAGTAGACTACGCTAAGATACATAATTCTGTGCATCAGTTTTTGCTTTCCATGAACGATGTTGTGAAGGTTACTAAAAATAGAAATTTCTGTGAAATTCTTTCAAAATGCTACTCCTCCTACAGTTTTGATCCGATTTCAATATAACTTGGCACACAAGTAGACTAATTTAAGATACATAATTCTCTGCATCGGTTTTTAATTTAGTTGAACGGTGTTGCCATGGTTACTAAAAATAGAAATTTCTGTGAAATTCTTTCAAAATGCTACTCCTCCTACACTTTTGGACAGATTTTAACATAACTTGGCACACAAGTAGACTACACTAAGATACATTATTCTGTGCATTGGTTTTTGCTTTCGATGAGTGGCAAGGATCTTTTTTTTTTTACTTATTGCTGTTTTAGTCTTAAGTCCCAACTGCTCTTTTCTCTTCCTTTGTTTTAAGTATAAACCAGTAGAGCTACAGTCTCGACAGAGACTTCTGGTTCATGAAGCGCTCAGCACGCTTCATGATATCATGAAGCGCTCAGCGCACTTCATGATATATGCCTACGTGACAAGTCTGTGTGATTCACACACCAATAACTCACACAAAACTTAAAAACATTCCTTAAATGTCTATTACAACAATGTACAAATGTCAACCACATTTTTACATTAGCACTTTAATCTGGATAATAATTTTTTTTAATTTCCATTTTTTAGCAAATGTCACAATTCTGGCCAATGATGAATTCAGTGGAACAGTGACATTTAAATCCCAGGATATTGTCAGGATTGAAGAATCTCCTGGGGAGAATATGACCTTGAACATTGCACGTCTTGAGGTCATCAGGGGACCAGGCTTCTATGGATTGGTCAATGTCCCCTTTAAGGTGATCCCTGAAAGGGCAGACAACTCTGTGGATATCACGCCTACAGAAGGTGTCATTACATTCCAAGACAAACAGGTAGATGTCAGAACTGGTCAAATAATGAATTCACAAGAAATCTTGTCTGGATCCATAGAAATGGGCCAGATTTAAACAACATTCCTAACAGAAACTGAAAAACTTTTTATTTCACTAAAGTCTCCTCATGGGGTATGTTAGTGCAATAAGAGTTTAACAATTGAACAAATTAACATATGAACAGATAACATGATCTTTTATATGGACAGTACTGACAGAAAGGATCAGTTTTTGATAAACAAGATTTTAGCAAGAGTTATTTCCCATCGGTTGCCATATTGAAGTTATACAGGCCTGAATTCCTTCATTATTCAACAGATTTAAACTTGTCATACTGGGCAATTGGGTTAAATATCACAATTTTTCCTATAAATTTATGTTTACACAAGCTTCTTTAAATCTACAATTTTATTATTTTAAAGTTTTTTGTTCTCATATTTCTACCATCATTAAGGTTTGAAATAGGTTTCTCAAAGAGGAATATATTCACTAGTTGGACCTCCAAGATGACAGTCAAGGGATTAACTCACAGGGAAAATATGTCATACTAAACTCATACAAAAACTATCTGTTAGACAACATTTTTAACAGTTATATTTACTGAAAGGGACTTCAAGTTACCATCTATATTAGAAAAGATTTTGAAATTCACAACATCTAGATTAGACAAGTTTTACTGTGTGTCCTTTCTTACAAGTTTAAAAGTCAGCAGTTGGGGTTATCAAATTGCTAATTAACATCTGATCAAAAACATGTATTATCAATATATACCAGTATACAAATAAATATGTGTCTAGAACATTTTATGTTAACAGTACATTTAAATAAAATAAAATAAATACAATACAGATGTACTGTATAAGTATTAAAAAATTATTCATTTGTGTAAACTCATGACATTATGCCTAATTTTGAAACATGTATTATCAATATACACCAGTATACAAATAAGTATGTGTCTAGAACATTTTATGTTAACAAGTACATTTAAATTAAGTAAAATAAATAGAGTACAGATGTATAAGTATGAAAAAATTATTCATTTGTGTAAACTCATTATTCATTTGTGTAAACTCATAGCCTTGTTTTGAAACAGTGTATTATTAGCTCACCTGAGACGAAGGCTCAAGTGAGCTTTTCTGATCACATTTTGTTCATGTCTGTCTGTCCTTCTGTCTGTAAACTTTTCACATTTTTGACTTTTTCTCAAGAACAGCTGGGCCAATTTCAACCAAACTTGGCACAAAGCATCCCTAGGTGAAGGGGATTCTATATAAAGGGCCACGCCCTATTAAAAAATTGGGAATTAATGAAAATTTGGTGGTATGTTTTAAAAATCTTCTTCTCAAGAACCACTGTGCCAGGAAAGATGAAACTTTTGGGGAAGTATCCTCAGGTAGTGTGGATTCAAATTTGTTCAAATGAAGGGCCAAGCCCTCTTCCAAGGGGAGATAATAATGAATTAATGAAAAATTTATGGTATCTTTTAAAAATCTTCTTCTCCAGAACCATTGGGCCAGGAAAGATTAAACTCATGTGGAAGCATCCTCAGGTAGTGTAGATTCAAGTTTGTTCAAATCATGACCCCCGGGGGTAGGGCGGGGCCACAATGGCCGATCAAAGTTTTACATAGGAATATATTGGGAAAATCATTTAAAAATCTTCTTCTCCAGAACCATTGGGCTAGGAAAGATGAAACATTGAATCATATGTGTAATTCAAGGTTATTCATTTACAATGGCTGATCAAAGTTTTACATAGGAATATATTGGGAAAATCTTTTAAAAATCTTCTTCTCCAGAACCATTGGGCTAGGAAAGATGAAACTCATGTGGAATCATCCTCAGGTAGTGTAGATTCAAGTTTGAACAAATCATGACCCCTGGGGGTAGGGCGGGGCCACAATGGCCGATCAAAGTTTTACATAGGAATATGTAGGAAAAATCTTTTAAAAATCTTCTTCTCCAGAACCATTGGGCTAGGAAAGATGAAACTCATATTGAATCATCCTCAGGTAGTGTAGATTCAAGTTTGTTCAAATCATGACCCCCAGGGGTAGGGCGGGGCCACAATAGCCGATCAAAGTTTTACATAGGAATATATAGGGAAAATCTTTAAAAATCTTCTCCAGATCCATTTGGTTAGGAAAGATGAAACTAATGTGGAAGCATCCTTAGGTAGTGTAGATTCAAGTTTGTTCAAATCATGACCCCCATGGTAGGGCGGGGCCACAATGGCTGATCAAATTTTTGCATAGGAATATAAAGGAAAAAATCTTCTCGAGAACAGAAAAGTTTTGTCGAATTGACATGTAATTAAGCATCTGCAAGTAGCGAAGATTTAAATTTATTCAAAAATTGCTGGGGGGGGGGGGGGGTCACAATGGGAGATCGAGTAATGTATAGGAAAAAATCTTTAAAAATCTTCTTTTCAAGTATGTCAAACAAATCCCCCTCATCCAACAAGTAAGCTTTTCAATAATAAGCTGATTTTGGTTTTTTAACTAGCCCATGTGTTCAGGTGAGCGATGTGGCCCATGGGCCTCTTGTTAATATATACCTGTATACAAATAAACATGTGTCTAGAAAATTTTATGTTATTAAACAGTACATTTAAATTAAGTAAAATAAATACAATACAGATGTATAAGTGTTCAATAATTAGTCATTTGTGTTCATATTTTGTATGTATACTTCACTAATTAAGCTTTTTTAAATGACATAAATGTCAATGACCTTGTGACCTTGACTGTGACCTATATGCTACAAGTAGCTTTTTCTAACTTTTGCCATAACATTTTGAACCATGAAAAATACAGACTTCATATTTGGTATGCATTCTTCACTAATTAAGCTTTTTCAAATGATAGGTCAATGACCTTTTGACCTTGACTGTGGCCTATATGCTAAATATATATTTTTTTCTAACTTTCACCATAAGTTTTGAACTATAAAAAATGCAGACTTCATATTTGGCATGCATATTCCAGTAATTAAGCTTTTTTAAATGACACCAAGGTCATTGGCCTTTTAACTTTGACTGTGACGTATATGCTAAAAATAGCTTTTGCAAATTTCGCCATAACTTTGAAATGTAAGAGATAGAGACTTCATATTTGGTATGCATACTTCATTAATTAAGCTCTTTCACTTGACACCAAGGTCAATGACCTTGTGGCCTTGACTGTGACCTATATGCTCAAAATATCTTTATTGATCTTTGTTGTCACCGAGTGCATACTGTTTCACAAACACATCTTGTCTGTATATGCTTTATGTATATGTAGTATATTTAATAAAAACTTAGATTGCTAGGACCCCACCCTCTCTTTTTCAATCCAGTTTGCCTCCCCAATGTAAAATAATTGCAATTAATACCCCTGTTTGTATAGACTCTGTAAATATTTTAAAAAGGTTTCTGATCTTTTCACTCCAACCTGCTGTCCTTGACTTGCTAACATGCACTTTTTGAAATATTGCCTGCGGCCCTGCGTGTAAGGTCTCTGTTTATGCTGTTCTTATTGAACTTTTAAAAAAATGGAAACTTTTATGCCAAACTTTGATGTCAAATTTTATTTTTGATCTTTTAGAAATGTTATTTAGTATTTATTTTTCACAACCTTTTTTTCATTATCCAAAAGTTCAAAATAAGGAAAACATGTCATAATTTTATACAGGATGCTGTGTTCTTGGAACTGACTGCACTTGATGATGATTTACCGGAGCATGACGAGATTTTTACGGTCCGTCTGTTAGCTCCTGATAATTCTGCCAAGCTTGGGACACCGATACAGAAAACTGTCATCATCACGGCCAATGATTCTCCTAGTGGACTGATGCAGATCAATGTTAGACATACAACGTAAGTTAAGTATACTGTATGTCTCATCTGCCAATAAAAACAAATGTTCACATTACTTCCACATCAGCCAAAATAACCACTCAAAAAATGAACCCCAACAATACCTAGGTTAACTTTATGAAGTCAGATATTGATGTCAACATTGATGGTGGTGTTGGGGAGGAGGCTTTAAAAAAAATCTTGTTTTGTGATAATTTTGTAAAACAAAAATTAAGGGAGCTCACTATTACAACATTTATCAATTTTATCATAATGTCTTAGATAAAATGTAACTTTGTAAAATGTTATCTGAAACTGGTTTTAAACTTTTTAAAAAGAATTTAGAGCAACATTTTTATGCTAGCAATTTTAAAAAAAAAAACATTCATTTTGCAAGATTTTACAATCAATTAACTGAAGTTTACGGCCTTACTCGTAAGTTCTTTTTTAAAACGGGCCTCTTGTGTGTTACATTCATGTTATGTGCTGTTCTATGTAGGAATAACACAATATCAGTGGAGGAAAACATTGGTCAGATTTTCTTTGATGTCACAAGATCCCAGGGTTCAGATGGTATGGTGACCGTTGATATGGCCACCCAGCCTGACACCGCAGTCATCAACACTGACCCTAAACACGTGACTCTGTCCCCACTGGAAACAGTGATTACCTCACAGGTCACAGGTTGGCATAGTTTCTATAGCAATGACACATTACACCTGGTGATGCTGACATCTTACAGAGCGGGAGAACTGAATTCTGGGATTGGAAGTGCAGGAAATGACTCGTCAATTAGTGTAGACCGCTTCCTATACTCAACTCTGTTTAAATGGCAGGGACAATTGGTGCCAGTGCAAGTGAGCTCATTGTTGAATGACTATTCCTTTTATTCACCGTTAAATTCTGATAATGCATAGAATTACTTTAACCTTATTTCCTTATCAGACAGTAGAAACAGATGTTGCTATGGCTGCCACCACATTTTCCATAGGGCTATCCACCTTTCTTGTGATTTGTAACTTTGGCAATGTCAGAAGATATGAGACAAAATCCAGACTGTACAGAGTCAACCACGACTCTTCTCTACTTGTGGTAAGTAACAATAAATTCCATTAACATCTTTCTTCATATAATTTTTTAGTGTGTCAGTTTATTATTTTTAAGATTTTTTATGACAGCTGCAGGAATTTCTGACAAAGGGAGCTACAGACGTAGAGTACTTCAGCAGTGGCTCTGACCATTTCCTTGTTCTGACTAACTCTCGTGACAACAATGGTGAGACCTTGATGAATGTCGATGTTTACAAATGGGACAACGCAACCCGACTGTTTACACCATCCCCATGGCAACGTCTAGAGAACCAGGGAGCATCTGCTGTAGCTGTGGTCAAAATAGAGGGGGTGGTCTATATGGCTATCGCTAACAACTACAACTCTAAACTGAAAACTTACACAGTACAGTAAGAGTCCTTAGAGATCAATGGAAAAATACCAAAAAAAATATTATAAATAAAACTTGAAATAATTTTTAAAGAAATATCTGTAAACAAATCTTACTTTTGTTGGGAACAAAAATCACAATGTTGTACATATTTTCTCTGGCCCATCAAAAGACTGACCTAAGTTTGTTTTCTTTTTCACAGTTCAGTTGTGTATAAGTTTGGAAATGATCAGAAATTCTCGGAGCACCAAAGAATTGAAACACATGGAGCGACAGATGCTAACTTTATACAGATTCATTCACTGACCCTGCTGGTGTTTGCCAGTAACCGTGGTGATATTGTCAGTAGCCCTCAGACCTCTACTGTGTATCGCTGGGACTCGACAGCACAGACGTTCTTCAGACACACAGACATACAGACAAACCGAGTCAATAAAATCTCTCCTTTCTTTGGCACAGATCAGACAGGTAAGAGTTGTGGATGCTTATATAGATGAAAAGACTTTCTTATCCCAGAAATGTCTACTAAACCATTCTTTAGATATTTTATTAGACATTAATATCATGCATATATTTAAAATTTTAAACTATACAGTGTCTTATTTGAAAATAAAACTTTCTTCATTTCTTTGAAAAAAATTGCAAAAAAATTGCTAAAAATATTTAAAAGCAAATGTTGGTCCTTTAATGCTAAAACCATAGCTTAATAGATATTTCTCAAAGAACTGTTAAATAAAATTTTGGTGTGGCATTCCTCCTTAGATGCATTTTGCCTTAACATGGATGTAAGAACCAGTAAACAGTAATAAAAACAGTTATCCCTGACTATTGCTAAATATGTATGTGTATATTTTAGGATATTTGGCAGTTGCTAACACGATTGGAAATTCTGCCATCTATGCCTGGGACATTCAGAATCAAAGATTTGACTCTGTCTGGACTGGTCCCCCCGCGATACAGCTGTACCCCGTTATCGTTACTCAGTCAGTGGGGTCCTTTGTCATGATGCCCAGGGTAGAGGCAGACCCCAAGGCCAACTGTACGATATACCACCTTATCAAGGTCACCAACAGCGATTTCTCACCAAGGTAAGTATTCAAGTATCAAATGTACTGCAGTCAAACCTCATTATGTGGAACTCAATAGGACCAAGAAAAGAAAAACTTTTTAAAAGGTATAGGTGTTTGGGACTTGTAAATCAGTTCATCATATCCATGGCAATTAAGTAAGAGATGCTGTGTATGCAGTGACATGTTTTTGAGAATTTCATGATCTTTGATCACCAGTGCTCCTTTTTAGAACAATTGCTACATCTTATTGACCAGAACTTGTTATTTTTTTTTTACTTTTGCTTAAACTGCTTGACATTGATAAAAGGGGTTAATGTTATAATATGAAAAACATGAGTGATTACTGATGTGTCTGACAATAGAGTTTGTCCAACTTTGCAGATAAATGCAAGACATTGTTAAAGGTTAGAAGGAACCAAAGTATCACTATATAAATTATTTATAAGTTACCCAATCAGTGTTCTTATTACCTGAGTCTCTTGGCAGGGGGAGCATTTGTTTCTTTTAAATTTATTTTTGTCTATTCATCATGAATTATTTAGGGTAAAGAGTCTGTTCACATGCCAATTAAGCCCTTATCTCTGATACTATTGAATACTAGTATTCCTTTTTTTAAACTTTCATCTTATAGAGGCAGAAAAATTAAATTTTTGAATAAACAAATTGTTCTACTTTGAGGTTTTAGGAATAGGATAAAAACCTTAGATTTGAAGCAAGTTTTGAATATCATCTTTTTTCCTGCACGCAGAATTTTGACTGGTAAATACATGCAGTAGTTGCACTGGCACCAATTGTCCCTGCCATCTAAACAGAGTAGTAATAGAGCATAATTATGTTCTTTCAGATTAATAACCTTGACCTTTGAACCAGGTCAGAGAATGATTAGCACCAGTGTGGAAATTCTTGAGGATTTTGTGCCAGAAAACACTGAGACCTTCTTTGTCACACTCACCAACCCGACCGGGGGTGCCACCATAGGACCGAAAAATAAAATCACAGTCAATATACTCTCCAATGACAATGCTCATGGAATTATAGAGTTTGCAGAGGTAACTCTAGCACCTTTTGTTTCTGAAGACAAGTTATGTATAAGAATATTAAAGCATAAAAAATCTTTTCTACACTGTATGATCCAATGATTAAAGACATTTTTCTACCCCCGTTCTGAAAGAGAAGGGGGTATACTGTTTTACTGTAAGTTGTGTGTCTGTCTATGTGTCCATATGTCTGTGTGTCTGTCCTTAGCAAATTTTCATCACAGTTTTCTCAGCAACTCCTTGTTGCAGATGCATGAAAGTATAACACTTTCTTTGTTGAGGCATGCCATATGGTGGGATTCATTTTCATTTGAATCTGATGTCAACTTCCTGATCAAGCCTGTGTCTTTTCTGTTTATCCCTGTGTCTGTCTGTAACTGAACTTGTGTACATTCACATCAGAGAGTATATTCACATCTGAGCAGTGGTAATACTAGTGAGCATTGCATGGTTCAAGAAATTACAATCAATGCAGCTTTAGATTATTTTATAACCATATCCCTTATTTGCAAATCCTCTTACACCTCAGAAAGCAGTTGAACGAAACTTTTACTAATCTTTATTATATATTTGTTATATAATACAGGATTTTTGCATCCCTGATATGAACACAGGCACACAACCTGTATCACACACCCTGTATCAGCAACCTTTATCACACCCTTTATTACACCTTTCAGGGACATCTCTGTATACTTTTCATACGGAGTATCTTGGATCTGTTGATTATCATATTCAATATGTTGTTTTCATTTGAACACAGAAGGAGCCTAATAACTAACGTCACATAAGCATTAAACGACGTCACAATGTAAACTATTTTCAAATATATGATGAAAACAACAATATATGGCAAAATTTGCATTACACCCCATATCAACTCTCAACCAATATCAGCCCTCTGGCCTTTGACCCTCGGACTAATATGGGAGTCTCGGGTTTGATACAGATTTTGCCATGCATTATTCTCTATTTATCACATCACTCTAATGTTACTTATGACATTAAAAAAAATCTGTTGCCCTATTTTGTAGGATTCAAGGGAGTTAACTGTACAAGAACTGGACCATAAGGACAGTGTTATACAGCTTAATGTGGTCAGACAGCAGGGGTTCTTTGGCCGGGTTGTGGTGGCATGGTCAGCATCTGGTGACCAGAGTGGGTTGAGTGATATCACTCCACTTTCTGGGCAGGTTAGTGTTCAATTGGATTTCAGCATGTTTGTGTAACTTTTATTCTTGAATGTTTTAGATACTGTATTTACTGCAAACGAGAAATAATTTCTCTGTAGCCAACAGCTGCTGATGAACATTTAGCCGACTGTATTTTGCTGCTTGCAGGTGTGATGTTCAGGGTTTTAGATGCACTTAATTCTCTTGTAAAAGAATTTAATAACAAGTTACTGAACAAGGCACAAAAATTTTACTTCCTTCTATTTTATCCACCCATGCCTCTTCGATATAATTGATTTAGCCATCATAATGAAATTATTTAATTTATTTTAATTTTTAATTGGAAATTCTATCAAATTATTAGGTAAAGGTGTAAATTAAAAACCAAAAGGCCCAGATAATGTTTCAATGCTATACTAATTAATTTATCTTCAGTGTTTTTATAATCGAATTGTTTTTTCAATTCTCTGAGTTTTCATCTCAGTAGCTATGTGTGTGGTACAAATCTTTGCCATATCTTTTTTTTTTTGTGAAAGATCTTGTTTTGATGCTTGCAATTAAAATTAAATAATTGATTAGGCCAGATAAGATTAAATTTTAGATTTAGATTTTAGATGCTTCTAGTGTGTTTCACTGTACCAGTCAAGGTTTCAGATGCTGCAATATCAGAGAAGAAATGACCATGTTGAAGTTTTTGTAGCAGGTCTTATTTCCAAGTAACTAAGTCCTGACTAAACATGCATGGAATGATAATTCTAAGGATGCACACTACCAGGCTTGCTTTGGATACTGGATATGACCTATATTTTCCAGATGAGTGATTTGATATAGGTTTTTGGAGCATTTCTATTACCAAGAAACTATCAGGCCCGTCTGAACTAAACATGGATGAGGCATCAAGGGACAAACACTTTCAAATTGGCTTAAAATGCTAGGGGGATTTGAATTACATTTTTAAGATGTGTAGTTAGTTTAAAATTTTTGGATGAGATCATTCCAAATTACTGCAAGCCTTATCAGATATCAAAATTGCATAGATGCTGCATCTTTGGATGTACATAGAGGATATTCAATGTTTTGTAGTTGAATATGGAATTTATTTCACGAGTGGGACAGGATTTTTTGATATTTTCATGAGTGTGAAGCACTCGTGAAAATATCAAAAAATCCTGTCCCACTTGTGAATTAAATTCCATATTCAACTACAAAACATTGAATTGTCTGTTTATTACATTTTGAAAAAAGTTTCTTCGATTTTTCCTTTGCCCGTCTTTTTGTAATACAGTCATAGGCTACATGATGTCATAGTTGAGCGGTTGGGACGTCATAGGTAAGTGAGGTGAAAACATTGTAAACATGGATTTATTAACATATTTTGGGTTTTATTCTCTGTCAGAATGATTTATTTATTTATTTATTTCTATCTTATATCAGGTCAAGGAAGATTTTTACAACACTCTCCATTATGGGAACGAAAATCTCGAGTTTTACCACACTTTTGATATTTGTCACACTGTGACAGGATATCATTTTGATATCCTTTCACACTGTGACTGGATATCATTTTTATTCAATGAATAAAGTACAGTATTTCACTGGTAAAAGTGTAATAAATAACTTTATGACATTTGTACCCATGATATACTGTAATTTATTCATTGAATAAAAATGATATCCTGTCACAGTGTGAAAGGATATCAAAATGATATCCTGTCACGGTGTGACGAATATCAGAAGTGCGGGAAAACTCGAGATTTCCCTTCCCATAATGAAGATTGTTGTAAAAAAAACTTCCTTGACATAATATAAGGTAGATGGAAATAAATAAATCATTCTGACAGCGAATAAAACTGTCAAAATTACCAAAAATATGTTGCTAAATCCATGTTTACAGTGTTTTCACCTCACTTAGCTATGACGTCTCAACCGCTCAACTATGACTTCATGTAGCCTATCACTGTATTACAAAAAGGCAGAGGCAAAGGAAAAATCAAAGATTTTTGCTTAAAAATGTAATAAACAGAAAATTCAATGTTTTGTAGTCGAATATGGAATTTATTTCACTCGTGAGACAGGATTTTTTGATATATTCACTCGTGCTTCGCACTCGTGAAAATATCAAAAATCCTGTCCCACTCGTGAAATAAATTCCATATTCAACAACAAAACATCGAATATCCTCTATACATTATTAGCTCACCTGAGCCGAAGGCTCAAGTGAGCTTTTCTGATCAAAATTTGTCCGTCGTCTGTCGTCGTCGTCGTCGTCGTTGTCGTCGGCGTCGGCGTAAACTTTTCACATTTTCATCTTCTTCTCAAGAACCACTAGGCCAATTTCAACCAAACTTGGCACAAAGTATCCTTGGGTGAAGGGGAATCAAGTTTGTTCAAATGAAGGGCCACGCCCCCTTCCAAGGGGAGATAATTATGAATTTGTGAAAAATTTATGGCATTTTTAAAAAATTTTCTTCTCCAGAACCGCTGGGCCAGGAAAGATGAAACACATGTGGAAGCATCCTCAGGTAGTGTAGATTCAAGTTTGTTCAAATCATGACCCCCGGGGCAAGGGTGGGGCCAAAATGGCCGACCCAAGTTTTACATAGGAATATATAGGAAAAATCTTTTAAAATCTTCTTCTCCAGTACCACTGGGCCAGGAAAGATGAAACTCATGTGGAATCATCCTCAGGTAGTGTGGATTCAAGTTTGTTCAAATCATGACCCCCAGGGCAAGGGTGGGGCCAAAATGGCCGACCGAAGTTTTACATAGGAATATATAGGAAAAATCTTTAAAAATCTTTTTCTCCAGAACCACTGGGCCAGGAAAGATGAAACTCATGTGGAATCATCCTCAGGTAGAGCAGATTTCAGTTTGTTCAAATCATGACCCCCCGGGGCAAAGGTGGGGCCAAAATGGCCGACCCAAGTCTTACATAGGAATATATAGGAAAAATCTTTAAAAATCTTCTTCTCCAGAACCACTGGACCAGGAAAGATGAAACTCATGTGGAATCATCCTCAGGTAGAGCAGATTTCAGTTTGTTCAAATCATGACCCCCCGGGGCAAAGGTGGGGCCAAAATGGCCGACCCAAGTTTTACATAGGAATATATAGGAAAAATCTTTAAAAATCTTCTTCTCCAGAACCACTGGACCAGGAAAGATGAAACTCATGTGGAATCATCCTCAGGTAGTGTAGATTCAAGTTTGGTCAAATCATGATCCCTGTGGCAAGGGTGGGGCCAAAATGGCCGACCCTAGTTTTACATAGGAATATATAAGAAAAATCTTCTTCTCCAGAACCACTAGGACAGGAAAGATGAAACTCATGTGGAATCATCCTCAGGTAGTGTAGATTCAAGTTTGTTCAAATCATGACCCCTGTGGCAAGGGTGGGGCCAAAATGGCCGTCCCAAGTTTTACATAGAAATATATAGGAAAAATCTTTAAAAATCTTCTTCTCAAGAACCACTGGGCCAGGAGAGATGAAACTCATGTGGAATCATCCTCAGGTAGAGTAGATTCAAGTTTGTTCAAATCATGACCCCCGGGGCTAGGGTGGGGCCAAAATGGCCGACCCAAGTTTTATATAGGGATATATAGAGAAACCTTTTAAAATCTTCTTTTCAAGTACTTCAAAGCTATGACTTGTGATATTTATATAGAATCATCCTCAGGTAGTGTAGATTCTAGTTTGTTCAAATGATGAACGCCTGGGGGGGGGGGGGGGGGGGTGGAGTAAATTTAAGCCTGATGTGCTCAGGTGAGCGCTGTGGCCCCTGGGCCTCTTGTTAGTATAAAGTGTCACTTGTCTTTCTTAAAGACATTTGATTTAATGTATAGTGAGGTATTTAATGTATAGTGCCATAATTATGATAAAACATTCAAATTTGACACAATATACAATAATGGTATTGCATCTCCTAAGACACCAAAAGCGAGGGACCACAATTCTTTGAATTTGCTTCTTTTCTCTGGCATTAGCCAAGTGCTCAAGTGGGCAATGTGGCTAATGGATCTTGTTTTATTGTCTTGCAAAAATTTTGCTTAATGTAATATTTATCATGTTATAAGTTATTCTCAGCTATTTCATCAATTTATTAATTAGCTCATCTTTAAGTCTGCTATGAAAATGGAATATAATTATGGGAAATTATATTACCTCACCATTTCACATATTTGCATCTTGAATTAAAAAGTGCAATTATAAAGTTTTTTGTTGGTATCCATGAGTACTAAATAGACAATTTTGCTTGCCAAAGTGGTTTCAATATCAAACATTAAAGATGTCAATTTTCATCAATAAATGGTATGTTTCAGGTGGAGTTTGCCAATAAACAGTCTGTGGCCACGATATCCTTGACAATTCTTAACGATAACCTGGCAGAACTTCCAGAGGTCACTTACATCAGGCTGGTCAAGGTCACTGAGTCGGGGTCAATGCTGGATGGCAAAGGGGCACAACTTGGTAATTCAATCTGTATATCATGACACATAACAAAGACAATATTCAATACACAAAAATATTGGGAAAAATCATGCTTTAGTCATCATGAACACATTAATTTGTCATACCAGTATTACCTTAAGCTTTGCAAGCATATTTTTTCAGTACAAATGCATAGTTTCAGAATTTCAAATTCTTAAATATTTAACATATTTTTGCTTAGGACCAAACAATGTGGCTAAAGTGATTGTTCAGGCCAATGACTCGCCATACGGAGTGGTGCTGTGGGAAAAACAAAGTCTGACTGTGGATGAACCAGAGGGATCCGACCAATCACAGACTCTGTACATCATCAGAGAGCAGGGCATGATGGGAGATCTTCAAGTCCTCTACCAGTAATGACATCAATAAAAAAGTCTATTAAAACTCAGTTCCTGACATATTGGTTCATTCTGCAGTTTTGTATTTGGTAATACAAAGAATTAAAATGTCTGCATTCTGTTTTGATTGTAGAACAGCTCCAGACTTTGGGGTGTCTGTAGACAACCAGGCTATTTCTGGCCTGGACTTCGTCAGTCAGAAAGCCATAGCAGTTCTACAAGAGAATGTCACAAAGGTGGCTGTCACTGTTGTTATCAAACAGGTTAGAAATATTACAAATAACATTCTGCATTTCCTGACTGGAACTGTTTAAATATATCTGTACAGAACTGGGCTTTTTATACCCCCCGCAAACAAAGTTTGGGGGGTATACAGGAATCACCTTGTCTGTCTGTCTGTCTGTCTGTCCGTCCGTCTGTCTGTGCAAACGTGAATCTACTACTCCACACAAAGATTGTCCATATCTTTTGACTCATGGAGGAAGTTCAAGGTCACTGGAAGAAAAAATTCTAATTCTACTCCACACAAAGATTGCCCATGACTTAAGGATGTGTAATGACCTTGACCCAAGGTCATTTGGGGAAGTTCAAGGTCACTGGAAGAAAAAATTTCTTAATTCGTGTCCGGTAATGGATAAACCTGGTGTCCACACAAAGATCCATAACCTAAGGGTGTGTCATGACCTTTCATTTGGGGAAGTTTAAGGATAAAAAAAATTCCTGTCCGGTCCATATCTTTCTTATGGATAAACTTGGTAGTTCTAATTTCACACAAAGATTGCTCCATGACCTAAGGGTGTGTCATGACCTTGACAAGGTCATTTGGGGAAGTTCAAGGTCACTGGAAGAAAAATTCATAATTTGTGTCTGGTCCATATCTTTCTTATGGATAAACATGGTAAGTTCTCATTTCACACAATGATTGCTCACTACCTAAGGATGTGTCATGACTTTGGGTCAAGGTCATTTGGGGAAGTTCAAGGTCACTGGAAGAAAAATTTCATAATTCGTGTCCGGTCCATATCTTTCTTATGGATAAAACTGGTCGGTTCTAATTTCACACAAAGATTGCTTATAACCTAAGGGTGTGTCATGATCTTGACCCAAGGTCATTTGGGGAAGTTTAAGGTCACTTGAAGAAAAAATTCATAATTCATGTGCGGTCCATATCTTTCTTATGGATAAACTTGGTAGTTCTCATTTCACACAAAGATTCCTCTTGACCTAAGGATATGTCATGACCTTGGGTCAAGGTCATATGGGGAAGTTCAAGGTCACTGGAAGAAAAATTTCAAATTCGTGTGTGGTCCATATCTTTCTTATGGATAAACATGGTAAGTTCTCATTTCACACAATGATTGCTCACTACCTAAGGATGTGTCATGACTTTGGGTCAAGGTCATTTGGGGAAGTTCAAGGTCACTGGAAGAAAAATTTTATAATTTGTGTCCGGTCCATATCTTTCTTTATTATGGAAAAACTTGAATCTACTACTTCACACAAACATTGCTTATGACATAAGGTTGTGTCATGACTTTGAACCAAGGTCATTTATGCAAGTTCAAGGTCACTGACAGAAAATGTTCATAATTCGTGTCTGGTCCGTATATTTAGTCTAATTTTTTTATTAGGCTGAGCCTTCATTTCATTTATAAAAAATATAATGAGCAATTACATTTGCACTAAAAATGTTTTAGCATTTCTCTCTTCTCTTAGATCCATAAAATATTCATGATTTAGCACTTCTGAAAACCCTGCGGGGGGTATTTTGTCCCATTTGGACAATTCTAGTAGATATATACATTCTTTTTTATAGGATGATTTCCCTGAAGCAGAGGAGTCCTTCCTGTTAAACATTACTGAGGTGAAGGTTATGGGGATAACTCCCCCTCCTGGTGCAGAACCTAGTGTCAAAGTTCCAGGAAACATTCTCAGAGTCAGCATCACGGAAAATGATGGCATCAGGGGAATAGTGCAGTTTAATGTCACCACGGTAGTCTTTTTACTGAAGTTGACAATTTGAGATTTCTTCAAACACATATTAAAGTTTAAGATCAGGTAGTCACCCATGTTACACAGTGTTAAGAGCTTTTCCTCAGGAATCGTGGAATAAGTAATTAGTCTGTATGGCACAAGTTTCATACCCACTGCAGACATGCATGGAGAAACTTTTTTTTTTTTGTTTTAAAAAATCAATTAAAATAAAAAATCAGGATTAGAGATCTTAGTCAAAGCACTAAAAATATTTCAACATGCATGGGATGCATTTCATGAACATATGAGCTATATATATTATTACAGTAACTAGTGTTTATTGTATTGGAGACCATTACAGTTGTTTCCCAAATGCCCCCACCCCCACCCCCACCCCGCCACCTTCCCCCTTCTGGTGCATCTCATTCACCAGTGTATAATGTAAAACTATAAAGGATCCATAGATTGAAGTAGATAGAAGTAGAAAAAAAGAAGAATAATGGTGGTAATAAAGAAACAATTTGAATCTAAAACATTTAGTTCCCAAACTTTGTTTGGGGAGCATAATTATCCATGAATATTTTTCATTGTTCTACCAATTACAGGTCCAAGAGCCTTTCCTGTATCCTGGGTATAGTATAACAGTGTAAAGAAACCCATAGTTTGAAGAATAGCCAAGCATTCTTACCTCAAACTTTATGGGACTAAGAAAAATCTTTGAGATATACCCAGAGGTTCGAGATGCTTAGGGTACATAAAGAATTATTGATTTTGACTTCCAGTGAAAAATATCCATGGAATTCAAAGCATCAATTTTCAAGATACATAAGTTCCACTGTGCAAAATATTTATAAATGAAAACCTAATAAGATGATAAATGAAGCTATGTTGCCAAAAGCAAGATAAATAGGATGATCAGGCTTCAACAGAATACATGTAATTAACTTAGTACCCTGTTAAAAGTCTTCAAGTTGATTCTTTTAACCCTTCCCCCCCCTCCCATTTGTAATACTCCCCATAGAGACAAAAAAACACAAACAAACTTTTGTCAAGAAATATGAAAATAACAACTTCCCCCCCCCCCCCCATCCCCATTTCCTTTTTTATATTTAAGAAATTTATTATTAATTTTTAGCCAAAGGCTCCTTTTCTGATCAAAATTTGTCCGTTGTCTGTCGTCGTCGTTGTTGTTGTCGTTGTCGTTGTTGTCATTAACTTTTCACATTTTCGACTTCTTCTCAAGAACCACAAAAAAAACACAAACAAACTTTTGTCAAGAAATATGAAAATAACAACCTGAGTCATGTTTGAATGAGTAAAATGAACAAGTTTCACTGAAATATATAGTTTTTCTTCTTCTCAAGATTTTCCAGGAAAGATTTGGGAAGCATCCTGGGGTAGTGTATAAATTTGTTCATACACAAATCGCTTTACATAGAAATATATAGAAGGGAAAATTATTTGTGGAAGCATCCTTGGGTAGTGTAGATATTAAATTGATGGTTACAGAAAGGTTGAATTTTAACTTCGAAATATATTTCTTTAAAAATCTTCTTCTCAAAAATTGCAAAGCCATATCATTTCTTAATATTTAAATTTGAAATTTATTATTAATTTTTACATAGAAATATCTAGCTTTAAAAATCTTCTTCTCTGGAATAGCAAAGGCATGAATGATCTATTTTTATGGAAGCATCTTCAGGTAGTGGAGATTCAATATTGTCCAAATCATGACCCCTGGGGGTAGGGCGGGGCCACAATGGCCGATCAAAGTTTTACATAAAAATATAAAGGAAAATTCTTTTAAAATCTTCTTCTCTGGAATAGCAAAGGCATGAATGATCATATTTTTATGGAAGCATCCTCAGGTAATGGACATTCAAGTTTGTTCAAATCATGACCCCTGGGGGTAGGGCGGGGCCATGACATGGAATCCAAATTTTACATAGAAACATGTAGAAAAAATCTTTTAAAATCTTCTTTTCAAAAATAGCAAAGCCATGATTAGTCCTGTTCATATGGAAGCATTCTCAGGTAGTGTAGATTCAGTTTTGTTCGAATCATGATCCCTCGGGGTAGGGCAGGGCCAATGTAAGTTCAAATGTAAAGGGCAATTAAGCTACAGGTAGTCAAAGAAATACCGGTATGCAAGTATCCTTAGTTAGTGTAGATTCAAGTTTGTTCAAATCATACCCTCTCCCTTTTAAGGATTGTTTGGGACCACTATTGGGTTTCAACTTTTCAATAATAGAATGATTTATGCTTTTTTCCTAGTCCCATAGCTCAGGTGAGCGATGTGGCCCATGGGCCTCTTGTTTGTTTGTATCATCTGCCCTTAAGGAATTTAAAAAAAAATAGTCTCATGAGTATTTAAACTAGGTGTTTTGTTTAAATGAGCAAGAGTTCTTCCAAAATTTTGAAAATTTATGGAACCTAAAACACAGGTTCTTAGTTAGAGTTGGGCTCTATTTTGATCGTACTGGTATATTGGAAAGTTAACCCTGCTGTAAGAGAATTAATTTATTTATGTAAATTGTGTAATTATTGAAACTTCAAAGATAAATTAAATCATACAATTTTTAGCTCACCTGAGCCGAAGGCTCAAGTGAGCTTTTCTGATCACATTTTGTCCGTCGTCCGTCCGTCTGCAAACTTTTCACATTTTTCTTCTTCTCAAGAACCAATGGGCCAATTTTAACCAAACTTGGTACAAAGCATCCTTGGGTGAAGGGGAGTTTGTTGTTAAATCAGGGCCCCTCCAAGGGGATAATCAAGAAAAGACAAAAATAGGGTGGGGTCACTAAAAGATCTTCTTCTCAAGAACCACTGGGCCAGGAAAGCTGAAACTTATGTGGAAGCATCCTTGGGTAGTATATATGAAATATATATGACCCCCAGGGGTAAAATTCCAAGTTTTACATAGAAATATATAAAACAAATCTTTAAAAATCTTATTCTCAAGAACCACCTGGTCAAGAAAGCTGAAACTTATTCGGAAGCATCCTTGGGTAGTGTAGATATTAAATTGTTAAAATCATGACCCCCGGGGGTAAGGCGGGGCCACAATAGGGAATCCAAGTTTTACATAGAAATATATAGAACAAATCTTTAAAAATCTTCTTCTCAAGAACCACTGGGACAGGAAGGCTGAAACTTATATGGAAGTATCCTTGGGTAGTGTAGATATTAAGTTGTTAAAATCATGACCCCCGGGGGTAGGGCGGGGCCACAATAAGAAATCCAAATTTTACATAGAAATATATAGAACAAATCTTTAAAAATCTTCTTCTCAAGAACCACTGGGCCAGGAAAGCTGAAACTTATGTGGAAGCATCCTTGGGTAGTGTGGATATTAAATTCTTAAAATCATGACCCCCAGGGGTAGGGCGGGGTCACAATAGGGAATCCATGTTTTACATAGAAATATATAAAACCAATCTTTAAAAATCTTCTTCTCAAGAACCATTGGACCAGGAAAGCTGAAACTTATATGGAAGCATCCTGCGGTAGTGTAGATTCTAAAGTTTTAAAATCATAAAAGGGAAGGGGGTAGTGGGGCATGATAGGTATAGCAAGAGGGGGAATCTGGTAAAGAACTGCATCACCCAAGTTACTCAGGTGAGCAATGTGGCCCATGGGCCTCTTGTTTATATTTATAATATAAAAAGTACTTTTATAGATTTTAATAATCATGTAGACTTGTAAGTATATGTAATAAAGAAGAAAATAAGGCAAAAATGCATATTTACATAAAATGATATACAAATATGGACTCTTTTAGTGTTGAATATGGTTTGTTATTCATCAGAAAAATATCAATATTGACCTCAGCTTCGCCTCTCTCAATATTGATATTTTTCTGGTGAATAACAAACCATATTCAACACCAAAAGAGTCCATAATTGTTTTATTATATGAGTAAACTCAGGTGACCTTTGAATAAATTCATCCATTGAAGGCGTTGTGACGACGTGCATTTTGCGTTAACATTTGAACATTTTCAGCTTTTTCTTGCAAAATAAACAAAAATTTGGCCTAAAGCATCTATGGGTGAAGGGGAACAAAAATTATGAATTTCATGATCCCTGCCCCCCTGGGGCCTGAGGGGTGGGGCCAAAACCACTAAAACTAATGCAATCTTTAAAAATCTTCTTCTATGTGTCAAGACGTCAAAGTGTTTATGAAATCAAATGAGTCCTCTACCAAAATTGTGAAATTTCTCTCTGCTCCTGGGTATTAAATAAACTAACTAAGTGCATAGTTATGCAGCTGTTGCAAAATTGTGATTTGTTTACCCCACGTTCTTTGAGGTTTTGATTGTGAAAATACATTATTTCTTTGAAAATCTTCTTCTCTGCTCCTGGGTATTAAATAAACCAACTAAGCACATACTTATGATGAATATGCCCACAATTGTGAATTTTATGGCCCCAGGGTCACATTGTTTGAGGTTTTGATTATATAGTGAAAATACATGAATTCTTTGAAAATCTTCTTCTCTGCTCCTGGGTATCAAATAAACTAACTAAGTGCATAGTTATGATGAGCAAGAGTGCTTCTACCAAAATTGTGAATTTGTTTGGCCCCAGGGTCAGGGGTTCTGGTGTTAATACTGATTATATAGTGAAAATTTTTTCTCTGCTCCTGGGTATTAAATAAATTTTTTATGATGAGCAAATTTACCAAAATTGTGAATTTTATGGCCCCAGGGTCAGGGGTTCTGGTGTAAGGGCGGGGCTCTATTGATTATACAGTGAAAATACATGAATTCTTTGAAAATCATCTTTTCTGCTCCTGGGTATTAAATAAACTAACTAAGTGCATAGTTATGATGAGCAAGAGTGCCTCTGCCAAAATAATGAATTTTATGGCCCCAGGGTCAGGGGTTCTGGTGTTAGGGTGGGACATATTGATTATATAGTGAAAATACATGAATTCTTTGAAAATCTTCTTCACTGCTCCTAGGAATTAAATAAACTAACTAAGTACATAGTTATAATGAGCAAGAATGCCTCTTCCAAAATTGTGAATTTTATAGCCCCAGGGCAGGGGTTCTAGTATATATATATTATATAGTGAAAATACATTAAATCTTTGAAAATTTTCTTCTCTGCTCCAGGGTATTAAGCAGATGAACTACCTATATAGTTATGCTGGACAAGGGCCCGGATCTTCCAGAATTGTGAATTTCAAGGCCCCAGGGTCAGGGGTACCATAGAAGGGGGGGCTGTACTTATATACTGAAAATGAATGAATGGTTTGAAATCTGCTCCTTGGTATTAATCAAATATCAAGGCCTAAGGGTCAGGGGTTCATGTGTGGTAGGGGCACTACTGATTATTGCTGAATATTACTGATTATATACCCTTACCCTGCATATGGGTAAATAGCCAAATATATGCTAAGTGTATTGTTATGATGATCAACCTCTTTCAAAATTGTGAATGCCATAGTATCTGGCTTAATTGTTAAAACATGAATCAAATTCAATCACTGGAAAGTTGTTGCATAATGCTCAGGTGACCTATAAGGCCCATGGGCCTCTTGTATTATATAGTCCGGATTTGAATTAATAAGACATTGAAGGCTGCATGACGACACCATTTTCAATTGCGAATTTGCATCGTTGAAAATAAACAAAATGTCCAGATTACAGATTGTAATCTCCGTGATTTCCTTTCCGAGTTTCGCTATGTGTAAGACGTCCAAGTGTTTATAAATAATCCTACGATAGGTTTGTCTAACACTATTCCTGCTTAGATATCATAGCTCGCTGCAGCCGTTGCAACTATTGTTTACAACATTCTTTGAGGTTTTGATTGTGACATCACAATGCCGTTGCACGCGGAGTGACCCTCCGGTGAATACGGCCACAATTGTTTACAACATTGTTTGAGGTTTTGATTGTGTCGTCACAATGCCGTTGCACGCGCAGTGACCCTTGGGTTAATACGGCCTAAAATCCAGTGAATATGTAGTGTTATGAACTGTTTGCATTTGTATAGATTATATAGGGACTATAAATAGACTATATAATAAAAATAATTATCTGACTATTTGCTGATGCCTAAGCATCAACTTACTTATTTTATTGTTTATCTGTGGGTCCTTGTCAGAGTTGGATTTATAAACTCATTTATCTAGTTTAGGCTCTTGGTCCATTTTTTTGTAAAAGTTCGCTCACTTTGTTCAATTAAAATAATGTTTTAAAGTTGTGGAGAGATCAGTTGACCCAGAGATAGTAACTTTATAGAAAGCATGTTTAAAAATGTATTATTTTGCACCCATTAACCAGAGAAAACATTTTCCTTTTTTATATCACAAGAACCCAATATATACATGCATTATAAAATGCTTTAATATTACGAAATATTAATGTAAACCCAATATATATATGCATTATAAAATGCTTTAATATTATGAAATATTAATGTATTTTTCATTTTTCAAGCACTCTCAGAATCCTTCAAAGTCCAAACCAAATACACCCTCAATCTTTGAAAGTGTTCAACAAGTTTTTAAAAGGTTTGTAAACTAACTAAATATTTTCGATTTTTATTCAGAACATTGAGGGTAGAATTGATACATATGAAGAATATGGACAAAACAGCACTGTAAAGCTGAGGGTCAGTCGCAGTGTTGGTTTCCTTGGAGATGTGACCTTGACCTGGCAGGCGGAGCCAAGGGAGGCAAGCATCCTTGATTTTTGGCCATCCAGTGGTACAGTTAGTTTAAAGAATGAGGAGGCACATACTGATATCATCATTTATATTTTGGATGACACAATAAATGAACCCATGGAGGTAATTAAGTTAAAAAAGGCAGTATTGTAAATGTCCACCTTATGAATTAATCATTTTTGTTGCGATCAGCTTTTACTTATTTTTGATTTGATATTCTTCGAAAAACCTTACCAAAATTAAGGGGCATCTCCTTTCCAACTTTTTAGTTTACCTGAGCTGAAATGTTAAATGAGCTTTTCTGATTGAAAATTGTGTGGAGTCCATCTCTTTGTGTATAAATTTTTCACATTTTAAACTTCTCAAGACCTACTGGGCTAATTTCATTCAAACTTGGCACAATGTGTCGTTGACTCTAGGGGATGATTCAAGTTTGTATAATTGAAGAGCCACACCCTCTCTTCAGGGAAGATATAACTTAAAATGTGTGATAATCTGGTCAGATATTTTAACAATTTTTTCTAGGACCACAATGAGTGGTCTTTTTTTTCAAAGGAATATTTAGGAGAAATGTCGAAAAATCTTATTCTTAAGAACAGCAAAGCCATGCTCACTCGTATTGATATATAGGGGATTATTTTTTAATATTTAGGGAAATTCAAAAAGTTTCTTTAAAAAAAAAATTTTGAAAACAGCATGTTTCAAGTTACTTAGGTGAACATTACTGTATAGCAGGTTAAAATCGCGGTCGGAAAAGATCGCGATTTGTACAGTTTTCAACAAATCGTTTGAATTCGCGGAAAAGGAAAAACCAAAAATTTCTTAAACAGCTTGCAAGCATTTTTCTGTAGGTATATATTGTGTGAAGTGTTATTTCCCGTCTCTATAGAATATTACGAAAGTCTGTAATGTATATGAGCTGTATATCGCGCATATCAGACAGAAAAGTAAAGTCTATATATTGTGTCGATTTTGATCCCGATTGAATAATAATGAAACACCGGACTGATCCCGATTTGAAGTCAAAATAATGCTACGCATTTAATTTTTGTTTATTTCCGGGTCCAAATCAGAAAAAAAAAATTATACCGTAGTAAAAATGTTGAACTTTTAGTCATATAATTGAAATTAATTAATTGTCGTTACCCTGTTTACTAAGTAAATGCCTTGATTAGAGGTAATGACTGAGTGATACGCACGGGTGAAATTAAACAAACATGTTTTATTAAATAATTACATCTCACTTCTACTAGATGGCAAAATTAATCTTAAGCTATAGAAATGAATTAAACAATTAATAAGCTTTTAAAATCGCAACAACTACGTGTTTGTAATTGATCCAGGCACTCACATAATTATAAAGACAGTCTACATCTAATCACAGAAAATAATAAAATTTCAATTTATCTTTATAAAACGTTTTAAGAATTATTCACTGTATGTTGAATTCGCGGAATTTCTTTTCCCGCGAATATAGCGAAAATTAACTCCGCGAGTTAATTTCCTGCTGTACAGTATGGCTCATGGACCTCTAGTTAAAAAAATGTTAACCATACACTAGTATTTTCATCTAATGATGTCAGTATATTAATCACTCATTTTATTGTAGACATTTGATGTGAAGCTGTTGAGTGTTAGCAGTGGTTTATCACAATTAGGATCCATGACATCAGTAAGGATAGCCATTTTAAAAAACGATTCTCCAACCGGACTGTTCCAATTTTCACAGCCTGAGGTAAAACAAGCCAGAATTGCATTGCATGAAAATTAGACCCACTCATTTCATAGTTTATTTTTAGATTTGAACTTTAACACAGAAAATATAAATACTTAATGAAACTTCTTTGAAAGAAGCAATAAAACATGCATAGCACAAAAATACCATAGATTTTCAAATGTGAGAAAACTTGAGGATTTTTAAAAAACTTTTACAGGTGAGAGTGAAGGAGTCAGCTAGTCCCTCTGATCCGGAAGGGGAGACCACTCTTACTGTGGAGCGGATACAGGGAAGTGATGGGGTCGTCAATGTACAATGGAGACTCAATGCTGAAGCCTTTAATGACTTTCTGGAACCAAGAGCTGGAAAATTGCAGTTTGCTCATGTACATAGTTTTGGTCATCATTAACCATCAGATTATTACTTATATGTAAAGTTTAAATGACACAGATGTCTGATGTCTTATTCTGGTATTGAAGTAAACAAAAAAACAAGAACGTGAAAGAGAATCTAATAAGAATAACTTTAAAATGTGTTGTTTTATTATGATAATAATGATATATTCCTGTAGGGAGAGAAGACAAAGACTATAACCTTAAGAACCAAACAGGATTCTACACTAGAAGGCGAGGAGAGATTCCGAGTGTCTTTGATCTCAGCTGACAACAGTGCTGACATATCCCCCACACTGGGAGACAGCACGGTTGTAATAGAGGCAGACCCAGGGGCCAGGGGCACCATCAGTATCCTTCCAGAGTACAGAACTGTGTACATTGGGGAGCCCTTAGAATCCAGTCCATCTTATGATGGTCAGGTCAAGGTCGCGATCACCCGTGGCCTTGGTATCTATGGCAGTGTCAGTGTGACTTGGTCTTTGATCCCCAGAGCCACCACAGCTTTCCATCAAGTAGAGGGAATAGTTAGCATGGCTGACCTTCAACAAACCACATTTATCACACTACAGGTTTGACAAAGTCTAGTCCTGTTAATTCAGACCTACTCTCCCAATTTTACAAAATCTTGTCTCAAAGATCTCAATATATGGACAAATTGATTGAAAACTACAGAAAACATTATTTTTGGGGTAGGCAGGTCTGTAAATTAAATATTTCACATTATTTCAAATCAATCATCTATTGCTCTTAGCAGTAGTTTTTTTTTAATTATGTAAATGATTATGGATGGTGAAAAACTACTCATAAGAAATGTGTTGCACACAATATGAACTCAGAAAGTTTGACAAAATACAATCAAGTAACATTTATTGGTGTATTTTCTGTGTAGGCTATTGATGACACGGTTCCTGAGAAGAGAACCACATACACACTCCACTTGACGTCTGCCACAGGAGGAGCCACTGTCTCTCCCGATCCATCTGCCATCATGGCCAGTGTTGTCTTCGTTGCCAGTGACTACCCACACGGAAGATTCCAGTTTAATGTCCCCCAGCTTACCGCCATCACAGAAGACATAAGTCAGGTAGGATGGACTGCCTCATTCATAATGTATCCTAATGGTTCATCTTATACCAATACTAGATGGCAATGATTCGAATATTACAAGAATTAAAAGATGGTGGCAAGGACATGTACAAAAGCTTCTTAAAATCAGATGTGAATATTTACATGTAATCAAAGTATTGAACCCTTTATCAAATTTTCATATATGAAATCCCTTGATTTTGTACAGTGCATATGACTGATTCTATTTATAGTTCATTTGTTTATAATTTTTAGGTGACCATTTCTGTAACCAGGACAGAAGGAACTGACAATCAGGTGTTGGTCAGTTATACCACCACACAGGGAACTGCCCAGGGTTACACGGATTTTTACCCAGCAACCAACACCTTGACCTTCCAGCAGGGTCAGACGATACGGACCATTGATATACGGATTATACAGGATGATCTTCCCGAGGGGCCCGAGGAATTCTATGTAAATCTGACGTCTGCTAGACTGGTGAACCCTGGGTAGGAAGAAAAAGGCTTTGCATTTCTACATACATCATTTTCACAATATCTCCACACTTAATTAGCATGTTATATTTTTAAAAAAAGATTTTAATGTGATTGTGTTGATTTTTTTTTTCATTTCTTCTGTGTTAAGGCCAGTCATTTTGTTTCAGATTAAGCTGATAAGAGCATAAGTTACACTGCAATTGAGGCAAAAGCCTATCTTTTCCTTACCTAAATAAATATAAAGTCAAAACTTAATGTTTTTTTTGTTGCAATTTTGTAGCAAAAACAACTATAGTGAGGTGGGTGGTCTCCAGCTTGACATGAGGCCAGGTCTGGGAGAGCTGGATGTAAAGACCATTCTGATAGACAAGAATGACAATGCTGAGGGCACAATACAGTTTGATGTGGAAGGAGGCAACCTCAGGGGTGAGCAGTTAAGAAAAGGGGATTTTAATTGCTCGAGTCATGAGTTAACTGCCCATCCACAAGCTGGATGTCAAATTGCTGCATATTTTTTTTTTTCACTGAAAAATGTGCAAGTCAGGCACTTTTATTCTCTAGTGGGGCTAAATAGCTTAGTTGTTTTTGTGATAACAAAATTCAACTGGACTTTTACATCCATATATGCAATGAATTTAATTATATTCAAAGCTGAATCCTTAATAGTCCAATAGACTTCAATAGAATTCAGCATATATGACTACATGTTTGTCTTGATCTAAATCTTACTGATTCTCCATGATTTCAGTACCTGAGGAGTCAGGTGTAGCTCAGATCCCACTGAGAAGAGAAGGAGGGAACTACGGAGACATAGAAATAATGTACTCTGTACACAACATCACTGCAGAACAGGGAGTGGACTATGTTGTCAGTGGTAACAAGGTTACCATGGCAAATGGCAGTAGGAACACCACCATTGATATCACCATAAGGGATGATTCAGACATGGAGTTTGAGGAGACATTTGAAGTTAGACTGCTCTCTGTGTTAGGTACTGGTTCTAACCTCCAGAGCTGAAATTCAACTTTAAAGCTTTGTTTTTATGATTTTTTGTATGCTAAAAAGAATATGAAGGGGAACAAAAGACAGATAAGCGAGCAAAATTTATCCTTTATTTAAACAGGTCACACAGAATCTATCGCTTTATGAAGCTGGGGCAACACACAAAAAAATCATATTCTCTCAAGATCTCAATTATCTGTGCATTATCACACTTTCCTATCCATGAAATCTTCAACTTGTTCATTAATGTAAACTGAATTCATTAAATGAGCATTTTGTGAATCAGGAGATGATCATTGCATTTTCTTGAAAATTCTCAAGTAGATAGTGAAGTAAAACTTTGTTTCTGACTTACAACAGGTGGAGCCAGGTTAGGAAACCCAAACAAAACACTGGTAACCATTCTCAAGTCAGATTTTCCCAATGGAAACTTTGGATTCAAGTCTCCCCTGAAGTTTAGATTTCCAAATCCAGAGAGACTGATTCAGCAGACTGTAACCATAGAGAGAAAAGGGGGACTAGAGGGGCAACAGACCGTGAGTAAAACCTATATTTAGCAGTGGATGTTTATAATTCTCACAACCTGTTTTCTTGTTAATAAAGGTGAAGTAAAACTTATTTTCCACAAATTAATGCATCAAAACATTATGAACTTTGATTTTATTCATTTTCATAAATACATACATGTATTTAGCTTTTAAAATAGAAATCAGATTGAAATGTTTTATGAATCTTATCAACTTAGGTGTACTGGAGAATTATGGGCCCAAATAACCCTCTGCAAGTCTTAGAAGCAACCAATGACATCAGTATGGTGTCTGGAAATCGAGAGGTCACCTCGGGGTCACTGGTGTGGAGAAGTGGAGAGAATGTGGAGAAGTCTTTTGTTCTGGATCTGAAGCCCTTCTCCTCCTGGGAGGTGGAGAAATCCTTTGTGGTGGAGATATATAACGTACAGGGAAGTCCCCCAGGAACAGGAAACGGAGAAATCAGCACCTCCGCCGGAAAGATAACTATTATAGTACGTCCTCATGTGTTCTGTTCATGATAGTTGTAATGGGGTCTGTCCCTCTACATGTAGCCATCTATCTGTCCTTTCCTCAGCACTTAAATGTGTAACATTTTGGTATATTTCAATCTTTCAACTACTTCATATTTACTTCATAGATTAAGGATACCTAGAAAATACACACTTTTTAGTTTCCATTAGTCAAAAATCTAGGTCAAAGTAAAGGATAGTTACATACACCATTAGACTTCATAATCTACAAGATTTATTGGAAAATTCATACTGGCTGATAAAAGGGAAGGACACTTAATTTTTATGCCCCCCTTCGAAGAAGGGAGGGCATATTGCTTTGCTGCTGTCTGTCGGTCCACTTAGTTTCCGTTCATTTTATTCGCAACCGTTGCACATGCTGAAATGAAATTTGGTATACAGATATATCACATAAATATCTAGTTCAAGTTCTGTTTTGGGTACGATCGCACCATTTTTGACAGAGTTATGCCCCTTGGACTTAGAAAAAATTTCAATTATTTGCAGTTTCCGTTCATTTTCTTTGCAGAGGTTGCACATACTGAAATGAAATTTGGTATACAGATTTATCAGATAGATATCTAGGTCAATTTCTGTTTTGAGTACAATCACACCATTTTTGACAGAGTTATGTCCCTTGGACTTATTAAAATTCCAATTATTTGCAGTTTCTGTTCATTTTCTTCGCAGCCGTTGCACATACTGAAATGAAATTTGGTATACAGATATATCACATAAATATCTAGGTCAGCTTTTGTTTTGGTTATGATCGCACCATTTTTGACAGAGTTATGCCCCTTGAACTTAAAAAAATTCCAATTATTTGCAGTCTCCATTCATTTTCTTCGCAACCGTTGTACATACTGAAATGAAATTTAATATACAGATTTATCATATGAATATCTAGGCCAAGTTCTGTTTTGGGTACGATTGCACCGTTTTTGACAGAGTTATGCCCCTTTGACTTAGAAAAAATTCCAATTATTTGCAGTTTCCGTTCATTTTCTTTGCAGAGGTTGCACATACTGAAATGAAATTTGGTATACAGATTTATCAGATAAATATCTAGGTCATGTTCTGTTTTGGGTACAATCACACCATTTTTAGTTCACCTGAGCCGAAGGCTCAAGTGAGCTTTTCTGATCACATTTTGTCCGGCTTCCGTCTGTCCGTCTATCTGTTTGTTCGTCTGTCCGTCTGTCTGTCTGTAAACTTTTCACATTTTCGACTTCTTCTCAAGAACCCTGGGCCAATTTCAACCAAACTTGCCACAAAGTATCCTTGGGTGAAGGGGATTCAAGTTTGTTCAAATGAAGGGCCACGCCCTTATTCAAGGGGAGATAATTGGGAATTAATGAAAATTTAGTGGTATATTTTAAAAATCTTCTTCTAGTGAAGAACCACTGTGCCAGGAAAGATGAAACTTATGGGGAAACATCCTCAGGTAGTGTAGATTCAAGTTTGTTCAAATCATGACCCCCGGGGGTAGGGCGGGGCCAAAATGGCCGACCAAAGTTTTACATAGAAATATATAGGAAAATTCTTTAAAAATCTTCTTCTCAAGAATGACAAAGCCATAATTCATCATATTTATATGGGAGCATGCTCATGTAGTGTAGATTCAAGTTTGTTCAAATCATGACCCCCCGGGTAAGGGCGGGGCCAAAATGGCCGATCAAAGTTTTAGATAGAAATATATAGGAAAATTCTTTAAAAATCTTCTTCTCAAGAATGACAAAGCCATAATTCATCATATTTATATGGAAACATGCTCAGGTAGTGTAGATTCAAGTTTGTTCAAATCATGACCCCTGGGGGTAGGGCGGGGCCAAAATGGCCGACCAAAGTTTTAGATAGAAATATATAGGAAAATTCTTTAAAAATCTTCTTCTCAAGAATGACAAAGCCATTATTCATCATATTTATATGGAAGCATGTTCAGGTAGTGTAGATTCAATTTTGTTCAAATCATGACCCCCGGGGGTAGATTTTGGCCGACCAAAGTTTTACATAGAAATATATAGGAAAATTCTTTAAAAATCTTCTCAAGAATGACAAAGCCATAATTCATCATATATATATATGGAAGCATGCTCAGGTAGTGTAGATTCAAGTTTGTTCAAATCATGACCCCCGGGGGTAGGGCGGGGCCAAAATGGCCGACCAAGGTTTTACATAGAGATATATAGGAAAATTCTTTAAAAATCTTCTTCTCAAGAATGACAAAGCCATTATTCATCATATTTATATGGAAGCATGTTCAGGTAGTGTAGATTCAATTTTGTTCAAATCATGACCCCCGGGGGTAGGGCGGGGCCAAAATGGCCGACCAAAGTTTTACATAGAAATATATAGGAAAATTCTTTAAAAATCTTCTTCTCAATCATTTTCTAAAAAATAGCAAATCCATGATTGGTCATGGGACTACTTTTGGATTTAAACTTTACAATAAAAAGCCATTTTATACTAGTCCTACCCTTGGTGCTCAGGTGAGCGATGTGGCCCATGGGCCTCTTGTTGACAGAGTTATGCCCTTTTGGACTTGGGGTGAGGGGGGCATAAGTGTTTTACAAACATCTCATGTCAGAGTAAATTTGAAGTGAAGGTCAGAGTTCAATACTATTGGGAAGACTGTTATAAGACAATGATGTATCATAATATTTGTATTGTAGATAGATAAATTTGGCCATCCTAATGGGATAGTGAGATTTGAGGGCCAAGCTCAGTCCGTGAGGACTGTGGAGGAACCAGAAGGGATCGCTCCTCTGGAACTCATGTTCCCTATCAGTAGGAGGTTTGGTACGGGGACTACGGGTAGTATTCAGGTAACACTGTAGAAAGTACAATGTAATAAACACATATAGATAGTAAACAGGTAAAACGTGATGAGTTGCTGGTATCATTTTTATTGCAATATAATGATACCTCCAGTTTTAGCACTCACTAAATAATATGAACAATTCAATTGGTGGTATCACTTATTCAATATGAAGAGGTGATATTAATATGAAAAAAGTGATATTTAAAATAAATTTGTGACATTCAAATTGAAATAAAAAAAAATCAAATATTCAAATTAATAATATTCATTATGAGTAGATGAAATCACAAATGATACCCCCTGCTTGTAAATGGGGAGGGTTTAGGATGATCTCCATCCTTCTAGACATCAGATCTTTTTATCCATTGTATTTTCTGAACTGACAGATTTTGAAAGTTTCACCATAGCAAAACATGGACTCTCCCAATTTTTCTTCCAAAAATTGAGGGCATCTATCTCTTATCCACAATTCCTTCTATACCACTGAATAAAATCTAATAAAACCTTACAAAATTTTAAACAATTGGTGTCATTGTGCCACTCATATTTCAAATTTCAATGAGACAGGTATTTGATGTTTTCAAGGGCAAAACATGGATACTGTCATTCTATCTATATTAACACTTGGGATATCTATCTCATCCATGAGTTTCTGTTTACCACTGATAGCAGTACATGTAGAAGTTTTGAGCATTAAGATTCAGTAGTGTAGAGGCAATGCATAATATACTCAACAAAAAAAGAAACGCATATTGTTTTACTCGTCAAAGAAATTTTTAAAATGTACATGAAGCAACTATTTTTTATATCATTGGATACCTGTGATCTATTTAAAGGACAACATGGGGTTTTAAAACCCAAGTGTTGAATTATCTCCCTTGATTAAACATGTTTATGAAAGTAGTGTTTTTCATGATTTCTTCTAAATCAGATGTCTATTTTCATTGATATTTTGGATTTAGAGAAACTTTTAACACTTCTATTAAACCCATATTTAAGATTTGATTGCAATGTTAATACTGCAATGCCATGCCCAAACAAAGTTGAATACAACCAGGCTAACGATGATACTAAGTGGAGCTACGCAACAGGAAGTTGCAACTGTATTTAAAATAAATCAATGAGCTTTGCAACCTTAAAACTAACGTCTGAAGACCACTATCTGGCCATCCGCAGGTAACCACAACCAGGCAGGACCGCCAGACACCCCCCCCCCCTTCATCACCTCATGCGATTCAGAACTTGCTGTAAAAACTGCTGCTACAATTGCTGGATGAAAAAATCAGCATAAAAATGCATAAATTGTTCGCATAAGACTGAAATGAGATGATATTCCCCCACGATATCCGTACATTGGAAACCCACTAGCATTGAGACTTTGCACAGTACATATTGTTATGCCCCTTGAATTTGGGGGCAATGAAAATGACCTCAACTTGACTTTTCAATTTGCAACATTGATTTTTATCACAACACACTCTAAAATCGCTTAAATAATATAAGGTTTAAACTGAAAACTTAGAATTTCATATTATTCTGATTATGCGTTTCTTTTTTTGTTCAGTATATATGTATTCACAAAAATTATCTTTGTGAAAATTATCTTTTATTTTACAATAGGAAAATGTAGAATACTGTAAACCAGCATTTAGTCGAATGAGAAATATAGGAAAATGTAGAATACTGTAAACCAGCATTTAGTCGAATGAGAAATATCTGCAAGTTTTGTGGCCCTCTTCTACTCTTGAATATTTTTTGACACAAATTATTTGCCTATGTTATTTTGTAAAATTTTGCCTCTGTCACAATAATAATTTGTCGCATATGGATTCCAAACTGAAGAATTGCAAATAAAAAATGTTAGAATAATAATTGGTTTATAGTACTTGAGTGGAGAGAGGAGAAATAATTTCTGATGCAATTGATATTGAGTTGAACAATGAGACAGAAAGTTAAATCATGTTGTTGTTTTTTTTTTATGTTTTTATAGATAAAATGGACAATAGAGGGTAGTTATGATGAGAAAGCTCTGGATTTTCAGCCACGGAATGGTACACTGCTGATGGCAGATGGACAGAGGGACTCCTCTATTGTTATACAGGTGCTCCCTGACACGATCCCAGAACTGACTGAAACATTCTCATTGGTCCTCCAGTCTACAGTGGGAGGGGCCGAAATTGATACACAGTTCAATTCTTCTTCATTTAAAATTTTGTAAGTTTTTTGAATACTTGTACATGATATATTATAAATTACATTTGTAATAATTACTTTCTGAATGCCCATAAAATGATGTGCAAACGCTGCAAAAGGATTATGATTAAGAATTAAGATATCATTTTTAGAGTTTCATAGGGGTGTGACATGAAGTCGGTTATGTGATCAAATTCTATAACGCCCGAAGGCGTAGATCTGATCACGTACCAACTTCATGTCATACCCCAATGAAACTCTAAAAAATGATATTTTATTTGTTATATTTATATTATACGTTTTTATTCATGCTACAAAGAAATATAGGCATTATTTAGACTTTGATTTTGAAATGCAAAGTAACGTATCTACGGTGTCATGTGACGTCACAGTTGGAACTTACCAAATTGCTCGTGCAGTTTGCTTTCCATACCCAAGAAAATCTGATCATGTGACCAACTGCATGTCATTGAAAATTGAATTTCAATTTTATTAGCATTGTTATATAAGGAAAGACATCAGCAAATATAAATATTGTTAGATAAAAATTATTTTTTAAAAACTTATTCTCTGTAAATAGTTATTTCTTGTTTTCTGTGTGTCCCTAGGTTCAATGACTACCCCCATGGATTGTTTGGAGTCCAGCAGTCCCTGCAGTCTCTGTATGTAAAACCGGCAGATCTAAACCGCTTTGTTAAACTGAATATCACCAGATACTATGGGACCTTTGGTGCAGTCATAGTGACCTTTGTCATTAAATATGATCAGGTACAAATTCTTGTTATCTCTCTGAAAACACACTGTAAATGCACAAACCAGCAGACACAGTCACATATACAGTAAAACTTGCTTAGTACAGACACTGATATTGCAAGTTTACGGATATAGGGAAGTTATCTTGGATCCCCAGCTATATAATATGAACGAATTCCTTATTCAGATTTAACAAATTACAGATCTAGCAAAGTATTATCACAGGTCCCAGTGACTTTGTTATAACTGAGCTTAACTGTATTTAGCATGTTTGATATGACTTTGTTATAACTGAGTTTAACTGTATTTAGCATGTTTGATATGACTTTGTTATAACTGAATTTGCATGTAACTGTATTTAGCATGTTTGATATGTCACAGAAATTGATATTTTAACAAGTTATCGGTAGTGTAGTATTAATTTAATGCATTTCTGAATTTATTAAATTAATGCATGTAGATCTTTATATATATATATACAGAACAGATTTCAAAAGGTGTTTAATTTAGTGGACACTTTTTCCACCAAAGGTGCGAAATAAAATTCATGAATGGATGGTTGGTTAATCAGGAGAATTAATTTGGATTTCAGCACCATTGAAATAAAAGCGAATAAATTTATTTCGCACATGATGCTTCTCGCAAAATTATGCAATGATTAATTCCTCGCATATGATTAGGAATCTACAGTACACAGCCAAATGAAATATGTTTACAGAAATTGAAAATTAATGATTCATTAGATATATGCATGTTGGGAGTTAATCACTACTCATCAGATGAGTGAATTATCTGATGCAGTGATTTGTCTTCCTTCTGTGTAGACGATTGTTTTTTAAACTTTCAAGTCAATGACTCTCGAAATTCATTGATCAACTTCATAATGAATCAGAGAGTGTAATAATCTCTTTCAACAACTGATGATGATAGCTCCTTTTTAGGAAAATAAACAACAGTTATATAATTTAATTTTATATTATTCAGCCACTGTCAGGAGTCATACTAAGCAGGAGTTCAGGAACGGTGGAATTTACAGAAGGGACATCCATGATGACACAGGACGTTCTGATTGGTGGAGACGGATTTCTGGAAATAGACACGACCTTCACAATAACCTTGACACAAGTCCAGTTTCTAGGAGCTGGGGGTATTTATTAACAATTTATTAAATAAGCACATTGTTCTATAAACTCAAAGGAAAACCATTACTGCTTCATTTGTTACTTCACCTTTTCATTTGGGAATAACATTATTTTACATTGTTATTTTACTGGTAAAATAAGTCATTGAGGGTATGAGCAGGACTCTGGCTCCCAGAGATACCGTATAGCGGGTAATTTTAGAGGGGTGCTAATTTTGGCTTATTTTGGCGTTTTGATGATAGTCCGCTAAATTTTTTATCGCTAAAATAGTCAGTACTCTTCTGTGTGTCCATCTGCAAAGAGCTAAAACCCTGCGTCCGCTAAAATAAATTACGCCAAATTTATTGGCATACCTTTGAGTAGGCAAAACGCCAAATTTTACACCCGCCAAGAAAACCAGCTATACGGTAGCTCTATTTCCTGATATACTGTACTTTTTATGCCAGATTTATTGGCATACCTTTGAGTAGGCAAAACGCCAAATTTTACACCCGCCAAGAAAACCCGCTATACGGTAGCTCTATTTCCTGATATACTGTACTATTTATTAAATCAATGCATTCACTTGTATGGGGCTTCTTAGGCAGCCTTACTGACTGACTTTTATAGGTAATATTTATAATTCTCTTCTCCAGCCAAGGTGTATTGAAGTGAAAGTTAGGGATTGAAGTAAATATTTAAAGGTTATTGACTGAGTTTCAGGAAATGTGTCTGTCTTTACGGACAGAGCTTGTCAGGTCTTCATCAGTTGAAAGACAGAGAGAGTGGGCATTATTTCCTGAGATTCAGACATTAACATTTTATATATTTTAATGCAGTTACTTTAATTTACCCACATGCATGGATGTCCTGTGGATTTCTTGTCATAAACATCCTTACAACATCAGTAATGGATATTTGTGATGTTAAATGTACATTTTACATGTATTTATATAGGCCTATGTGAAGTTGTTAAAAATAGAGGCAGGACATATAATACTTAAATGGCCGGTTGCCTATGGCTCAGATAATAAGTACAGCTCAGTGGTTGATCCGTGGATCACGTAAGCCGGGTTTAAACCCCAGTTGAGTCGGGTTTACCTGAGTCGCATTTAAGTTGCATGATATAAAACTGAGTAAGGTTTACCTAATCTTGACTTACTCATATAAAATGTTGAAGGATAATAGGTTTCCTAATATTACAGCACTTCAAAACAAGTTTTAATATACTAGTAACTAGTTGAAAATTGAAAGGATATATTTAGGCCATGCAAAATTAATTCCTTGGTTCTCAGGCCTTTTTTCAAGAAATATGATGAGGGAGGGAGGCATTTTTTTTTTACTTTTTATTGCCCCCAAAACATGATGAGGCAGCTTTTTACATTGTACAAAACCTCAAAAAATGATGAGGGAGGTGATTTGTTGTTTTTATTTTTTTGATTTAGCAATAAAAAGGGTCAATGAGGCGCCCTTGGAAGAGATGAGGGAGGGCCTGAGAACCAAGAAATTAATTTTTTTTGGCCTTAAAAACAAAGATATATATTGATGTTAAATTGTAAATTAAAAATGCAGAAAAAATGCAATACAATTTAATTCAAATCAGGGCATCTTTCATCGAAACTCAAACCATAAGAAAATATAAAATCGCAAACAGAATAAAGCTTTTGCAAAAGACTGAAGAGAAGAAAACAGGGATGGGGGTCCTTGGAATAAGTAATTTAGAAACAATACCAAAACACAAAATATAGGTAAATAATAAAGCAACAATGTATATATTTAGATTTTTAGTTTAAAATCAAATGAAAAAAAAACTTTTGAGACATTATTTTTGAGAAAACACATATTAGCTATATTTTCTTGAGAATTTTATACAGCGGCAAAATTATAGGGGACGGACATATTGCCCTCCCAACCTCCGGCCCGGTTCCTACGGCCATGTGGATAGCCTGATCAATGATAATAAATGAAAGACTTTTTATCTCTAGGAAATTTGGCATTATTAATAATTATTGGAATGTGTATCATCAGCTGTTCAAAAGTGTAAAATTCGTAAATTGATTTAAATTTGGTTTATTAGAAAGTTTCTATAAAATTCCTGTTCATGTACATTTGTGTATTTCAAAAGTGTCTCCCAAAACTTTATGCTACAGCTACATCAGTGTTAAAACGGCACATTGAACAACTGTTGAAGAGTTGTGCAAAAAGAAAAATCCCCATGCATTATGGCCATAAAAGTTTTCTTGTAGAATAGCTTTTTTAATACTGCAAAATCTATCAATGCAATCATCATTACCATAAAACATTTCTGCAAAATATCGAAATATTTCAAAATATCGAAATATTCTACCCAAAAATCCATGGAAACGTTATTAAGCTGGGTTTAAACCACCCCTACACCAGGTTCAGAATTTACCGTAATTCTGAGCCGTAGTCAGCCAAGCCTTACATGCGTGAAACGCGAAAACCTGGATTTAAACCCGGAATCATTGATCGTAGGTTTAAATCCGAAATACGCAACCAGCCATAAATGTATTAAATTTTGTAGTGTAGTCTTTTTTGGTGGAAAGAAACCCCCTAAACAAAGTACAACACTAAGTCTTGCACGTATATGGATAAGTAGAACCTTTACAAATGTGCTTAATCAAATCCACACTTGTTCAAGAAGTAATTTCCACCAAATATTGCACTCACTAAATATACTGTATACATTTACAGTTTAATTCATAAGTAGTTTCTGGGCATAACAGTACTCATGGGGGCTGATAAAGCTCTGTAAAAACCCCAATTGTTTCTATTTATTTCATAGAAAAATATGTTATAATATGAAATAAGTAATTATTAAATGGTGTAGTATTATTTGAAGAGGTATAATAAAAACATAATCAGCATATTTTACGTTCACTGAACTCAAGACCATGAAGCAGATTTAAGACAAGTCATAAAAGATTAATTGAAAATAACACAAACATGTACAACATGAAGTGTTCTTATTTTTTTCCCCCATCTCATTATTCATTTTATTCCCAAATGGCAGTTTATAAATATCCATTTTATGAGTGAATAAAAATTTAGATAATATGTAAGACTACTTCATTATCCTGGTGCTTGGTCCTACACTCACGTGCCAAAAGTATGTCAATTTTTTTCAAGATGGCCGCCGTAAATAAATTAAATCAATAATTGTTTTTCAATAAAAATTTATTTTCACTCACCAATTTTGACTTATTTATGTCACCATTAAGCTGCCGTATATTATGTAATGCCTTTGTAAACCGGAAGTAGTCATAACTTCTGCTATTTTTCCATTGTCAATGTAAACAACAAGCATGGGACGAAGGGGACGAGAACTTACTATTGATGAAAAGAAGACCGTAATATCCCTAATAGAAAGTGGATTAAAAGCGGTTAAAGTGGCTGAATTACTGAATTTGAATTCCTCGACAATTTGTAGATTCTTAAAGCGATTTCGTGAGCGGGGTGACATTGAAAATAAACCTTGAAGTGTATTTGACTGACTGTGCTGGCTTGGTCCTATTTGACTGACTGTGCTGGCTTGGTCCTATTTGACTGACTGTGCTGGCTTGGTCCTATTTGACTGACTGTGCTGGCTTGGTCCTATTTCACTGACTGTCCTGCTTTTTGACTTACAGTGACAGATCCTCCAAACTTTAAGGCTGGGGAAACAGAGACAAAGGTTAAGGTGCCTGCCTTGGCTGCTAACAGTGAGGTTGGCTTCACAGACAATCTGGCCAGTATAGATGAAGGTAGATTCCTTATTTTTTATTATAAATCAACGGATTTAAAAAAATTCTCTTAAAGTGAAATTTAGATATTTAATGGGTACTGCAATACAATACAGTTTGAAAAATTGAGATTGTTTTTCTTTGATAGAGTCGGGTACGGCCACTTTGGTTCTTACTCGCAACGGTCTTTATGGAACAATTCATGTCCCATGGACAAGTGGCTTTCCCTCTGGTGGAAAACCTGAATTTTTTACTGAAGGGCAGATAACTCCACCTTCTGGATCTCTGACAATACAGCATGGAATAAAGAGCAAAAATTTCACTATCTCTGTAAGCACACTCTAGGTTTAAAAATGGGTTGAATGAGAATTGTTCATTAGAACTAGCAATGGCAAGTAACAAGCATTAGCAGGATGTTGTTCATGGCTCTTTCTAATGACTGTGACTATGAGTAACTTCTCCGTGAAATTAAACCCGTCATGAACCTATTATTAGGTTTTAAAAACATTTAAATGCTTATACGAAATTTTAAATTAATTTCTTGCATTGTGAAATTAAAACCGTGTAAATAAAACGACTTAGGGTATTTTGCTCATCTAAGCTGAAGATTGAGTGACCTCTCTTAAACATGTGTGAATACATCATTGAAACTCATTTTATCATTAAAAAGGTTGTTGCAGTACTGAATAAAACAGAGTTGTTTGCCCTTCATTTGACAAAAGCGCCCTCTACGACAGCCCGAGGAGGAGCTAGACTCTCCCCCAGTAGCAGCATTATCAGACTGGAGCCTCATGGAGTTATCCGATTCGCTCCCAATTCTACGCATCCTCCCAGTGTCTCTGAAATGGAGAAGACAGTAAGAACTACTATAATAATGATATCTTAAAGAACATGAGTTTACTATAACTCCTCCCACACACATGTGCACACACACACACTTGAAAGGAGGGTTATATATTGATGGGGTTGTTTGTCCCTCTGTTACTATTGGGGGTATCTGTACCTTCTCTGCAGTTCACCATAACACTGAATAAAAGTTTATGAACCATTATTTTGTGGGCTTATTGCGCATGGTTCCTCTAGATTTTGAAAATTTCATTTTGACATTACTTACTTTTTTTTCCAATAACTCGTTTATCGCAATGAATAACTCAATAAAAAATTCTTTTTTCCTTAATTTTGATATTTAAACCATTAATAATTAAATTTGTTTTAGATTAGTTTAATGGTCCAAAGACTGTATGGTTCAGAGGGAAAAATAGAGATTACATACAGGTCAGTAGGGGTCAGTGCACAGAGAGGTGTAGATTTTATCACCACAGAAACCAATGCCATCGTGCTGGACCCAGGAGTGACTTCAGGACTGATTACTATACAGGTATTTTGTTAATTATGTATTTTGTGTTTATTTGTATTCCATATGATATTAAAGGACGAAAGTTAAATTAAAGATCCCTTTGTTCCATCAGAAGAGATAATCTGTATAGACTGATTTCTTAATTAATTTCTTAATTCACTGTAGGTTCGTCAAGACAATATACCAGAAGAGGAGGAGATGTTCACAGTAAACCTCACACACGTAGAAAAGTACCCCACAGAAATAGTCCCAAGTAAGTATAAACCACAGAAATAGTCCCAAATAAATATAAAACACAGAAATAGTCCCAAGTAAGTATAAGCCACAGAAATAGTCCCAAGTAAGTATTAAACACAGAAAGAGTCCCAAGTAAGTATAAACCACAGAAATAGTCCCAAGTAAATATAAACCACAGAAATAGTCCCAAGTAAGTATTAAACACAGAAAGAGTCCCAAGTAAGTATAAACCACAGAAATAGTCCCAAGTAAGTATAAACCACAGAAATAGTCCCAAGTAAGTATTAAACACAGAAAGAGTCCCAAGTAAGTATAAACCACAGAAAGAGTCCCAAGTAAATATAAACCACAGAAATAGTCCCAAGTAAGTATTAAACACAGAAAGAGTCCCAAGTAAGTATAAACCACAGAAATAGTTCCAAGTAGATATAAAACACAGAAATAGTCCTAAGTAAGTATTAAACACAGAAAGAGTCCCAAGTAAGTATAAACCACAGAAATAGTCGCAAGTAAATATAAACCACAGAAATAGTCCCAAGTAAGTATTAAACACAGAAAGAGCCCCAAGTAAGTATAAACCACAGAAATAGTCGCAAGTAAATATAAACCACAGAAATAGTCCTAAGTAAGTATTAAACACAGAAAGAGTCCCAAGTAAGTATTAAACACAGAAATGGTCCCAGGTAAATATAAACCACAGAAATAGTCCCAAGTAAGTATTAAACACAGAAAGAGTCCCAAGTAAGTATAAACCACAGAAATAGTCCCAAGAAAATATAAACCACCGAAATAGTCCCAAGTAAGTATTAAACACAGAAAGAGTCCCAAGTAAGTATAAACCACAGAAATAGTCCCAAGTAAGTATAAACCACAGAAAGAGTCCCAAGTAAATATAAACCACAGAAATAGTCCCAAGTAAGTATTAAACACAGAAAGAGTCCCAAGTAAGTATAAACCACAGAAAGAGTCCCAAGTAAATATAAACCACAGAAATAGTCCTAAGTAAGTATTAAACACAGAAAGAGTCCCAAGTAAGTATAAACCACAGAAAGAGTCCCAAGTAAATATAAACCACAGAAATAGTCCTAAGTAAGTATTAAACACAGAAAGAGTCCCAAGTAAGTATAAACCACAGAAATAGTTCCAAGTAGATATAAAACACAGAAATAGTCCTAAGTAAGTATTAAACACAGAAAGAGTCCCAAGTAAGTATTAAACACAGAAATGGTCCCAGGTAAATATAAACCACAGAAATAGTCCCAAGTAAGTATTAAACACAGAAAGAGTTCCAAGTAAGTATAAACCACAGAAATAGTCCCAAGAAAATATAAACCACCGAAATAGTCCCAAGTAAGTATTAAACACAGAAAGAGTCCCAAGTAAGTATAAACCACAGAAATAGTTCCAAGTAGATATAAAACACAGAAATAGTCCTAAGTAAGTATTAAACATAGAAAGAGTCCCAAGTAAGTATTAAACACAGAAATGGTCCCAGGTAAATATAAACCACAGAAATAGTCCCAAGTAAGTATTAAACACAGAAAGAGTCCCAAGTAAGTATAAACCACAGAAATAGTCCCAAGTAAGTATTAAACACAGAAAGAGTCCCAAGTAAGTATAAACCACAGAAATAGTCCCAAGTAAATATAAACCACAGAAATAGTCCCAAGTAAGTATTAAACACAGAAAGAGTCCCAAGTAAGTATAAACCACAGAAATAGTCCCAAGTAAATATAAACCACAGAAATAGTCCCAAGTAAGTATTAAACACAGAAAGAGTCCCAAGTAAGTATAAACCACAGAAATAGTCCCAAGTAAATATAAACCACAGAAATAGTCCCAAGTAAGTATTAAACACAGAAAGAGCCCCTAGTAAGTATAAACCACAGAAATAGTCGCAAGTAAATATAAAACACAGAAATAGTCCTAAGTAAGTATTAAACACAGAAAGAGTCCCAAGTAAGTATTAAACACAGAAATGGTCCCAAGTAAATATAAACCACAGAAATAGTCCCAAGTAAGTATTAAACACAGAAAGAGTCCCAAGTAAGTATAAACCACAGAAATAGTCCCAAGTAAATATAAACCACAGAAATAGTCCCAAGTAAGTATTAAACACAGAAAAAGTCTCAAGTAAGTATAAACCACAGAAATAGTCCCAAGTAAGTATTAAACACAGAGAGAGTCCCAAGTAAGTATTAAACACAGAAATAGTCCCAAATAAGGCTAAAAAAAATTAATCAATAGTTTCTCAGGCCAAAAAATTCAAAATTCAATGCGGCAGGCAGGCTTTTTTTTTTTTTTTTTTTTTTTTGAAACAGGATTTACCTTTTTTAATGCCATTTGTTCAATAAAATGATAATATCTACTAATTCTTTATTTTTTGTTCTAGTAAATTAGTTATAATATGCATTCAACTTTAAATAATATTATTCCAAACATTTATTGAAAGGATAATTCACAAAATACTTTAAATATAGAAGAAATATATTGTTTTTTCTAATAAAAATGTCTATCTTAGCATTTCTGGAAAGGGGAATAACTCGATTTTCTTTGTCAACTTTGAAAAATAGAAAATTGAGTTATTTCCCTTTTCCATATGTCAATAAAATTTATCAATGCGGCCGTTTTTGAACTGATGCGGCGGTGCCTGAGAAACTATTGATTAATTTTTTTGGGCCTAAATATAAAACACAGAAAAAGTCCCAAGTAAATATAAACCACAGAAATAGTCCCAAGTAAGTATAAACCACAGAAATAGTCCCAAGTAAGTATTAAACTCAGAAAAAGTCCCAAGTAAGTACTCTAAAAGCAGAAATATTCGTGGGGGATTAAATTTCAATTAATTTCCTTAACCTAAAACTTAGGAACTGCAGCCATGACATAAAGTAATTAAGACAACACAGTGTTAAGTTTGGGCAGACATAACCATGATTTATTTGTTATGCAATGAAATGTAATAATACATTAGACATGTAAGAGATAATAATCAGTTGAATGAAATCATGGTTAACCTCTAACTAAGTTCTACACAGACTCACACTTGACTCTCATAACAAAACAAAAAAAAAAAAATTGTGACCTTTCCCCTTTGCCAGTTCTCAGAAAAGTGACACTTTCCTGGAAAGTTGAAGATAGTTATTCTGAAATTATGCCTTCTGATTGGCTAATTAAATTGTTTTTATTTAAAAATAACTAATGCAGGGCTCCGATTGGTTAAAAAGGTCCCTGTCGCCAGGGGGCGCCTGGTACTTGACCACTGGCATTATTCCCTAGAGGGTCCCCCTCTATTGTCTTAATTTATGTAACTAGATGAATGCCCCCTAGGGGGTACCCCTCAATTGCTATCAGCCTCAGACAAATTTACTATTATTTATAACCAAAATGGCGTCAATATAAACAATAAAAATAAACACAAATTGAAACGTACAAACACATGAAGTTAATAATAGATATAATCGTCATGGACATCAACACTACAGAAACATATAACATGATAAAAGACTGTTACATGAGGGTAAAGTGCCTTAGACACACGAAGCATGAAAAGTATGTTACATAACATGAGAAGGCACGTTACATAAATTAATAACAATTAAACACTGTTTAATAATATTTTATTTCATTGTTAACAATTATCAACGAAATTAAATCCCACACGAAATTTTATACGACTGTATATTGAATAGGGTTACTCTCAAAACAACGAAATTAAATGCCCACCAAACTATTTTTGATGACAAATCAATGAAATTTTATCCCCATGAAAATTTGTGCTTCTACAGTATATACCATAGAAATAGTCCCAAGTATGTATAAACCACAGAAATAGTCCCAAGTAAGTATACCCCACAGAAATAGTCCCAAGTAAATGTAAACTACAGAAATAGTCCCAAGTATGTATACCCCACAGAAATAGTCCCAAGTAAGTATACCCCACAGAAATAGTCCCAAGTAAGTATAAACCACAGAAATGGTCCCAAGTAAATGTAAACTACAGAAATAGACTCAAGAAAGTATACCCCACAGAAATAGTCCAAGTAAGTATAAAACACAGAAATAGTCCCAAATAAATATAAACCACAGAAATAGTCCAAAGTGAGTATAAACCACAGAAATAGTCCTACAGTAGCTGCTAGGGGTGGGACGATACACACATCTTGCGATACGATACGTATCTCGATATATTGGCACGATACGATACGTATCTCGATATTATGAGAAATTGTAAAACTATTCAAAAGAATTAGTATTTTATTTCTTTTTTTTTTGTCTTGACATTAAATGAAATTATTCTATATCAAATCATGTTTGCTTTGAAATTAATACTTGAAGTTCATCAATTTCATTGACTAAAACTTTACAAAAACAATAATACATGTACATACTATTATTACCAAATTACTATTCAGAAGTTGTTTACAAATAGTTGTGTAGTTTATCAGAGAACACTGACTAAAAATTCATTTAAAAAACATCGATCACATTTACATTTTTATTAATTCATTGCTGAAAGTCTGAGCTAAGTTGAGATTACAAAACAAAGTACAAGATGGACTAACAATTAACATGATTAATAATATCAAATGTTCTGGAAACGATATTTCCTGTGTATAGCACGCATTACATACTGAACTTTTCTTGTCCAATCTTCCGAGGCTGCTTTAAAGTGAAAACGTTTTACCCCTAACGAACGACTTATTAGTTCTTAAGTGTGTTTTCAATATCAACATCATCTTTTCGCTCGTAAAAGCCGCCATTTTCCAAGGACAGGTACTTTCATTTTCAAATTTTGGATAGGTCGTTCGTGTATCGTTTCGTACCGATATTTGAATGCTTGTATCTTAAACCGTATCTTGGAGGAAAATATCGATATGTATCGGTGTATCGGTATATCGTCCCACCCCTAGTAGCTGCAACGTTATTGTTGACAAACCAATCGTGTGGAATCGCTCATGTATCGTGCGTGATCGTTTGTGTAACATGCGAGATCGTGCGTGTATCAGACTCAATCGTTTGCAGTTTTAATCATGCGTGATCGTGCTTTTAGAAACAATTAAATTTCGTTTTGTAATTTTTTATCGGAATGTTATTTGTTAAAGAAGCATTTTGTTTGTCTTTTAACTCTTTTTTATCCAAAGAAAATGAATGAAGCGCAATTTACATAATTGAATGCAGAACGAACTAATTATCGCTTGTGAACAAGCAACAAAGTAAGTCGTACAATATTATGTTCTCGTCAAATAGCATGACCTATTGTGATAAATCGTTTAACGTCTTTTCTCTGATGTTCATTATTGTTTATTGCTAATTGTGATCAAGATAATTATATTTAAAACCAATGCATCAAAAATAAATATTATGACAAATAAATAAACATTTCTCAATGCTTACATAAATATTTATTCGGCGAATGTACATGCACAGGACATGATTATCGGGATTTTCCCTCTGGAGCTTACTTTTGATTAATATTTAAAATTTCTGCAAATAAAAGTTGTTAAATAATTGGCAAGTTCATTTTTAGGGAATAGCAAACATTGAATCATTGGAAACATAAGAATATGACTTGTAATATAAGTCACTCCATGCTTTTTTTCAGTCATATCCCCCTTTCAGCATATTATGAAATCCAATTCAATCAAATTTTACGGTCTACCTACATGTACATCATCTGAAAGAACGAAAAAAAATCTGTTTTCTTAAGTCGGAGAATTACCAAAATAATTTTTTATAATCTAAAATTAAAAAAATAAGTCTCGCATGTATTTAGTTTCAGAAATGTCAATTTCGTTTTTATTTTTATTTTTCAAAGTCGATGAAATAATATTGATAATTCTTTGAAATCTAAAATTAGTATTAAGCCGTATTTTGTTTTGAAAATATTGATTCCTAAATATTTTGAACCAATTTGAGTGAAGAATCGTGCGTTTGTGTTAGCAATCGTGTAAGATCATGTAACATGTAGAATCGTGTGTGTGAGGGATCCTTCGTGTAACAGGTTTAATCGTGCGGAATCGTTCCTGTAACGCGATCGTTCGTGTAAGTTATCAACAATAATGTTGCAGTCACTGTAAATAAGTAAAAACTTCAGAAATAGTCCCAAATAAGTACATATATGAACCACAAAAATAGTCCCAGGTAAGTATTACCAACAGAAATAGTCCCAAGTAAGTAATAAACCACTGAAATAGTTGCAAGTAATTTCTACTGAATGTGGAAGAAAGCCAAAAATAAACTTAAAGCTCACACCTGATAGGCTGGAAATCTGAAATTTATTTAATATCATTAGCATTTTAAACAACTGATTACATTTTAATTAAAAAATTATTATTTTATCAACCAAAAAAATTGCTGTTTAGGTCAAAACAAAATTAAGAAAGCATTTTGTTCAAAAATAATTTTGTTAATATTGTAATTTTTTTTAAGCTAGGTCATTTTTCTCAGTTTTATGCCAATTACTGTAAACCAACTTTTATTCGCATGCGAGAAATTTTCGCGAAGTTCGCGAGAGCCTCGTCATCGCGAATATTTCTCGCCGCGAACAGGTCCTTAAAGTGTATGTGTCTATTAACAACAGATCCAAAGAGGCTTAATCGCAAAAATAAATCGTCGCGAACTAGTTTATCCCTAGTAAATCGCGAAATAAAGTCATCGTGAATAAAAGTTGGTTTACAGTAATCCTTACTACATAGGTAGATAGAAGGTTGTTTTTGTATCACTGCTCAGTTGACATCAATTCATCTTTTTTCCAGAAATCTCACCAAGGTTAAGTTTTGTGGCCTCCAGTTCTGTTGTCAAAATTAAAGAGAGCAATGATGCCTATGGAGTATTGAATCTGGCGCCATCATCAGTTGTTATTGATGAGGAAAACCGACGGGTCAACTTCACTATACAGAGAACAGGCATGTAAAACTCTCATTTTGTCTTGATGGAATGTTCACCATTACTGAGGTGTGTAATGATGAAGTTCTGTCAATAGGATTTCTTTAGCTCACCTGAGCCAGAACTCTTTTTGCCTGTTTTTAAACAAGAACCACTGAGCTCATTTTCAATCAAACTTGCAACAATTAAAGCATCATTGGGTGATGATGGGAAATCAAGTTTACTCAAATGAAGGGCTATATTTCCTCTTTCAAAGGGGGTAATTAAGAATAAGTGAAAATTCAGTGATATCTTTTGAAAAATCTCAAGAACCAGTGAGACAGAAAAATTTAAACTCACAAAAGAGTGACATTACATAGTTAAGATTTAAGAAAAAAATATTAAATTTTTAAAGTCTTCTTCTAAAGAACAACAAAGACAAGAGTAAATATCATTTTAATGTGACAACAGGGGGTTATGATGGGATACTTTGTGTGCTCAAACTTTTACATCAGAAGATTAAAAATATCAAAAATCTTTTCAAAAACTGTAGAAATATGATTAGTGGTATTTATATACATACTTAGGTGATGTTAAATCAAATATGATAAGTGGCATTTATATTCTAGCATACTTCAGTAGTGTAAAATCAACTATGTTCAACTCATTACCCACTGGGGTAGCATGAAACCACAATGGGTCATCACATTTTTACATAAAAATATATACAAAGGTGAAAAAACAGGATATGAATAACAGCAAGGACATAGTAACTCTAGTGAGCATTGTTGCCCATGGGCCCCTTGGTGGATTATTTGCATATATTTACATCCACTGAATATTTTCTCCTTTATTTCTTAAGAAAACCCATTGCGTTAATCACTGCATGAACTACATTAGGCATGTTGACTGTACAGATTTCTTGATCAGTGGCTGTTCCATCAATGAAATGTATAAAGACGTTCGTATCATTATTACAATAATTAATCTTTTTAATCCTACTTTAAATGATTATTTAAACAGATATAAATATAAACAATAAAATTTCTTTCTTTGTTTGTTATTAACGGTCACAGCTATTGCAGAAAAAATTTACATAACCCGCTTACGCCGGTTATGTATTTTTTCTGCAACAGCTGCTTCCGTTAATTCCAGTAATAACAAACAAAGAAAGCATTTTATTGTTTAAATTATGTAAATAATAATATTATGATATTCATAACGTTTTAACAGCCTATCATAGTATGCTAGCGTGACTGAGAATAAGTTGTTTACATTAACAGGTTTTGTTAGTTGTAGCAATGTGTTAATTAAACATTATTAAGTGTAAATTTCTCTAATAAGTAGATCTGTAAAAGGTTGAAATCCTGCCAAACAAAAGAAATATCTTCATGTTCATACAATTTATGTCCAGGTGGTCTGATTTATTTTGAGTGAACTTGAGGTATTTCAGACTTCTTTGTTTTTGACACATCTCCCTTACTACTGTAGAATCCTAATTATATGCGAGGAATAAATTATTGCATAAAATTTCGCTAGAAGCATCACTGGCAAAATAAAATTACTGCATGGCTTTTATTTTTATGGTGCTGAAATCCATGTTATTTCTCTTGATCAACCATCCATGCGTGAATTTTTTTCTTGTGATTTGGCTTTGAATAGCTATTTCATGATAATAAGTACTGACATGAAAAATAAGGAATCTTCAGTATTATTACTGTGAACAGTTTAACAAGTGATACAGACAAATTTACAAGGTTGAACATCAAATGCTATTGTTGCCATTTAAAATCACACAGTTAGGTGATCATTATCTAAATATCTTGGATTTTAATTTAGGGGTTTTTATTTGACTTAAAAATGTTTATATAGTTACCGCAGTATATCTGCAGTAAAAAAAACTAAGTTATAAAATGTGATGATGAGGAACATAATAATGCTTTAAATTCCAATTACTAATTGAGAAATATATGTTATGCATGCAATACATCCTTGAAGAGATAGGGGAATTCACAATTTGATTTTTAGCTCACCTCAACAAAGTTGGAGGGAGATTATGTAATACCCTTGGCAATATTAAGGTTTTTTTACCTGAGCTGAAGGCTCAAGTGAGCTTTTCTGATCACATTTTGTCCGTCGTCCGTCCGCTTGTCTGTCTGTCTGTCTGTCTGAATTTTTTCAATTTTCGACTTCTTCTCAAGAACCACTGGACCACTTTTGACCAAACTTGGTACAAAGCATCCTTGGGTGAAGGGGAATTTAAATTGTTAAAATAAAGGGCCAAGTTCTCTCACAAGGGGAGATAATCAAGAGATAAAAATAGGGTGGGGTCATTAAAAAATCTTCTTCTCAAGAACCATTGGGCCAGAAAAGCTGAAACTTATGTGGAAGCATCCTAGGGTAGTGTAGATTCTGAATTGTTAAAATCATGACCCCTGGGGGAAGGGCGGGGCCACAATGGGGAATCAAAGTTTTACATAAAAATATATAGGAAAAATCTGTGAAAATCTTCTTCTCAAGAACCACTGGGCCAGAAAAGCTGAAACTTACGTGAAAGCACCCTGGTATAGTGTAGATTCTAAATCTTTAAAATCATGACCCCCGGTGGAAGGGCGGGCCCACAATGGGGAATCAAAGTTTTTTAGAAATATATAGGAAAAATCTTTGAAAATCTTCTTCTCAAGAACCACTGGACCAGAAAAGCTGAAACTTATGTGGAAGCATCCTGGTATAGTGTAGATTCTAAATTGTTAAAATCATGACCCCCAGGGGAAGGGCGGGCCCACAATGGGGAATCAAAGTTTTACATAGAAATATATAGGAAAAATCTTTGAAAATCTTCTTCTCAAGAACCACTGGGCCAGAAAAGCTGAAACTTATGTGGAAGCATCCTGGTATAGTTTAGATTCTAAATTATTAAAATCATGACCCCTGGGGGAAGGGCGGGGCCACAATTGGAAATCAAAGTTTTACATAGAAATATATTGGAAAAATCTTCTTCTCAAGAGCCACTGGGCTAGAAAAGCTGAAACTTATGTGGAAGCATGCTGGGGTAGTGTTGATTCTAAATTATTCAAATCATGCATGACCCCCGGGGGAAGGGTGGGGCCACAATTGGGAATCAAAGTTTTACATAGAAATATATTGGAAAAATCTTCTTCTCAAGAGCCACTTGGCCAGAAAAGCTGAAACTTATGTGCACATGGAAGGATCCTTTGGTAGTGTAGATTTCAAAATGTCTTAATTATGATCAGTTGGGTAGAGTGGGGATGCATTATGTATTACAAGGGGGAAGTCTGGTAAAAAACAGAATGGTCAAAGCTTCTCAGGTGAGCGATGTGGCCCAAGGGCCTCTTGTTTGGAGCAGTTTTCTTTTAGGTACTTCTGTGTCCTATATTGATTAGACATGCATGGAAGGTGTTTCTAAGTTTCTAGTGTGTTTCATTATAACAGTCAAAGTTTCAGATGTTGCAATTTCAGCAAAGAAATAACCAGGTTAATGTTTTTGGAGCAGGTTAACATTCTTGGTGCAGTTTTTAGCTCACCTGAGTCGAAGGCTCAAGTGAGCTTTTCTGATCAAAATTTGTCCGTTGTCTGTCGTCGTTGTCGTTGTTGTCGTCGTAGTCATTGTAAACTTTTCTTATTTTCATCTTCTTCTCAAGAACCACAGGGTCGATTTCAACCAAATTTGCTACAAAGTATCCTTGGGTAAAGGGGATTCAAGTTTGTTCAAATGAAGGGCCATGCCCTTTTCCAAGGGGAGATAATTATGAATTAGAGAAAAATTAATGGCATTTTTAAAAAATCTTCTTCTCAAGAAGCACAGAGCCAGGAAAGATGAAACTCATGTGGAATCATCCTCAGGTAGTGTAGATTCAGGTTTGTTCAAATCATGACCCACGGGGGTAGGGTGGGGCCAAAATGGCCAATCAAAGTTTAACATAGGAATATATAGGAAAAATCTTTAAAAATCTTCTTCTCAAGAACCATTGGGCCAGGAAAGATGAAACTCACGTAAAAGCATCCTCAGGTAGTGCAGATTCAAATTTGTTCAAATCATGACCCCCCGGGGTAGGGTGGGGCCACAATGGCAGATCAAAGTTTTACATAGGAATATATAGGAAAAATCTTTAAAAATCTTCTTTTCAAAAAATCACTTGGCCAGGAAAGATGAAACTCATGTGGAATCATCCTCAGGTAGTGTAGATTCAAGTTTTCTCAAATCATGACCCCCGGGGGTAGGGTGGGGCCACAATGGCCGATCAAAGTTTTACATAGGAATATATAGGAAAAGTCTTCTTCTCAAGAACCATTGAGACAGGAAAGATGAAACTCCTGTGGAATCATCCCAAGGTAGTGTAGATTCAAGTTTGTTCAAATCATGACCCCCGGGGGTAGGGTGGGGCCAGATGGCCGATAAAAGTTTTACATAGGAATATATAGGGAAACCTTTAAATATCTTCTTTTCAATTTCTTCAAAGCCATGCTTAGTGATATTTATAGGGAATCATCCCCAGGTAGTGTAGATTCTAGTTTGTTCAAATCATGACCCCGTAGGGGGTTGGGGGTTGAATTCAGCCCTCCCCCCTCAATAAACTTTCAGTTTTGCTCTGATATGTGCTTTTTCCTAGACAATTGCTCAGGTGAGTGATGTGGCCCCTGGGCCTCTTGTTGGTGTAGGTCTCATTTCCGAGTAACTATAAGCCCTATGTTGACCAAACTTGCATGGATGATAAATCTAAGGATGCACACTACCAGACTTGCTTCGGATGCTGAATCTGACCTACATTTTCCGGTTGAGTGAACAGGTGAAAGTTTTTGGTGCAGATTTCATTTCCAAGATACTATGAGCCTTATGATGACCAAACTTGCATGGATGGTACATCTTAGTATGCATACTACCAGACTTGCTTCGAATGCTGAATCTGACCTACATTTTCTGGTTGAGTGAACAGGTTAAAGTTTTTGGTGCAGGATTCATTTCCAAGTAACTTTGAGCTCTTTAATTATCAAACTTGAATTGATTATACATCAAAGGGTGCATTCTACTGGGCTGGCTTTGGATGCTGAATCTGACCTACATTTTCTTGATAAGGGAAAAGGTTAGTTTTTTATACAGGTTTCATTTCCAAGTAACTATAAGCCCTATGTTGAGCAAACCTGCATGGATGATACATCTTAGGATGCACACTAATGGACTTGCTTCAGATGCTGAATTCGACATACTTTTTCCAGATAATGGACCTGGTGAAAATTATGGGTGCAGGTCTATTACCAAGAAACTATAAGGCTTACATAAACCAAACTTGCACTGATGCATCAAGGGATAAAACTCCCAGACTTGCTTCAGATGCTGGATTTTAATTATGTTTCCATGATGAAGAACTAGTATAAAGTTTTTATATAGGTCTATTCCAAAAAATTAGATCAAAATTGCATAAATTTTGCATTTGTGGATGTTCACTTTTTGTTGGTTAATTGTGTGACTTTGCCTTACTTAAAGACAACATTTGTTGAGGTGAGCTCTGTATAATCTCTGATTACCTATGTTTTTATATGTGTATAGAGCTTGTAATGAATTTAAATTATTTTCATCTCAGTATTTTAGATCCCAATGCACCTATGTAGACTTTATTTGCAATTCCACATTCCTTAACATGTTCTTCCATTTTCATTTGTGTGTGTGTAGGTGGTTTATATGGGACGATCAGTGTCCTTGTGAGGACAGTGGGAGGGGGGGAGCCCTGGACCTCCCAGATTGTCCCGGAACCCAACCCCACCTCCAACGATACCATCACCCAGATCCTCGGGGCCAGGGATGGGGTAAATGCTGCTACTGCTGTCAGGGACTATGAGATATTGGACACTAGGGTCGAGTTCAAGGTATTGTGATACTCATGTAGAATAAGGAATCTACAGTAATAATGAATTTATGGATGATAGGATAAAGTTTAAAATGAGCATGTTATGAATGACAAAAATGTTCTTGGTACTAAGGTTGTTTTTTATTGAGCAGCAAGATGAGAGGGAGAAGTATGTCTCAGTTGAGATATTGTCAGACACGCTTCCTGAGCCAGATGAGACAGTCATTGTATATCTCGCTCAACCAACAGGTGATGCCAGGATAGCCAAAGGGGCACCAGACGGGGGCAAAAAAGTAGGTCCTACTTCAATTTCAAAGTAAGTAATAAAAAGAGCCTTCTTACTTTCATCTCACCTTTTTTTAGAACATGTGAATAGATTTCAACTCATATTGTACTATTTGCAGGGATTTTCTGTGATTACTATAAAACAAAATGACTTATCCAATGGCATCATAGGATTTGCACAGAGTTCAAAGGTCATCACAGTAAATGAGGACACTTCACCAGCATTTTCTCTGACACTGTTTAGAAGTGATGCAAAGTACGGAGACGTGGTGGTGAGTTTCACACCCCTATTTAATCCTCTGACATACATGTATTTCCTTATATTAAGAAAATTGTTCCGACTACAAGTTCAGCCAAAAATATTTATAAAGTGACATTGAGGATCATTTATAAATGTTAGAAACCATCCTTGTATTGAGTTTCTCACTGGGTATTATATTTGTGAATACCTATATAATTAACCTACAACTCCCCCACATTTCCGTCAAAGAATCACGAATCTATCCCTTACTGAGAATAAATAGCTTCTAAATGATTATTCATTATGGATGTTTTTGAAAATAAAATTCCAGACATCATGTTTATGAAAATCTAGGAATATGCAGCATTCGATCATTGTAATTTAGCCCTCTCTTTATTCACGTGTATTTTTAATTAACAAGACAAAGCAAGGCGCTAGTGGTAATTTCACACTGTATTTAAAGTCCCTTGGATTTTTCTATTGGAGGAAGCCTTTCATGTTTCACCATATGCAGTTTTTCTTCTGTCAAACAAGGAAGAAATCTCAAACTTCATCATTAAGATATAAAGTATTATTAAGTTTATGTGTTTTTAAAAAGAGATAAGTTTGGAAAATTACAATAAAAATTTTAGGAAGAATTTGCATTCCCTATCTGTTTCTCCTCTAAACTTTCATAAACTTAATTTTTCACCAAGTTTTCTTATAGATATCCTTTCTCTGCAGCTAATAGTGGTAAATCTCTCTTTCTGTATCACTTGTCAAGTAATTATAATATAACTTGTATTTCCTTTTCCTGTTACTAAATCTGACTCAAATTTTACCCATATAGAGTTCAGGGGCAGATGATATTAATATGCAATGACATTGAAGTAAATTTTTTCTACATTAAAGGTCAAACGTAAAAATCCCCACTGTAATACTTTGTTGTGAGTCAACTTTCTCCTTCCTTGTTCCAATCTGGCTCAAACTTCACCAATAGAGGAGTGCATTTAGATAAAGGGTGTACAATCACTGCATGAACCAGTTTTCTAGAAGAAAACATGGGCAACATTTTCTCCGCTCATGACCCTTTCTAGCTCATTCTGCCAGGACAGAATGCCCATGTGTTAAGGATGTGAAACACTTGCTGTTGTCATTGTAAATTTTTAACAATTTCATCTTTTTCTCCAACCCACCTGGGGCTTCATCAACCAAACTTGGCAAAAAATACCTTTAGTGAAGGGGATTCAAAATAATTCAAATAAGGGAATCAGGAAATTTTTCCCTTGGGGGGAGATAATTAAGAAAAAGTTAATTTTTAGGATCATTTAAGAATTCTTCTCAACTCCCACTGGCCAGAAAAATGCATGAAACATGAATATTCCTGACATAGAGCAAATTCAACTTTGTTCAGATCATGCCCCCTCTCCCTCTCTCTCTCTCCCTCTCTCTCATAGGTCAGGTCCCTATAGGTATTTACACTCTTACATGAGATTTTACATGCATGCATAGGAAAAAATCTTTAAAAATGAAAAATCTGTCCAAGAACAGAATAGAAAAGTGAACCACATTGAGCAATCAGTTTTACATAGGAAAACATAAAATAATCTATGATTTTTATAAGAACAGTAAACCAGGTAATAGTATTAATATGAAAGCATCCTCAGGTGGAGTAGATTTAATTTTATTCAACCATGACTGGTAGGGGGTAGGGTTGGGTCATAATATGTGGGGTAACTTTTACATAGGAAAATAAAGGGAAATAAATCTGCCCATGAAGAACGAAAAAAGGCCATAGAAATTCAGATGAGCATTAAGGCCCATGTCCTTCTTCTACCCTCGAATTCCGCATGCAATTAACAGAAGTTATACACATTGCCAACTTTCAATTCATTTTATAGTAAGCAGAGATTAATTGCATGCTATAGAGAGAGGCTTTACAGTATACTGTAAATGTATTATATTTGGTGTGTACGATTTGGGGTGATATGAGGTCTGATGATAACAGGTCTCCTGGAAGACCAAGCTGTCTGTGAGCAGTACTGAGGCCCAGGATGCTGTCCTAGGTAGCCAGTTACAGCTGACCGCAGGGACCACGATCTGTCCTGCCCTGGAAGACACCTGTCAGCTCAACATTACCCTGATCAATGATGAGGTAACGTTACACCTATTCAACATAGCCAATAGAAAATAAGATTAGTAAAGGGAAAGGATATTTTTATATTAACTATGGCTTGGCAAAATGATTGATATTTCTGTATATTGTTTGACAAAACAAGATGTGTTTGTGAAACACTATGCGCCTGGCATCAACAAAATTCGAAAAAGCTATTTTTAACATATAGGTAACAGTCAAGGTCACAAGGTCATTGACCTTGACGTCATTTGAAAGAACTTAATTAGTGGTGTATGCATACCAAATATGAAGTATCAATCTCTCATGGTATAAAAGTTATGGTGAAGGTTCAAAGAAAGCTATATTATACATATATTACATGGCTTCAAGTGCAGCATACCAGAATATTTGCCCCAAGGTGACAGGAAAGCCCTGGAGTGTTATCACCCGATGCCGAAGGCTCCAGGGCTTTCCTGTCACCAAGGGGCAAATATTCTGGTATTGCTGCCCGAGAATTAAGGCATGATATATATGGTATATAACATTTTTAAACATTGAGCCCAAATCGATCATGGAACATATTTATTGAACATTATGTACACTGTACGTTGAGTATAATTCCGAAATATCCCGTCCTGTTTCATGGCAGAATGTTTTCAGTATTCTGCAACTTGTGATGATAACCTTTGTTGTATTAAAGGAATTTTTCTCCTCAATTAAATCATCTAATTCCTCTGAATTCAAATAAACAAATCGCAGACGTTGTCCTGATTTAATTTTCGTGGAACTGTTTACGTTTACTTAGCATCTGCCTCTGTGAATTTCGAACCCGACGTATTTAATATGCAGAATGATTGCACGCGAGGGAACATAACTGTGTTCAGGAGGGCAATATAACTGTTTCCGGTAAAATATAACTATATCCGGCATGATTCAGCAGTTTTTCAGGGCATAGGGATAAAAATATTATATTTGTGATAAGGAAAACTTCTTCAAAAATAATATATTTAGCATATATGTCACAGTCATGGTACAAGGTAATTGACCTTTGTATCATTTGAAAGAGCTTTATTAGTGGAGTACGCATACCAAATTTAAAGTCTCTATCTTTCATGGTTCAAAAGTTATGGCAAAGGTACAAGTTTTCAGACAAAAAGCTATTTCTAGCATATAGGTCACACTCAAGGTCACAAGGTCATTGACCTTGGTGTATGCGTACCAAATATGAAGTCTCTATCTTTCATGATTCAAAAGTTATGGCAAAGGTTCAAGTTTGCAGACAAACAAACAGACAGACAGACAGGACAAAAACAATATACACCTTGGATCTATCAATCGTGGTGCATAGAAATATTGTATTGCAATACGTTTTTTTAATACCAATGGTTAAACCTAAACATTAACAATAAAACAGGTCAAATTTATCCATTTTACTACTAAAAAAATTAATTACTCATTTATTACATATTGCCATAGTACACCTCTTATTTTTACATTTTGATCGAACAAATATATGGGTTATAAAAAAAATGGATTTTGCCTTAATTTACTCTTAAATGGAGTTGAGGGAATGAGTATCATTTTGTGATTTTGGCTCAAGTGAGCTTTTCTGATCACATTTTGTCCGTTCAGTCCGTCTGTCTAGCTGTCCGTCTGTCTGTAAACTTTTCACATTTTCTACTTCTTCTCAAGAACCACTGGGCCAATTTTTACCAAACTTGGTACAAAGCATTTTTGGGTGAAGGGGAATTTAAATTATTAAAATGAAGGGCCATTAGTCCCCTCATAAGGGGAGATAATCAAGAAAAGACAAAAATAGCGTGGGGTCATTAAAAAAAACTTCTTCTCAAGAACCACTGGGCCAGAAAAGCTAAAACTTATGTGGATTCTAATTTGTTCAAATCATGACCCCTGGGGGTTGGGTGGGGCCACAAAGGGGAGTCAAAGTTTTACATAGAAATATATAGGAAACATCTTTAAAAATCTTCTTCTCAAGAACCACCTGGCCAGAAAAGTTGAAACTTATGTGGAAGCATCCTAGGGTAGTGCAGATTCTAAATTGTTCAAATCATGACTCATGTGGAAGCATCCTAGGGTAGTGGTGATTTCAAATTGTCTAAATTATGATCAGTGGGGTAGGGTGGGGTCACAATATGAATTACAAGGGGGAAATCTGTTAAAGAACAGAATGGTCAAAGCTTCTCAGGTGAGCGATGTGGCCCATGAGCCTCTTGTTGACTCATGCAATCTCTAGTTCCTTTGTGATTACTAGGTAATATACATTTCAAACATTTGTTTACAAGACATATTGGAAGCTCATTTTTGGCAGATATACGAGGGTTGTTCGTAAAGTTCGTGGATAAGCTAAAATTTAAATAAAAATGGTGTCATTGATATTTAATATTAACATATTTATATTTCTTTACTTAATGTGAATTACAAAATGTAAAATTATATTCGATTTCAAAAATATAATTACAATTATGGCTTCATTATTTGATTTGGGATGGTTACCCGGAGCACCGCAAAATTTAGATTAAAAAGTTATTTATCACTTTATAAATTTCATTTGTATTTTGTAAAATTCAACAGAAATGCCAATTGCTTTTACATTATAAGGTTTACAAAAGTTAAAACTTCAAACCTGCAAAATTTGAACGTTCAGAGTTGAGAAATGGCTGAGAAATCGAGGTTAGAATCTGTTAAGACAGGATCGGCATTGTTCGAAAAAGGGAAGTTTTCTGAAAAGGTGGAGCAGAGAGCAGCGATACAATTCTGTGTAGACATCAGATTAACACGAACAGAGATCCATAAATGCTGTAAACAGTCGGGAAAATATATTAAAGGAAACAAAAAAAGACCATCATTCCGAGACTGCAGTGCTGTAAAAAATGAATTTCATAACATGATTTTGTCGTTTTTCCTTAAATAAAGTCGTTTTACGTGGACAAAGGTTTGATGATTTGCAGGATCTGAGGCAGGAAGTGTTTATTTTACATACGAATTCTGAACAGTTTGTACACATATTTGATGACTGCTTAAAGCAACATAAGAAATGTATTGAGTTATATGGTGACTGTTTTGAGGAAAATTACATGTATTAAGCTTTTGACGTCGGGTAACGTCAAGGACTTTTGTTTTAGTGCTCCGGGTATGAGTGTGTGTCTTTTTTGTATCTGATAAAAATATAACTATTTGTGCTTTGTTTTTGTTTAAAATTTGCATATGTATAAAATGAAACATTAATTTAATGAAAATAATAGTTTCATATATTTTATCAATGTTTGTCAGTAATTATCAATGTTGTCCACGAACTTTACGGACAACCCTCGTATGTATATTTTATGAGCTGAGGTAATAGGGCCTTACCCAAGGTTAGCTGGGCAAATTCATTTTTACAGGGAGAAAAAGTAAAAAAGTATTTATTCTCTGGCTGTTTAATTATCATTAGAAATGACAAGTCCGGGGACATAGTGAGTTAAACACATTTTATTTTTCACTTTAGTTTACTGTAAAATACAAGTTCATGTAAAGTAAACAATAATGTACTTTCTGCTTGTTGAATCTTATAGAAACCAGAGGAAGCTGATGAGTTTATTGTGATGCTGACAGACGTGAGAAATGATGCTCGTCTTGATGAGCAGAATGTCGTAGCCAGGGTGTTAGTGGAAGAAAGCGACCATGTTAGAGGACTTATCCAGTTTAGCAAAGAGTCACGGTAAACAAAATGACTGCACCATCAGTTGTAATTCTATCTTGTGATAAAATATCTTTCTGAATTTTTTGATCAATTTCAATTGAATCATGATAGAGTTCTTCCTTAATATTGTGAACTAGATGTGATTGAGATAAACCTTAAAAGATATCAGAGGATTCAAGATATCGGGGGTAAAACAGAGGTAAAAGAATAAGTGATTGGAACTTCCAAATCACTTCCACATATCTAAGGTATCGAGATATCAGTGTTTGAGATACCAAAATCCAACTGTATCACTGCAGATATGATAATATTTATAGCCAGTATTGTTCAATTAAACCATATGCAGCTTATCTATCTAAACATCTTGATACTAGCTGTGCTCAATTTCTAAGACAAGCAAATTGGCCAATGAATGTCTGCCCCCCTCCCCCCTAATGATTATATAAATATATATAATTAATTGAATATTATTTGGGAAGAATTATCCACTTATTGAAATGGTGAAAATGATGGGTGGCAGCTGCAAAAGGTTTACACCATTGGTCTGGATATAAACTCAGATTGTAAATATATTATGTCAACTTCAGATGTCCTCTATGAGAAAAAAACAATCCAATCACTATTACACCAAGATAAACCTTTTATTTCATAAAGAATTGTGGTGATTGGCAAAAGTGAGAGAAATGTTCGCCTGAAAGTGGAGCGGTTAAAGGGGCGTGGTTACCGTGTACAGGTTGGTTATCAGACCCTGATGATGGACAGCCAGGAATCCCTGTATGGGATCAGGATTACTCCCGCCCTGGAGAACGAGGATTACCAGAGCAACACGGGGACCCTCGTGTTTGAAGAGAACAGACAGGTGACGTATCAAAACTAACATTACAATATTCTTCATTAAAGCTGATATTAAATCTGAATGTAGAATTCTATTGTAGTGTAAAGGATGACATTTTGTTGTTTTAGGAACTACAGTATATAGACATCAGTATGACCCCTGTCACGGCCTCCAGTAACCCACTTCCTAAACAGTTCTTTGTTCAGCTTAAAGCCCCAACAGCAGGAGCCAGGTTAGTATTCAGGGATCAAGTTTTCCTTCCTTCTCCATTAGGCCAATAAATGTCAAAATTTTTGGCAATAACTGTCTGTTTTGGTATGCATATGAAATGTTTTGTGACTCTTACTAGAATTGTTACTAACTTAATTAATGACTGAAAAATATGGCTAACCGCAAGATTTTTCTTCTAGATATTAAAGTAAGGTAATAAAATAATTATTGGAATTATTCCAGATCTATAATTGATCTGACTGAATTCACCTTAGAATGTTGTTGCCCACATGACTTAAAAGAAGGATAGTTTGGTCTCTGTTTGTTACATATATCTAAACATTAGCCTATCCTCTTAATGGTAGAAATAAAGGTAGCACCAATCAAATTTGAAATTTCCTTGTTTTCCACTGGTAGAAAATAAAGTTAGCACCAATCAAGCTTGAAATTCCCTTGTTTTCCTCTGTATTATTCAGGTGAATATATGGAAACGAATGTTTTTTATAACTAAATGAAACAAAAAATGTTTATTGTCCTCACATGTATTACAGGTACTTGTTGTTTATGTACAAAGAACATTGTATGATGCATTTGTGTTTTCCGAATTAGTGTTTTCTCTCATAATTTCTAACTTTCATGATGCACATGACATTTCGATATTATCATTGAAAGGATACGCAATTAAAATGCTCTTTTCATAGAAAACTAAATAAATATCGCAGGCGTGGGGCCTGAAGATTTTTTGAATATCAATAGAGAATCAGGGTCATGGTTTTTCATCGTCTGAATACATCGTCAGCACGTGTGAAATTCAAAAATTTTAAAACTAGTTATAGTCTGTTTTTTAATGTACGGGATAAAAACTTTTGAAAACTGTGCAGTAGTGATGTTATTTGAATGAGATAACATAGGCAACATTTATGTATTGCAGTCTTCATCCAGACACATCCTTTAACAGAGCAATCATCAGGATTGTGGAGGACTCGACAAAGTCAATATGGGCGACTGTAATGGACAGTGGATCTCTAAGCAATGACACCAACCTTCTTACGTAAGCCAGTAATGTACAGTGGAGCCTTATTAATCCAAACATCAATAATTCAGACACCTCACTCCAGGTCAAAATTTGTTTGAAACAAAATTAATTTACTAAACATTTATACTACCAGTGAAGTTATAAAGTTTCTCAGGTGAGTGTTGTGGCCCTTGGGTCTCTAGTTAGAGATTTAGAGGTTTTCCCTTTTAATGAAGTAAACCAAGACTATAGGAGACAGGAGTTTTAACTTTAATGGCCATTTATTTTTGAAGAACTGTTTTCACCTGCACTTTGCTTGTGTTGACATAACTGCTAAGTTTAGCATGATTTTTTACAGAACTCTGAGTAAATTGGATGAGATAGCTAAGACACCAGTGGACCAGACAGAGATAATTCTGGTGGAGAACACTCTGAGGAATATGATAGAGGAGGGGCTGAGAAGAAGGTGGGTCAACAACAAAATCAAGATTGGGGGGGGGGGGACAGTTCCATCAGGAAAAAATACTTTACAGTTCAGGAGTACACTGTATTTCCTGTCTAATAGTAAAAGACAAAAAGTATGAAATATATATGTTACCTTGTGACCTGAACATTCCTCTAAATGGTTCTGTATGCATATCCCTTTTCTGAGATAAAAAAAAAACTCCAAAATTTACACCTGACTTTCTTACTTCGATCATTTTTCATCAAGAAAATGACATTTTAAAATGTGTGGGTTTTTTCCATTGAGATTACCTTAAAATTATGTCCCTATATAGACACCTTATTTTACCTAAAGATATATTTTGAAAGAATTGTTGGAAGGACTAATTCTTCTCTAATTTTAGAAATCTGTAGGCATCTTTAATTTAAAACTAGATCTTGACCTTAATTGCTGAGAGAATTCAATCCTACATATAATAAAGAAAGAATCAAATAGCATTCACTGATTATTTGCACTTGAACAAGTCATTCATTAGACTGTATCATCACATCTAATAAAGTAATTAGCATTTAATTATTGTCAATCAAAAACACATCACAAGATACAATGTGAAAGTTAAGTCACAAATCAATACTTTACATGTGATTATATATTATGAAATCCCATGCATTTCACTAACGTCATTGCACCATCAAGGTTTGGGTCAAAAGTATGAGGACCTGATAATGCCATGATAAGGAAGCAATAGTGATGATATGATGGCGCAATGACGGTGACGCGATGATACGATGTCAATAGAATGATGCTCACTGTCGCATGGTCGTTCCATCGTCATCACCTTGTCGCATCATCACATCATATGTGTTATTGCACCATCCCATCATCACTGGATTTTCTAAATTATAGAAGCTTACACCTGATTCTTATTGCTTAAAATTAAAGATTACATCTTTTAGATTCTTGGGTCTTGAGCATGCATACTATAAAGTGTATTAAAAGACTTTGACTTAATTAAACAATCACTAAAGACATGATTTTCAGATATTTGATTTGAAACTAACTTGCTGATTACAGGGAAATTCTCTGTTTGCTTGTACTTCAAAGCTGTCAATCCTCTGAATAAATCAAAATATCTTCTTAAACAAAAAAGACAAAACACATCAACCTGCAAACCCATACTCTATACATCATTACATGTACAGTCTGTATGTTTAGCACAATTGGATTTTTCAAAGCCATTTGTGATCTAACCATCTCTATAGTCCATACCATTATCCTCTTAGATTGGAGCTGTAAGGTAGCAATTAAACATGATTAGCAGGACTGTAGAGGAAATGTGTTCAGGTTAACATTGAAATCTTACAATCTTTACAGGTTTGTCATTGGTTGGTTTATTGTCATGTACAGAACCAATATCCTGGTATTTCCTCAATCAATAGAGATAAGGTTTCAGGAAAATATATGTGTGTGGTCGGAAATATGGAAAAGAAATATGACTTTTGAAAGAAATTCAATTGAAGAAATTTTGTTTTTGCCTTATTTTTTAAAGCTCACCTGAGCTTAAAGCTAAAGTGAGTTTTTTGGACCACTGATTTTGTCCAGTGTCCATGCATCCACATTTTTTTTTACTTACTGTACGTGTACTAAAAAAAGCAGGCTTCATATTTTAGCAGCTTTTGCATGGACAAGAATGTGCTAATTAATGAATACTGCTAAGAAATCATTTACTAAGAAAAAAAAGGCATGAACATGTGTAGCGCTAATTAATGATTACGCCCAAAACTCTATACTCCTTGATTCCGCTAAATTTTGAATACGCCAGTTCATACAAACGTACAGTATTCTCCAGAACCACGAAACTAATTTCAGACAAAACAAGCTTCCTTGAAGAAATTTAAAAACTCCAAATGCTATATGATAGAGTCTGATCATTAGCCAACATGTTCCTTGCCCATGTACTTATACCAAGCAATAACCCCAAGTTATTATCTAAGCAATTAAGGAAAACTGAGTTTCTCTTTTACCCAACTAACGGTAACTCCTGGTCAAGCACTATGCCAATTTTCATTGAATATTCTAACTTCTCAAACAAGCTTATTATAGCCCCCATTCTTGTCTCTTCATGTAGTCAAAAACAGCCTTCTATAAACTGAACATGCAGAATATTTACATCATTTCAGGAATTATAACTTCAAGAAAAAAGATATTTTGACAACACAACACACACAATTATTATGTTCCCCAAACGGAGTTTGGGAACATATTGTTTTTACTCTGTTTCTTATTATTAAGTCTTCCGTTCACAACGGAAGACTTATAGTGATTGTATTGTTTCTTTTTATTATTATTATTATTATTATTCCTCCCAAATTTTGTGAGCGCGATTACTCAGAGATGGTTGGATAGATTTTCACAATTTTTCACTTGATAGTAGGCTGATATATGAAGTTTATATAAAATTCCGTTTTTTAAAAAATTTACTTCCGGTCCGAAGTTATGGCCGATTTTCTAAATTTAAAATGAATTTTTGTCCAGAATTTTTCTCAAGAACGGTTTAGGGTAAAGATGTGGAATTTACAGGATTATTAGGTCATGACATTCTCTTTGTTTTAAAGTAGTTTTTGTGTGTTTCTGATACTTCCTGTCCGGACCGGAAGTGAATTTGTGTTTCGGTCAATTTTCGACTTTTTTGTTTTTAACATTTCTTTCAAGATATTTCTGGGAATAATAGAGAAAGATCCACAATAGCCAAATATATAATTTGTTTTAAAATCAGATCACGCGTTTTGTAGATTTCAGCTACTTTCGTTTCGTTATAAAATCAAAGTACTGAAAGTACTAAAGGGGCATTTATTACTTTAATTACACGAAGGTTACGTTTACATGTTTTTCTGCATACAAAAATCAAAACATATAGACTCATTTATATTAAGATTAAGATAACATAATTGCAATGAAAATCAAAGTACCTAAAGTACTGAGAGGACTGTTTTAGATACCAACCTTTTTCTCACTAAAATGTACATGTACATATATGTAGTATAAACAGGCATGTTTTTCCTACACATAAACATCAATTCATACAATAAGTTACATATATTTAGTATAAACAGGCATGTTTTTCCTACACATAAACATCAATTCATACAATAAGTTACCTATTTTTTGTCAATCAATAAAAATCATAGTACCGCAAGTACTGAAAGGATATTAACTATTTTATTTTACTTTGACTTATATATACATGTAAATCTTTCTTTGAATGCAAAAATTCTATTCATATAAACACGTATTTTAATTTGTCATGTGTATACATCAAGGACGGTGAATACTTTCATTTTTGTAGTGAAAATCAAAGTACGGTAAGTTCTGAGACGTTGTCTTCTATATATTCCGCATTTATTTTTTTTTTAATCTAAAGAAAGTTTAAATATGCGTCTTAACAAAAAAAAAATGCATGCAGAGGGACAACAGATACATTCATTTTTGCAGTAAAAATCAAAGGACTGCGAGTACCGAAATGACATACTTAGTTTCTTACAATTTTAAATTTATTACATAATGTACACATTTCTCTACATATAAAAATCAATGCAAACGGTATCGTACAGGAACGGAAGACTTTTTTGTTGCCATGGCAACAAGAGTCTAGTTATTATTCTTTTTTCTTCTTATTTCTTCTCCGGTACTTTTTTGTCCGGGAGTGTTCTCAGAAACTGTTCACCCAACTAAGTTAAAACCTTTTTAGGGTTAATAGGTGTGTTGTGTAGGTTTGCTGAACGAAGGTCATTTTGCGAGCATACACATGCACGTGCGGGCGCGTGAAGTGAGTGAAATGACAGATATATTTAATATAGCCATAACTTTTACATTTTTTGATGAAATGCTTTGAAACTCATTGCATGAAGATATATTAATAGTGTTAATATAATGACACTGTCAAATTAGCACGAACTCACGCGCTTGCGCGTGCGCTTTGCTCTGATTGGCTGCAACTAAAATCTCAATATCTCTTTTGTTTTTTAGCTCACCTGAGCCGAAGGCTCAAGTGAGCTTTTCTGATCACATTTTGTCCGTCGTCCGTCCGTCCGTCCGTCTGTCCGTCTGTCCGTCTGTCTGTCTGTCCGTCTGTAAACTTTTCACATTTTCGACTTCTTCTCAAGAACCACTGGGCCAATTTTGACCAAACTTGGTACAAAGCATCCTTGGGTGAAGGGGAATTTAAATTGTTAAAATGAAGGGACATATCCCCTCGCAAGGGGAGATAATCAAGAAAAGACAAAAATAGGGTGGGGTCATTAAAAAATCTTCTTCTCAAGAACCACTGGGCCAGTAAAGCTGAAACTTATGTGGAAGCATCCTGGTATAATGTAGATTCTAAATTGTTCAAATCATGACCCCCGGGGGAAGGGCGGGGCCACAATGGGGAATCAAAGTTTTATATAGAAATATATAGGAAAAATCTTTGAAAATCTTCTTCTCAAGAACCACTGGGCCAGAAAAGCTGAAACTTATGTGGAAGCATCCTGGTATAGTGTAGATTCTAAATTGTTCAAATAATGATCCCCGGGGGAAGGGCGGGGCCACAATGGGGAATCAAAGTTTAATATAGAAATATATAGGAAAAATCTTTGAAAATCTTCTTCTCAAGAACCACTGGGCCAGAAAAGCTGAAACTTATGTGGAAGCATCCTGGTATAATGTAGATTCTAAATTGTTCACATCATGACCCCCGGGGGAAGGGCGGGGCCACAATGGGGAATCAAAGTTTTATATAGAAATATATAGGAAAAATCTTTGAAAATCTTCTTCTCAAGAACCACTGGGCCAGAAAAGCTGAAACTTATGTGGAAGCATCCTGGTATAATGTAGATTCTAAATTGTTCACATCATGACCCCCGGGGGAAGGGCGGGGCCACAATGGGGAATCAAAGTTTTACATAGAAATATATAGGAAAAATCTTTGAAAATCTTCTTCTCAAGAACCACTGGGCCAGAAAAGCTGAAACTTATGTGGAAGCATCCTGGTATAATGTAGATTCTAAATTGTTCACATCATGACCCCCGGGGGAAGGGCGGGGCCACAATGGGGAATCAAAGTTTTACATAGAAATATATAGGAAAAATCTTTGAAAATCTTCTTCTCAAGAACCACTGGGCCAGAAAAGCTGAAACTTAGGTGGAAGCATCCTGGTATAATGTAGATTCTAAATTGTTCACATCATGACCCCCGGGGGAAGGGCGGGGCCACAATGGGGAATCAAAGTTTAATATAGAAATATATAGGAAAAATCTTTGAAAATCTTCTTCTCAAGAACCACTGGGCCAGAAAAGCTGAAACTTATGTGGAAGCATCCTGGTATAATGTAGATTCTAATTGTTCAAATAATGACCCCCGGGGGAAGGGCGGGGCCACAATGGGGAATCAAAGTTTTATATAGAAATATATAGGAAAAATCTTTGAAAATCTTCTTCTCAAGAACCATTGGGCCAGAAAAGCTGAAACTTATGTGGAAGCATCCTGGTATAATGTAGATTCTAAATTGTTCAAATAATGACCCCCGGGGGAAGGGCGGGGCCACAATGGGGAATCAAAGTTTTCTATAGGAATATATAGGAAAAATCTTTGAAAATCTTTTTCTCAAGAACCATTGGGGCAGAAAAAGTGAAGCTTATGTGGAAGCATTCTGGGGTAGTGTTAATTCTAAATTATAGGAATCATGACCCCCGGGGGAAGGGCGGGGCCATTATAGGGAATCAAAGTTTTACATAGAAATATATAGGAAAAATCTTTGAAAATCTTCTTCTCAGGAACCACTGGGCCAAAAAAGCTGAAACATATGTGCCCATGGAAGGATCATGGGGTAGTGTAGATTTCAAAATGTCTAAATTATGATCAGTGGGGTAGGGTGGGGATGCTTTATGTATTACAAGGGGGAAATCTGGTAAAGAACAAAATGGTCAAAGCTTCTCAGGTGAGCGATGTGGCCCATGGGCCTCTTGTTGATGAATCCCTTTGAAATTTTAAACATAGTCATGCATTAGGATATCTTACAATATGATATAGAAAAAATTTCATGAAATCACGCGCATGCACGTGTGCTGCAATCTGATTGGCTGAAAATTTAAATGGCTATATCTCCTTTATTTTTTGACGAAATGCTTTGAAATTTAAAACAGAGTCATGCATTAGGATATCCTGCAATATGATATATCAAAAAATTCAAAAAAATCATGCGCATGGACATGTGCTGCAATCTGATTGGCTGAAACTTTAAATGGCTATATCTCCTTTGTTTTTTGATGAAATGCTTTGAAATTTTAAACATAGTCATGCATTAGGATATCCTGCAATATGATATACCAAAAAATTCAAAAAATCATGCACATGGACGTGTGCTGGAATCTGATTGGCTGAAACTTGAAATAGCTATAACTCCCTTGGTTTTCAACCAAATAGGATGGAAATTAGAACATAGATAGATATAAGGGACTCCTATAAGAAAGTATGGCCATCATGCACGTGCACACACGTGCGTGTATTTGGAACAAGTGAAATTAGAAATACACTTGAATGAGTGATTTTTAATACTTTTGGATTTGGACATTATGATATGGTCATAACGCACATACATTCACATGCGCACGCGTGCAATGCTAAAATTTGAGTATAATTGGTATTCTTCTGGGAAAACGTTGTTAAAGTCAAAAATTCACAGAGTTTGTCTTATTTAATGAAGCTTACAGGGAATATGGCACCAAAAGGGAGTTGAGGAGCGTTTGGGGAACATCTGTAACGGTTCCCGTTACAATTAGCACTAGTTTTTAGCTCACCTGAGCCGAAGGCTCAAGTGAGCTTTTCTGATCACATTTTGTCCGTCGTCCGTCCGTCTGTCCGTCCGTCTGTCCGTCTGTCTGTCTGTCCGTCTGTAAACTTTTCACATTTTCGACTTCTTCTCAAGAACCACTTGGCCAATTTTGACCAAACTTGGTACAAAGCATCCTTGGGTGAAGGGGAATTTAAATTGTTAAAATGAAGGGACATATCCCCTCGCAAGGGGAGATAATCAAGAAAAGACAAAAATAGGGTTGGGTCATTAAAAAATCTTCTTCTCAAGAACCACTGGGCCAGTAAAGCTGAAACTTATGTGGAAGCATCCTGGGGTAGTGTAGATTCTAAATTGTTCAAATCATGACCCCCGGGGGAAGGGCGGGGCCACAATGGGGAATCAAAGTTTTATATAGAAATATATAGGAAAAATCTTTGAAAATCTTCTTCTCAAGAACCACTGGGCCAGAAAAGCTGAAACTTATGTGGAAGCACCCTGGGGTAGTGTAGATTCTAAATTGTTCAAATCATGACCCCCGGGGAAAGGGCGGGGCCACAATGGGGAATCAAAGTTTTATATAGAAATATATAGGAAAAATCTTTGAAAATCTTCTTCTCAAGAACCACTGGGCCAGAAAAGCTGAAACTTATGTGGAAGCATCCTGGTATAATGTAGATTCTAAATTGTTCAAATCATGACCCCCGGGGGAAGGGCGGGGCCACAATGGGGAATCAAAGTTTTATATAGAAATATATAGGAAAAATCTTTGAAAATCTTCTTCTTAAGAACCACTGGGCCAGAAAAGCTGAAATTTATGTGGAAGCATCTTGGTATAATGTAGATTCTAAATTGTTCACATCATGACCCCCGGGGGAAGGGCGGGGGGCCACAATGGGGAATCAAAGTTTTACATAGAAATATATATTGGAAAAATCTTTGAAAATCTTCTTCTCAAGAACCACTGGGCCAGAAAAGCTGAAACTTATGTGGAAGCACCCTGGGGTAGTGTAAATTCTAAATTGTACAAATCATGACCCCCGGGGGAAGGGCGGGGCCACAATAGGGTATCAAAGTTTTACATAGAAATATATAGGAAAAATCTTCGAAAATCTTCTTCTCAAGAACCACTGGGCCAGAAAAGCTGAAACTTATGTGGAAGCATCTTGGTATAATGTAGATTCTAAATTGTTCACATCATAACCCCGGGGGAAGGGCGGGGGGCCACAATGGGGAATCAAAGTTTTACATAGAAATATATAGGAAAAATCTTTGAAAATCTTCTTCTCAAGAACCACTGGGCCAGAAAAGCTGAAACTTATGTGGAAGCATCCTGGTATAATGTAGATTCTAAATTGTTCAAATCATGACCCCTGGGAGAAATATATAGAAATATATAGGAAAAATCTTTGAAAATCTTCTTCTCAAGAACCACTGGGCCAGAAAAGCTGAAACTTATGTGGAAGCATCTTGGTATAATGTAGATTCTAAATTGTTCACATCATGACCCCCGGGAGAAGGGCGGGGCCACAATGGGGAATCAAAGTTTTACATAGAAATATATATATTGGAAAAATCGTTGAAAATCTTCTTCTCAAGAACCACTGGGCCAGAAAAGCTGAAACTTATGTGGAAGCATCCTGGTATAATGTAGATTCTAAATTGTTAAAATAATGACCCCTGGGGGAAGGGTGGGGCTACAATGGGGAATCAAAGTTTTTTATAGAAATATATAGGAAAAATCTTTGAAAATCTTCTTCTCAAGAACCACTGGGCCAGTAAAGCTGAAACTTATGTTGAAGCACCCTGGGGTAGTGTAGATTCTAAATTGTTCAAATCATGACCCCCGGGGGAAGGGCGGGGCCACAATGGGGTATCAAATTTTTACATAGAAATATATAGGAAAAATCTTTGAAAATCTTCTTCTTAAGAACCACTGGGCCAGAAAAGCTGAAACTTATGTGGAAGCATCTTGGTATAATGTAGATTCTAAATTGTTCAAATAATGACCCCCGGGCGAAGGGCGGGGCCACAATTTGGAATCAAAGTTTTATATAGAAATATATAGGAAAAATCTTTGAAAATCTTCTTCTCAAGAACCACTGGGCCAGAAAAAGTGAAGCTTATATATATAGAAGCATTCTAGGGTAGTGTAAATTCTAAATTATAGGAATCATGACCCCCGGGGGAAGGGCGGTGCCATTATAGGGAATCAAAGTTTTACATAGAAATATATAGGAAAAATCTTTGAAAATCTTCTTCTCAGGAACCACTGGGCCAAAAAAGCTGAAACATATGTGCCCATGGAAGGATCATGGGTTAGTGTAGATTTCAAAATGTCTAAATTATGATCAGTGGGGTAGGGTGGGGATGCATTATGTATAACAAGGGGGAAATCTGGTAAAGAACAGAATGGTCAAAGCTTCTCAGGTGAGCGATGTGGCCCATGGGCCTCTTGTTTATGATACTTGTGATGATATCAAAACATCAATTTTTTTTAAATAAATGCTTAACATTTTATTGAACAATGTTGAGATTTTTTTTAAATATACAGTGGGATTCAAACCCACAATGTAAGGATCAACTCCTTTCTTTGCAACTCTAGAGCAGACACTTTAACCACTGTGCCACATGGCCGACTATTAGTAAAGAAAGGAGAAGACAATCTAAGTTTCTGAACTTGTGTGTGATCTTTTTGACTCTATATCAATAAAATATGTTCAATTCAAATTCATGGGAATGAATTTTCTTGAAATATGATATTGTTCTGTAGATTGACATCACAAGTTTTGAACCTGTTGTTAAATGTGCTATGTAACCTAATGAACCCAAACAAGGCAGATGCTACAAGGGGTCGACGTTCTCTATCTGAGCTGATGGAAAACTTGGCCTATGCTTCACTGACAGAAGCCGCATGTCCAAGTCCCTCACCACCAGAAATGTAAGTACAAAAGAAAACCTCAACACTGTTATACTGTAGTAATCTGACATTGTTACCATGTTCTCTGAAGATTTTACTAGCTGTAAATATTTAGATAAATGTATATGTCTGATGATTTAATTTTAGATGCTTTATATTTGATCAAATTTGTTTCCTGAATGATATTGCAGTGAAAAAAAAATCTCATTCATAACTGAAAATAAAATTGAAGATATTTATTTGAATTTATTATCTTTTTCACAGAAACAGCCGTCAGTGTATTTATGCTAAAATGTCTGCAGCCAGGTGGCCACTGCAACAAATTTTGAGCTACAAATATTCTGCACAGTAAGATTTTTTATTATCACTCTTCCTGAATTAAGCTGATTGCTAACCTGCTGTGAAAAGGAAAGAGATATTCAGACTTCAAAAGCTTAAGCATATTTACTTTATGTCATTTGTCATTTTACAAAAATTAAAAATCTGCTGATGAAAAACATCAAGGCCATAGTGATTCATGTTAGCACTGTGGTCCATTGATATCATGTAATAACTTTTAAGATCAATCTTTTTAGGAGACAAGACACTTTCACTGTTCCTTCATCCATTCCCAACCCTCCTACTCCTGTAGGCAGTGATGTAAGTATGAAATTCATGTTGGCAGTGATGTAATTATTTAACTCCTGTAGGCAGTGATGTAAGTATGAAACTCCTGTAGGCAGTGATGTAAATTATTTAACTCCTGTAGGCAGTGATGTAAGTATAAACTCCTGTAGGCAGTGATGTAAGTATGAAACCTCTGTAGGCAGTTATGTAAGTATGAAAATCTGATCCTGTAGGCAGTTATGTAAGTATGAAACCTCTGTAGGCAGTGATGTAGGTAAATACTCCTGTAGGCAGTGATTTAAGTATGAAACTTCTGTAGGCATTGATGTAAGTATGAAAATGATCCTGTAGGCAGTGATGTAAGTATGAAACCTCTGTAGGCAGTGGTGTAAGTATGAAACCTCAGTAGACAGTGATGTAAGTATTAAACTTCTGTAGGCATTGATGTAAGTATGAAAATGATCCTGTAGGCAGTGATGTAAGTATGAAACCTCTGTAGGCAGTGATGTAAGTATGAAACCTCTGTAGGCAGTGATGTAGGAATATACTTCTGTAGGCAGCGATTTAAGTATGAAACCTCTGTAGGCAGTGATGTAGGTATATACTCCTGTAGGCAGTGATTTAAGTATAAACTCCTGTAGGCAGTGATGTAAGTATAAACTTCTGTAGGCAGTGATTTAAGTATAAACTCCAGTAGGCATTGATGTGAATAGGAAACTTCTGTAGGCAGTGATGTAAGTATGAAAATCCAATTCTGTAGGCAGTGAGGATAAAATCGTGTAGGCCTTGATCTAAATAATAAATTCCTGTAGTCTGCGATGTAAGTAATAAACTCCTGTAGTCTGTGATGTAAGTATAAAACTCCTGTAGGCAGTGATGTAACTATCAAACTCCTGTAGGCAGTGATATAAGTATAGAACTCCTGTAGGCTGTGATGTAAGTATAAAACTCCTGTAAGCATTGATTTATGAAATTCCTGTAGGCATTGATGTAAGTATTAAATTTCTGTATGGTAGATGTAAGTGTGAAAGTCCTGTAGGCAGTGAATTTCCTTAAGGCATTGATGTAGGTATGAATTTCCTGTAGGCAGTGATGTAAATAGGAAACTCCTGTAGGCCGTGATGTAAGTATGAAACTCCTGTAGGTATGAAATTTCTGTAAGCAGTGATGCTAGTATAGAACTCATGTAGGCTGTGATGTAAGTAAAATATGTAGAGTTTTAAATGTGATGAAAAAAAAATGGTATTTTGTTTTTTTCAGTGCCTTGATATGCATGTCATTGAGTATAACAGTGAACAATGGTTTATGAAATCTGATAAAAAGGAGCTTCTATCCAACAAGGTAGATATACTGATTCTGTTTTACGCTTTTAAGTTATTTGGGAATATAATATCAAGTAACTCTCTTTATTTTTTTAACTTAGAAGAATAGCAATATTCTTGCTGGAACCTTGAAATTATTATGAATTTTGTTCTTGAAATTTGCTGAACTATTAAAAGCCAATTTTGCATGGAGAGGAAGCTTTATCATAGTCCAGAAATAATAACTAATTAACATTCTAGGTGGAGATTCTTTGGGACTAAAATTAAGCAAAATTCATGGTCATGAATTTCACTATCCAGACTTGATACATGTATCGAGTTTCTGTCATGTTATCTTCAAGACCTCAAAAAGATATATCAGATATAAATTTCTTTGTTTCACAATGTTTGTTCTCTCATACATGTATTCACATAAACATCATCACACTGCACTTGGAGGTTAAAGCTGACACACGGTTCAGAAAAGGAAGAGCTGCCTGCCATATTTGTCTCCTCTAATTTGTACAGACTCTTCCAGCCCTTAATACATGTATATAATTCTCAACTTTTTGATTGTATTTACTTTGTTTTATGGAGCTTACCTGAACAAACTTCTTTTTTTTGTGGTTGGTATAGACTTGGGCATGACAAAAATGTAACTTTTGTATGTCTATGTCACATCTGAAAAAATGATTACAAAAGAAAAGATATGAAATTAATGAAATTAACGTAATTGACTTAAAATGAATTAATATAATAAAAATTTAACTTGACAAATTTAGACAATCTAAGATATTTCATGCAGCAGTGACCAGGTATTAAAAAATTCAGATCAATGAATGTGAAAGGTTTATTATATCCCAGCGATGTTAAGAGAAGGAATAAATAATATGGCCCAGCTATGCCAATTTATGAGTCATATTCAGCTTGAAAATCAAAGTTGGAATTTACTCATGCAGGAGTTGATTATCAATTCTTGTGGTCAAGACACTTGTAAACATTATTTTACAATGTCCGTACTCATGCACTCAGAATGTACATGTACACTAAATAAAAAGTTTTTGTGATTATATTTGTTAATTTACAGATAATTGCTTTTGGGATAAAGGGAAAGTCCTCTACCTACACTGAGATCCCAGCTCGCTTCCTTATCCACACGCCTGATCGTCGAATAGCTGCCAGAACAGCACAGTAAGACTCGTATTATCAATATCTCAAGTGAAATCATGTTTCTATTGGATTCTGGTGTAAAAGTAGATTTAGCAAATTAATGTAAATTTTAAAGTGTAGTAGCATGGTGATTCCCCAAGAAATCTATGCATTACATCAACATTTTTGATAATGATGGAACTTTTACAAAAATCTCAGACATAATGTACATGTAGATAATGGAGTTCTCAGAAGTGTAAACTTTTAGCCTATATTTTCTCACCTTCTGTGTTCTCTAATCAGTGGGTGTGTTTTTCTAAAACCTGAAAATTTAATTAGTAGAACAGTAGAGCCATGAAATGTCATATGGAAGCATCTTTGGGTATTTAATTAAAATTCAATTTTTTGTCAGACCGTTGCCTTTAGGGTTAAGTTGGGAATGCATTTTTGATGAAAGATTTACATTGGAATATACAGTGTTAAAATCTGCATCACTATCAATCCTGATTAAAAATTGACATGTGTTCTGTAATTTTTATAAGTACACAAGTCGCTATAAGTAAAAAATCTTGCAAAGATGCTGCATTTGTTAAAATACAACCAGTCATTCTTTGGATGCTCTGTGTGACTTGAACTTTCTGGTTGAGTGGTCAGGTAGATGGTCTGAGATGCCCTGTTTGTGATGCTGCATACTATTTTCTTTTCTGGGTATTTCTGTATTGTTCTTATCCAACACCCCAGGTTTAAGTTTGTAAAGATCCATATCCAATTTAAAAGACGTACTGGACCTTACCTGGACCAGATTTGCATGGCTTATGCATCTACTATGTGTAACTACTTTCAGGTTTTTGATGAAGGTTCACCTTCATGTCACTATCTTGAACAATTGATGGATAATGCATGAAAAGAAGTAACTTAGAATTTGTTATGGCTCACAATTAAAAATGAATTCGTGCTGCACATGGAATTTTTTATTGGCCACGTGTATAAAAAAGTGGACGTTTTTATTATATTTACATCCATTGAATATTAATTTCTTTATTTTTTATGAAAACGATTGCCCTTGATCAGTCAGTAACTGACACTAAGCAAGTCAACTGCATAGCTTAGTATGCAGGTTAATATGTATTTTTTTTCTGCATCAGCTGCAACATGTACATGTACTAACAACAAAAGAAAGAAACTTTATTGTTTTAATATAAAAACCTCAGCTCAGAGCAAATCAGTGCAGTGTGGATATTATGTTATTTGGCAGTATAAAGCTTATAGAATAATTTCCTACATTTTGTGATGCTTACAATTTCCAGAATGTTGTTTATGGTAAGCCAGAGTAAGGTGGGAGTATTCTGATAATTAGAAATACATGAAGTAGATACATGAATTCCATTGGGTTTTTTTCTTTTTACAGATGTGTTTATTTTGATACTTCTGTGAATGAGTGGGTGAGCCCAAGGGGGGTATGTTCAGTCAACAATAATCTGGAGGATGGACAAGATGACTTCGTGGACTGTTCCTGTAAACACCTGACTCACTATGCAGTCAAAGCTAGTGCCATAGACCCTGGATTAGCAGGGTATCCAACTGCCTTCTATGTAGTTAGCTTCATATGCATGGTCAGTATATAAAACTACAAGCACACCATATATATCAAAACATACTCAATATGTACTAAGATAGTTACTTAAGGTAGCATTCTTCTCTGGTTTCTGAGTAGATGAAATATTCAGTGTACATGTATATTTGCTTATATGTCTTATATATTTAGGTGAAAGAGATTTAAAAGACCATAAATTTTCTTTTCTCACCTCAATTGTACAACAATATTACTTTAAATAGAAATGGTAAATTGTGTTTGAAAACTAGCAGGGACTATATTTTTGGCGGAATGGTGTAGCATGAAAATATCTTCTTTTCTGCTTCTCAAAATTATTATAGAACAACGAATTTAGTTATAATTTTTAAACAATCAAAGACTTGACGAATTTTTCAAATGTTAGCTAAATTAATAATAAGGGACTAAAGTTTTAAAATGTATCAAATAAATATGATTTTCCAAACAAACTACAAATATGTTAGCTTTTAAAACTTCCAATCTAAGTACAGATATGAGCCAAAAATCGGTAGAAAGTGTTTTTACTCTCTTAGTAAACGGTCAGAACTTTTTGTTTTTGTATCATTTTGTATCTCTATATGACTTCTTTAGCATATGTGAAAATTAGAAAATTTGAAATATAGGGCGCATATAAAAATAACTTAAATATCCTGAAAATTTTAGTAAAATAGAGAAAATTCGGATTAGCCTAAATTCATTTTTGTTAAACTATTTGTATCAATTTGGTAATATCATCTTATAGACCCTATATGGTAATATATTCTTATGCAAAAAGAAAAACATTGAATCATTTGAAATAGAAGACCCTATCGCATGATTGCTGCAGTCATTTTTATTCTTAATGTCCAGGGAAAAGATAATGACCTTGACCTGACCTTGACTCCAATATAAAATGGTCAAAACTAATCTAATTGATACCATCACTTGGTAATATTGTCTTCTTGATTCTGTGAAAATTTCATTAATTTTTAAATACAAGAAATACAGTTTTGTGTGAGAAGAATCCAACTTTAAAATGTAAATATAAAAGTTGAGGGTATATACAGCCTTGGGGAAGCTTTGTAATGGTTTGGGCTATGGATATCAGCCTGGATAGCTCAGTTGGTAGAGCTCCTGACTGGAGATGCAGGGCTCCCGTGTTTGATTCCCGGTCCAGCCATACATTTTCTCCTTTCCTGTTACACTTGTTTTAGAAACGTAGGTGTAAAATTTTCTGATCTTGACCTTTCCCATGACCTTAACCACAGGTTTTCTCAATTTGCAGTTACATAAGATAAATATTAATGTGAAATTAAGACATGACATGTTCTTTAGAGTCAGAGTGGGGTTAAAAATTGGGGTTATAATATTCATGGAAAGATGAAAATTAAAAATCTGATGAAAAACAGCAGGTTACTCTTCTGCATACTCAGGTTGGTGGTAATTGTGACCTATGGGTCTCTTGTTCTTAAGTACTTCTTGAATTCATTGTAACTCCAAACAAACAATAAAACAAGACATACAATGAATAAATTGTAACATTTGTTCTCAGCTTGCCATGCTTCTTGCCATCATTGTCCACCATGTTTTTTCTACCATCTATGCCATGTTCTCAGCCAGCCTTCTCATTCATATGTTGTTTGCCTGCTTTGCCACTCAGGTAGGTCTGTCGTTCTTTATGGCAAAATGAATAATAATATACCAGTACTTAACAGTATTGCAAGATGCCATCTTCGATTGTTGACTGTGTTAACTTTATCACCATTTCATGGCTCAGTGGTTGACCATTGTGATCCACAAAGATATTATAAGTGATTCAATTCTGGAAAAACAAAATAGATTGAGATAGAGATGTGTGTTGTATTTTAGCTGTGTTACATTGTGGCAGCCTTCACCAGTCCCTCCGAGATCCTAGTCAACACACTGGACCAGGATAACTACAGATGTATTGTGATGGGCCTCTTCCTACATTATTTCTTCCTCGCTCAGTTCACGTGGATTTTTTCACAGGTAGCCAGACAAAATTTGGTCAAATTCCTCATTACAAAGTAATCAAAGATAGTTACATAAAAGTCTCCCAAAAGCAATCAGTTATGGTTGGATTTCAGTTTCTAGTCAAACATGTATTCAATAATAAAGTTGAACTTGATGAACAAATTGTTGTAAAGAAACAAATTGCATGTATCACATAATACAAGTGTATTTTAATCACAATTACATTAAATTTAAGATTAAGCAAATATGTGATAAACTAGGAACTCTAGCAAAGATATTTTTAATTCCTCGAGGTGTGCTAAATTATCGAATACTGTATGTTGGTTACTGTGTAACTATTTTTTTGCTTTATAGTTATGATGTATTGGTACCTATATTCATTTTTCTATTTCAGACTCTAAATTTTTGGAAAATCCTTGTAATGAATGATGAACATACAGACAGAAAATATGTTCTTTTCTTTATGTTGGGTTGGGGTGAGTTTGTTGGTTGTTGCTACATTGTTCTAATCTAAACACTAATTCAATTCTATCTTAAGTAAGAAACTTTCTGCATGTACTAAATATGTATACATATATATTTACTTCATAAATTTAACCTTGTACATATATTGTTGGGCTACCAAATGAAGAAAAAAATTCACATTTAATACAGTGGCATGTATATTCTAATGAATATATTTGGCATGTTAACAATGAAGACAGTCCCCTCTATTAAGCAAAGAACCCTGACATCCTATGGACTGTAAGGAAAAGCAGTGAATCTGTTTTTATTGATGTATTTCAGGCCTACCTTTGGCAATTGTGGCAGTATTCTATGTGGTAACATTCATTGTATACAGATACCAGTATGGAATGCCTGTAGATTTCATATATGGAGACGTCAATAATAATGGCCAGATGTAAGTACCTGTATCACATATTGGAAGTAAAAATTCAATTGTTCCTCATGAAATACATTCAAAAATTATGTGGATATTCTTTACAGTATAACTGTGATAACAGTAGGCCCGCCATATGGTGTAGTTGTCAGTTCAAAACTAGGATAAGAGTCATCAAGTTTAGTCCCTGCCAGGAACAATAAGATTATGCCATAAATTGTCTTGAATATGCTCATACTTTACTGTGAGTTAATATTAAGATATACATGGATCAGTACAGATGGATTTGTTCTCCTGGCTTGAACAAGCTCCTGCCAGATGTCCGAGTTGTTTTGGTCTTCCTTGTTGGATTCACAGTTGTTTACATGATGCACTGTTTCTGGTATCCCGATCGAATTCATTATTCATCCTTTCAGCATCTGATGTAGTTGGTGTGGTGTTATTTAACATATCCGGTATAAGTGTGCATTTTGGACATAAATAGGATGACAATAAAGAAGTTTGACTGCCAGTATAACATTTAACATTTGACATTTAACATTATATTGTGCTCAGATAACCAGTTTCTGATTTTTTTGAGTTTGTTTACTGCAAACCAGACAGAGAAAAATACCATGTTTTAGCCTTAAGGTTCAAAACATTTTGAAATACATTGAATCCAGGTTTAATTTGTTGCAGTATCAACATATTGATGTTGCATCCATAACAGAGAAATCATTGAAACACATAATTTTACAGGTGCTTCCTGACCAATTCCTATGCTGCTTTGGGAGGAGTGATTGCCCCTGTCTTGCTTATTCTGCTGTTTGTTGCTGTGGTCTTTGTCAAGGCCTTCCAAGTGACCCCTCAATGGCAGGCATATGATGACATATACAGAGGCAGATATAATATCAATGGTAAACACCCACAAATGTTTAGGTTTTTTAAGTATATTCAAATCATATAGTGGCAATCTAAAAAAAAAAAAACCCATAATTTTCTATCTACACAATGAATAAAAATTGTGATTCTGCTGAATTTTGTCCCATGGAAAAAAGTACGCTTACAGTATATGGAAACTTTTTTAAAAATCTATACTCAGATTTAAAACTTTAAGTCTTTTGACATTAACTTCAAAATTTGGAACTTTTAAAGATGGTGATTGTGAGGGATGCATGTACCAAAATGTTTATAACCAATTCTGTAACAATTTAAGAACTCAATCTATATCATCCAGATACTTCTTAGAACATGTCTTGAGAACCTTTTACTTACAGTCAACATGGAAATAGGACACTAAGACTAAGAAGGGGTACATCCCATCAAATTTTTTTTTATCTTGACCCTATCTTTAATCAAGAAGTAAAAATAAATATGGTGGCACATACAACTTGAGAAATGTTTGACTTTAAGTCTCCAGGCTTGAAATATGGAACAATAAGATTTAGATCAGATGCCGCCGCTGTATCAAAATTGATGACATTGACCCATCTCTTCAACAATGATGAAAAAGGATGAAAAATAACGATCCTTACTAGATAAGATATGTTTTGTGTGTTTTTCTTCAGAGATCCGTACCCTGCTGTGTTTCTGGTTTGTGATCACAGTCACCTGGCTGTGGGGTGGACTACATATGGCCTATGGTCAGCTCTGGATGCTGGTTATGTTTTGCATATTCAACATTGTCCAGGTATAATAAAACGAAAAATATTCAGATTAATATTCTCAATGTTTTTACCATAATTTTTGGAAGATACATTGTAGGTCAATACTTTTTAATCTCAGAACTGTTAGGCTTACGGTTGCGCTATTTAAAGAATCCACTTGTATAAGGCTCAAGTTTACAAAAAAAGTCCAAAAATTTGTAAAATTTGGGTCAATTTTAAAACAAATCTGTATATTATGTAACTTTTTATTTTATTAATAAATTAAATATATATTCCATTCATTTCTTGCAAATTAAGTTCCATTAATTAAATATCCATCAATGTACCAGAACAAAAATCATTTTATAATCCTGTAGATAATGTTTCAACAAAGAACATTTTACAATATGCTATCTGTCTCCGTCTTGTGAAGTTGGAAGTCACACTCGTTCACTAAAAATAAAACTGCAACCATATCAAAACTGAAAATACTGACTTGTCACAATCAAAAAAAAAAAAAATCATCCTTTTTTTCTTACCATTTATCTATGTGGGACAAGGAATGGAAATACTCTCAGTATTTTTTTCATTGTCATTGTGATATGATTCAAATGTAAAATGTGTGATATCAGTTGTTGCTAGTATTTCCCATATTTCTATATCAAATATACTGCTAGTCATAAATATATTTCATATCTGATTATAACTAATGAAATGCACTTATCTTCTTCATTCCCAAAAGGTACACTGAATTATTCTAAATACACTGATTTTTGACCCCATGACCTAATTAGCTCACCTGAGCCGAAGGCTCAAGTTTTGTCCATTGTCTGTCATCATAGTCTTAGTCGTCGTTGTTGTTGTCATTGTAAACTTTTCACATTTTCATATTCTTCTCAAGAACCACTGGGCCAAATTCAACCAAACTTGCCACATAGTATTTTGGGTGAAGGGGGTTTAAGTTTGTTCATATGAAGGGCCAAGCCCTCTTCCAAGGGGAGATTATTATGAATTAATGCAAAATTAATGGTATCTGTTAAAAATCTTCTTCTCCAGAACCATGACCAAGAAAGATGAAACTCATGTGGAAGCATCCTCAAGTAGTGTAGGTTCAAATTTGTTCAAATCATGACCCCTGGGGGTTGGGCGGGGTCACAATGGCTGGTCAAAGTTTTACATAGGAATATATAGGAAAAATCTTTAAAAATCCTCTTCTCCAGAACCATTGAGACAGGAATGATGAAACTCATGTGGAAGCATTCTCAGGTAGTGTAGATACAAGTTTGTTCAAATCATGACCTCTGGGGGTTGGGCAGGGTCACAATGGCTGGTCAAAGTTTTACATAGGAATATATAGGAAAAATCTTTAAAAACCCTCTTCTCCAGAACCATTGAGCGAGGAATGATGAAACTCATGTGGAGGCATCCTCAGGTAGTGTAGATTCAAGTTTGTTCAAATCATGACCCCTGGGGGGGGGGGGGCACAATGGCTGGTCAAAGATTTACAGAGAAATATATGGGAAAAATCTTTAAAAATCTTCTTCTCCAGAACCATTGAGCCAGGAATGATGAAACTCATGTAGAAGCGTCCTCAGGTAGTGTAGATTCATCTTTGTTCAAATCATGACCCCTGGGAGTAGGGCGGGGCCACAATGACTGGTCAAAGTTTTACCTAAGAATACATAGGAAAAATCTTCTTCTCCAGAACCATTGGGCCAGGAATGATGATACTCATGTGGAAGCATCCTCAGGTAGTGTAGATTCAAGTTTGTTCAAATCATGACCCCAGGGGGTTTTTTGAGGGGGGGGGGGGGGGGAGGCACAATGGCTGGTCAAAGTTTTACATAGGAAAATATACGAGGTCACAATGGGAGATCAAGTAACATGTTTGAAAAATCTTTAAAAATCTTCTTTTCAAGTATGACAAAATTATACATGTATGCTTTATTGATATAGTGACATTCTTAAGTTATAGAGAATTCAAATCCCCCTCCCCCCAACAAGTAAACTTTTCAATACTGAGCCGATTTGTGTTTTTTAATTAGCTCATGTGCTCAGGTGAGCGATGTAGCCCATGGGCCTCTTGTCCTTGAAGTTTGACCTACGTTAAAAAAAATAAACATTACCATGAACAGGTCGAGGAAACTACCTTATATGGATATTGTTGTTATTGTGCACAGAGGTGCTCACAGCAAACAATGATCCAGTCGAATGAATGAGCCACAAAGCATTCTGGTCTACTATGTGTTTACAATTTACTACAAACACGTGGTTCAGGTCAATTTACGACATGATTTCAAATGCCTGTCGGAGAGTCAACTATTATATCTATTTTTAATTTTTTTGTTAAAAATAGAAAGAATGAATAGTAAGTAAGATGTTCCATGCTCACATTAACAAACAAAGCTAATTTTCTGTGTTAAATAGTACGTTGAAATATTGCTTCTGGTGTAATTCATTTGTTGACTAAAGGTTCATACATACTAAAACAAAAGTGTATTGCTATACGACATTTATTCTACACAATTTTACTAAAGTCTCACGTACATTGATATATAAAAAAAACGCACAGCACCCAGTGCAAATAGATCTACGTGAATCTGAATTAAGTACAGCTGCTGGGATGTGTTTTCTGTAAAGAAGATTGTCAGTCCCATGTTCAAATTTTTTTTTCGAAGGAGCATCGGCGCTTGAATGGCATTGCAACAAGTAGCAATGATAGAATTGTGCACCAAAGCATCTCTGCACCATTCTAAACTGTTAAATGACCATCTGAAGTCTTGTATACATGACAATACGTGAGTACACCTGGAGTCGGTTGTTTAAGAGCATATGGAATACACGTGAAATTTTTATTCATTGATGCAATAAGCACAATTGTCCACATATAGACTCATTCAATGGAATGTAGAAAGCCACAATATTACCGTTGTTAATGATTGTTTGTAAATGTGAGCATGGAATTAGTAGATAATGGTGTAAAATTTGTGTTAAGCATGAAAAATGCTTGAAAAAATGCATCATGTCTTTCCGAGAGTGACTTGAAAAAACTGGCATTTTCCAAATGTAGTATGTTGTGTAGTAACCCAACTCATTCAGCGGATTGGTCGATTTGTCAGTCACATGGGAAGTTGGGAACCTCATTTAGCATGTAAATTTATTCTGACGTCGCAGAAAATAGTTTCCTCGACCTGTTGAATTGGCCTTAACTTTTGAATGAGAAGAGATAGGGCTTTTATACATGTATTACACAGGTAAATTACCTGTGACTAAACATTTTTAAATATACTATGATTTTTGATCTCATGACATTGACCTTGAAGTTTGACCTACTTTTCAAAAACTTTAACCTTGGTCATAACTTTTGATAGAAAAGAGATAAGGTTTTCATATCAAAACTGTGTATTGACTGTGACAAGACCTTTCTAAATACACTATGATATTTTACCCTGTGACCTTGACCTTGATGTTTGACCTTCTTTTCAAAAATATCAATTTTTCCTTATAACTTTTGATTGAAAGACATAGGCCTTTCATATTTTGTCATGTGCATTTCCTGTGATAAGATATTTCTAAACATGGTATTTCTGACCCCTTGACGTTGACCTTCACGATTGACCTAATGATTTTAAAATCAACTGCTGTGATAAGTTCTGAATGACGTACAAAAAGGTGTTCATATTTGAAACAATATGCCATGAAAAATGACATCTCACACACAAAGACACCGAAAGTGGGGGACCACAATTCTGTGAAATTGCTTGTTTATAGCTGTTGTAAAGTACCGTATTTATGGGTATTGTTTTAGTGACAGAGTCAAACTATGAAGACATTGAACAGGCAAGTTAGAGAAAATATGTTCTATAGCAGAATTCAATAAAATTTCAACTAAATAAATGTTTTAAATTATCTTTTAAAATCTTTTACCAAAAAAACACCACTGAATTATCTCAATAGGATAATATCAAGGGATAAGCCAAGAAGTTCACATGTTCTATCGTAGTATCTACGTAAGAATACCTAGAAAAATGATGTAAAATGCCTCATCCTATGTTCTGAATTCCCCCTGTCTATGGATTTTTTAAAAATTAGAGCTAAAAATGAGCCTTTCGACCTGTATACCCCATCAACTTATACCTCAAAAAGTATGGTACTTGAAAATATGTCTAGAACAATAGCTGAAAAATAAAATACCCAAGCTTTCAAGAAAGTGTAGTGTTATACAATGTAGTTTTGTTTTATAACTCAGGTATGTCAGGTATTCCAGTGAGATATTAGTCAGACTTTCTCTGTCATACAAATTAAATCCAACATTTTTTAAAGAATTAATCATGCTCAAAAAAATTAATTTGGAACCAGGTATTCTCCATACATCTGTAAATCTGAAACTGGTATTTTTAGCTCTACTGGTCAGAGACCAGAAGAGCTTATGCGATAGTAATGCGTCCGGCGTCCGTCCGTCTGTCTGTCCGTCTGTCTGTAAACAATTTTTCAAAATGCTACTCCTCCTACAGTTTTGGTCTAATTTCAATATAACTTGGCACACAAGTAGACTACACTAAGATACATAATTCTGTGTATCGGTTTTTGATTTCGATGAACGGTGTTGCCGTGGTTACTAAAAATAGAAATTTCTGTGAAATTCTTTCAAAATGCTACTCCTCCTACAGTTTTAGTCTGATTTCAGTATAACTTGGCACACAAGTAGACTACACTAAGATACATAATTCTGTATATCGGTTTTTGATTTCGATGAACGGTGTTGCCGTGGTTACTAAAAATAGAAATTTCTGTGAAATTGTTTCAAAATGCTACTCCTCCTACAGTTTTGGTCTGATTTCAGTATAACTTGGCACACAAGTAGAATACACTAAGATACATAATTCTGTGTATCGGTTTTTGATTTCGATGAACGGTGTTGCCGTGGTTACTAAAAATAGAAATTTCTGTGAAATTCTTTCAAAATGCTACTCCTCCTACAGTTTTGGTCTGATTTCAGTATAACTTGGCAAACAAGTAGAATACACTAAGATACATAATTCTG